CGAAAGCTAGAGATATCCAAGTATCACGAAGTCAAAGTCGACTTCCTGTTAAGACAGTTCGTCGAAGTCGACGGTGCCATCGAGGCCCGTCGCATCGACAATGAGCTAATGCAAGTCGCATTTGCTCAGTCGTACTTGGCAGGGGACGGCAAGAATCGGGCCCTGAATCTCAAGTTACACGACCCGAACGTGTTCGAGTCGTTAGACGTCTTCAAGACCCTGCTTAGTGACGCGTTTGAGCCTCGCCGGGCAGAGTTTAGGACTCTTTCAGAAATCTTAAGATCTTACAGGGAAAGCGTAAGATTCCACTTACATTCAGCATGTACGCTTCCTTGCAAGTTGCATGGTAGTGAAGCCTGTGGGTGAATTTTTAAAGATCACAATATTCATTCAAAGTCTTGCAGATGGTCCTGTCAGGGACCACCTGTTTCGCGGGGAGCTAAAGACGCTCTCCGAAGCAATCTACTCTGCGGAGCAGCAAGACTTTAGATTGAGACAGGCTCACAATACTCTGACCCCCTATCGTCCACAAAGACTATCAGCGGTCGGAGGTCCAGATTCAATGGACCTCTGTCACGTCGATGGCGAGAAACCTTGCCCTGTGAGCGACAAGCGAATGGTGAGATGCCATCGCTGTCATAAGCTGGGATACTATGCATACGAATGCATTATCCCCCTCTCAGCACCCCGTTGTGCTGAGCGCAGTACCCGTCCACTAGTTCGAAGAAGTGGAGGAAGAGAGTCTGATGCTGTTGCAAAGCCGCAACAGCAAATCGAACCATCAAAAAATGGTCAGGTTCAGTCGGGGAGGAGCGCCCTACAGACCCCGCAACATCAAAAGGATTTCAAATATCTTGCCGAAGGTTGCTCCCTACACACAGTCACTTTGTGTCTTTGCACGGATTGATGAGGTGTTTCTAATCATCTTGATATTAGAAGTGACAAAGAGCTCGTCAATTCTTACCATAGTTGACTGTGGGGCGTCATGCAATTTTGTTCGTCACTTGGAGCTGGAAGACTTAACTTCGTCGAGCGGGAAATCCCTCCAACAAGGATGACGGTTCGCCTAGCGACAGGCGCATCGATCAGTGTGAAGAAAAGTGTAGTAGGAGTCCACTATATTTTGAAAGATGAACAGTACGATGATGACTTCATCGTGCTCGACCTGGATGACAAGTTTGATGTCATCCTAGGACTACCTTGGCTCAGGATATACGAGCCAAGGGTCAGATGGCAGCATCGATCAGTATCGATGCCTGCCACTTGTTCATCAGATAACGATCTGAAGAACATCTTGGAACGCCCAAACTCATGTGGGTGTACTGCGAGTGAGTGCGATGGCCTCTTGTGCGGTAAGGTCGTCAGTACGACTATACAAGAACACAGTGTAGATGATCACTACATTGTGGAGAACGCTCTCCTGGATCCTGTGGATGTGACTTTCCAGGACGTAATCGAAACAGTGAATGTCTTGGTTACTGACGGATTAAGCGTAAGCGCTTACAAGCTTGATCTGATAGTGCCTCCGAAGTTAATTTCGGAGATAACTCAATTGCAAACGCTAGAGCCGAAACGGTTCTTGCGTGATCTGCGTAGTGGTAAAGTCAAGCAGATCTGCATACTCGCACAGAGGATGAGTATGTGGCCGATATTCGGTCGGCAACAGTATTTGCTGAGAACGAACGGGTTCTCAGCAGCTCATCGATGGACGAAATTGTCCCCCATGAGACGAATCGGATTAAGCGATACACGTCTCAATCCTGGGAGTCACTTCAGGCAAATCCTTTGTACAAGGATTTGATCGAATTCAGGGATGTGTTCCCTGAATCCGTACCGTGCGAGTTGCCTAAGGAAAAAGGCACTCGACACGAGATCGAGCTCAAACCGGGCTAGAAGTACTGTGTCATGAAGCAGTGGCCACTGCCTCGTGAACAAGTACTATCAATCGACAAGTTCTTTGCCGATCGCTTGGCGGCAGGCCATGTGAGGGTATCGACTTCCCCTCACAGCACTCCGACCTTCTGTGTGCAAAAGTCCACAGGAGGATGGCGGACAGTGCACGCATTCAACATTTTGAATGCTGCAACGGTGCCAGCTCAGACGCCGATACCGATTCCCGTATACAGGGGTGACCACTCCCAGAAGTATGCTGTAGTAGTGGCTAGTGATAGCACAGGGACTGAGTAATGCCCCTGCAGCATTCAACAGATGTGTTACAAATCGGTTAAGACCGGTGCTAGATTTCGCACCGAGTTACTTTGACGATGTGGTCGTCCATAGTCGAGCAATGGACGGGAAGACAGACGTTTAGTTCACAGAACTCACGTTCGTTAGGTTCCTTGCCCTATGCACAAGTGTAAGTTTTACGCCAACCTCAAGAAGTTTATCTTCGCGGCTAGCGAAATACCACTTCTTGGAAGCATCGTGGGTAAAAATGGCGTACTCCCTGATCCCGAAAAGTTTGAGGAGATTACGACTGGGCCATGTTATTCGATGTCAAGGGACATGCAGAAGTTCTTTGATCTATTGACTTACTTGCACAAGTACTCGCACAACTACGCAGAGATGACTGCGCATGTTTATTGTTTACTCAAGAAAAATGTGAAGTGGTCATAGAACGCTGTCTGGCAGCGTTCCTTTGAAATTATCAAGAAAAGCTTGATGCAATCGCCCATCTTGGCGATGGCAGATCAGGACAGACCATTTCATGTGGTCTGTGACGCCACCGATTTTGCAATTAGCTGTGAATTGATGCAATATGGCATAGACGGCGCGGAGCGTCGTCTGCTATCAATCACGTCAGCTTCAAACAGCTGAGCGTAATTACCCAGTGCATGGCAAGGAAATCCTTGTCATGAAGTACGCACTGGATAAATTTCGTGTCTTTTTCATGATAGATAGACTGTTTATTGTCTATACGGACTATGCGTCACTACGCACGGCCGTCAACAGTCCCCAACTCTCGCAACGAATGGCGAGATGGTTGTCTTTCTTCGCGGAATATAAACTCTCCGTGGAGTACAAACCAAGACGACTGAACGTCGTCGCTGATGCGCTATCACATCGGCTCGATTTCGAGCCGACTACACACGTCAATAGTGAGGCCTTAGCCACTATTGCGGGTCTGTCAGTCAGCGTGCCGTCGTCGCCTTTACTTGACGACGTGCGGAAGGCGTACGCAGGAGATACGAATTTCCCCCGTTTGATGGGTCATCTTGCGAAGCCATCCCGGAAATCCTTGTCGGATTAGTTGGCTCTATACCGTTCCTCTTTGAATCGGTATACGGCTCTCGATGGTCTGCTGTTTAACAGAGCAGTTGCTGACGACACTTCTCGTGTTGTCGTTCCCGATCATGATGATTGAGTTTAAGCATCATGTTCGAAGGCCACGAAGCGCCATCAGGCGTTCCTCGTGGTAGGGAAAAGAATTACCTTACAGTAAGTCGTTACTTTTACTGGCCCCGCCAGTATTTGTTTGTCCGCAAGTACATACGTGCTTGCGAGATCTGTCAACGAGTGAAGCCTAGTCCTTCATCCCGTGCACCACTACAATCTATGCCGGTGTGGGAAGAATGTTGGGAGTCCGTTTCCATGGACTATGTCTTCGGTAAACCCGAAGACACTCACAAGAATATTAGTATTCTTGTTTGTAAATCGTTTCAGCAAGATAATGCATCTTGCTGCGGTACCAGAGTCGATCACCGCACATGGCTGTGCTCGTGTCCTCATCGACATGTAGGGTCTACATCAACCAAGAAGTGGAGCAACCACGAATATTACCCTCGGATGTAATAATCTGCCAACATTATCTCGTTTTGAGTAATGTTAATTGGATACGATCGAAATAGATAATATTAAGAAAGGAATACATTCTTATCAATTTTTATGTAATGGTCTCACTCCGTTACATTACACGTACTAGTTCTCGTTGAACAAGACAACACATTTTAAATTTGTAAGAAGTATCCATTAACCAGTGCGGCCAGTTCCATCTGTATTCATATAGCATAAATTATAATAATAAGATGAAGTTTAAGTTAGAATCAGGGAGCAAAATTTCTGTGATCGTTTCATGTAAAAAAATGTTTAGCAGCTTCAATGCGTCTAGTCTTTTCGACACCTGATAAGCTTTATTCTTGACTTGTCAGCTTTTATAGACTTTAAAAACTCACGTAGAGTGATTATTTTAATCTTTTAGTCCCAGTGTCTCATAATGAATACTTTTACATACGTGGGAGGCAATCTCTTATCGTGGCATTGGTGCCGAGTTGACATCACGCATATGGACCCCAATTCGCCATCAATGCCTGCACATATAAATACTTAAATTATTTTAAGTATGATGTCAGATCAGACGAAATTTGACAAGTTAAGACTGCATCATATATAGTAGCACAATGCAATTTATGTCAATTTCTAACAGCGATCTAGGTGTCGCCAAGTACATGTACACAATTTTTACTAAGTATAGCGGCAAAATCTTTTATTTTTCAGACGACAGCATTTGAATTGAATAAGACCACCAACACCATTCACAGTGCAAATTCATTTTATCGTTTATTTACAATAATACAATTATGTTAAGCGATCTGGATCCGACACTTAAAGAAAAGATAGCGTTTCATGACAAATTGTATAATATATCCTAAAATGGAGGGTGCAATATGGAAGAATTGCCTTTATGCATAGATTGAATAGTACAAAGATGAACTACACAAAGATATTACAATCCAAATTCTACTTACATCAATCATGTGGTGATTGCGAATGGAGAAGAGATGGCGATAGGCGATCGAGATGTAATCATGATCCGGCATCAGCGTATCATATTCGCAATACAGAAGACCTATCTGTCATACATGACTTATATTTTTATTACGCAACGGCTGATCGAATGTGAGTGAATTATGTACCTGTGTATGAGCTCAAAAGCTCGATGAATAGTACCTGGAAATGCGCAACAATCGGCGGCGACAAAATTAATCAGAGTGCAGTCGCGCTTACGAATATCCGATGCGACTGAGATAGTAGGAACTACCGCTTTGGTGTGAAACGCTATTGACGTATACTACACGAAGCAAAATGCATAAAATCTCATAATTGTCGACCGCATATGCTTCAAAGCACGGCGACGACGGCGACGACGGCGACAGCGACACGGACCGCAACGCGAGCCGCAGCGCCGTCCAGTCGGTGCCGTCGTCGGCGGGTTGGCCCAAGTCGATGGCTTTCTTGGCAATGCTCGTGAAGAAGCCGTTCTTCTGGTGGCGCGCCGTGTACGACAGGTCGCCCTCGGCCTTGAGCACCAGTCCGTGGCCGTCGTTGAGCACGAGGCCGAGTGACTCGCCCGTGTTCATCTTACTTTTCGAATGGGAGGCTCGAGGTGGGGTGGACGTATACGGATGCCTTTCTACTTTTGGCATGTTGGTTATTAACGACTATTTTTACTTCCCCTAAAATGATATACTTGTCGTCCTTCTTCCGGAAGGTTTTCATATGCCCCCTCCAGCGTTAGAGAACTTATTCTACGCTCGCCACTAAGAGCAATTTTGTAATTTGGCCAGCAGCGCAAGGAGCTCTTATAGCCGACAGCCTCCACTAAGATTAAAACAAAAACGTGGATAAAGCTTACGATGCACGATCGCTAGGCGGGATAAGTGAATAAAAGGCAAATGGCGATAACATATTTATATTTGATTGAGTTCGCTTAACTAAATGACTTTAGTAAGCCAAGTGAGCTCCAGAGCTTGCTTCTGTGTCTTTTTCCGAATATTTCCTCGAAAATTGATCTCGCCTACTAATAACCCCTTAGCCATTTTAAAAAGAATGTGAAGTTCATGTGACGGGGTTTTCCCGCTACAACAATAAAACACAAAGCTCACGTCTCGATCGATCGAATACGGTCATCCTGCGAGTGAGCAGCCACAGCTTTAGCAACGAGAAGGAAGAAGGATAAGTATTGTATTTCGTTCACGGAATGCTCCTTCTCTGACGCCGAGACTGTCGAGCAGACTACAAGGATTACCCGTCACCGGTCATGAGATACGTCCCAAATGTCGTATTACTATTGACAATGAGGTGCCCTAGGTCAAGAAGACCGTTGTTGGTACCAAACGCTCCAGGTCATAGTGGAACATTGACTGTGGCACGAAGCAGCTTCAAGTCGATCGTGTTGCCGTCCAAAGAGCTCGCGAGGTCATGTGCTCTACGAATTGCACTTGCCGTGTTGGCACGAACTTCGATTTGCCTAGGGCCGCTCGGACACCCCCCTGATCATAAGATAATTAGGCCGGCACCGTCGTCAATGTTCTGGTTGCTTTCGTTCACTGAACTCATGGAATTGACTGGAAGCGTCTGTGTTATCTACGGTCGTATCTCATGTTGAAAGTGACGCAGGGCAGAATTCGGGACTGCAGCGATCGGGGTAGTTGATCGATCGAGTATCAGAAGGTGCTATCGACAGACGATCCAGTGTATCGACAGCTTGCATACACACAACCGCGTCAGCGATTCTAGGATGTGCTGACGTCTGAAAAGCTCTTAGAACGACAGGGCCTCGTGGTGAGGCGTAGTTCATTTGTTCTTTAACTTCATGGCCTTCATACTCGAGAGCACGATCACACACCTCTGCAGCCATGATGCGACGCTTTTTAATCTGCTTACACATCATGACAATGCATGTTGCTCTGTGCAAGCTGTAGTCCACAATACGTAAGGCAGACGACGTGTGTGACGGCGATGTGTACTACGCGCTTACACCTTTTTCTACCAAATTGCTCGTTAGGATAGAGGCTGAGCCGCGAAATTGTACACGGTAGAATGTACAAACCACGCACGATTTTGTCGCCGAGCAGCACGTGTCGTAGTCTTGACACGCCTCACCGAGGTATCACGTAAATTCTTTGTCGTGGATCCAATGAACTGCACGGAGGAATGCACATTCCCGACTGATCAGCAGCTCGTCTTACGCATGGAACGCTCGTGAGTATTTGTGCAAGGACTAGGAAAGATTTCGTCATAGTGTTGCCGCTTGCTGTCTCACCTACCAGGTATAAATCGTGCGTGGTCCGTGGACTCATCACTCGGTCTGATGGCGTTCGCTACCCATTAAACATGCAGTGGCGCACGGATTCGCCGCAAAACATTCGATCGAGTGAACACGAGACAACGAGAGAGTGTTTGTGAGCAGAACAGAGGTGACAGCTGTGTGCTTGCTTGTTCATCCTCACACGTATACACCAACGTATCGTGCGTGCATGACGGACCACACAACGCCGAATGTCTCCCGGTCCTGCCAGGAATTGCTCGACAGCTTCTGTCGCAATCGATCAAGAGCAGCCGTCGCACTCGACTGGTCACGGAGGAACTTTCTCGACAATCTCACCGTGCAAGTGTTCCGTCAGGTATATAGCAGGCTGAGACTAAAGTTGAGCGCGATGCGGGGGCAAAAGACCAGTTAGAGTACGAGTCGGTCAGCTTTTGCGCTGGCCGACTCCACAGCACATAGCAGTTTCCACGTCCCAAGCGACAAAGACTTTTCTCGAGCCGGGCCACCGGCACCCTCGCTTGCGTACGAAGTCCCCTACAGTGGGGCCCAGGCTAAAATATGAGGCCTTCTTGCCGCTGCGTGCGATACAAGAGGCAGCGAGCGTGCAACCCGTGAGGGGCGCAGCGCCGGCGCTTGTCACCCCGTCTGCACCTCGTACCTGCTATCTACGGCAGCCTGCGAGTTACCAACCTAGTCGCCGCGTCTGTTCTCTGGTCCCAGGAAGCACAGTATCTAGAACGTGACTTGATCGGACCCGTGAGGTGCGTCGACCGCCCACTGGAAATGATCGGAGGAGGAGCCGGCGTTTACGCGACCTCAGTGCCCTGTTTGTGTGTCGAACTGGATACGCAATTCCACATGAAGTCTGCGGCGCGTCCCAGAGACGCCCGACGTCTCCCGAGCCAGCAGACTGAGCCAGCGAGGACGAGACTGATGTCGTCCAGATCGTAGCAGACTGATATTGGACAGTCACGAGCACTTGGTCGACGTTCTGATTTACTCGCACATCAATGCAGTTCCGCTTGCCCGCGTGTCGTGAGCTCACAATCCCAGAGATGAGCCCGTGGACCGCGCGACAAGGGCACGCTCACCAAAGCGGTCGGTATCAACTGGCAGTGCCTCCCACCTGACGCGCTGTGTCCAGACGAGTGACACAAGTGCAGCAAACTGCCTCGAGTCAACAGACCGAGTCCATTCGGCTTCGTCAACGAGCTCAATGCTGGAGATCCGTCACCTTCGGCCCAAGTCGGTCCTGCTCTGTCCATGCGTTTCCAGAGATTGTATCCAGACCAATGACTGGTTCTGAGTGTCACGCCTCGTTCGCCCCTGATCGGTGGCTCAGTCGCGCCATCTAAACCTGATCTGTACAGCCGACATAAGGTCTATCAGGTGCGTGTGTCTCCGTTCTATGAAAACATGCAGAGTTGTGGCTCAGTATCAGCCATCACAATGGCGTCCCACTGCTTATGCGGACCTGCGGGACGACGCGCAGAAGACGAAGCGAAGCGTACGGTGTATTACAAACAGTCGCTCGTGCACTTGACCGCTCGACACGTGCGCTCAGCGGAGACGAAATGTTTCGTTGATGGACGCAGACCGCACGACCCGAACAGAAGCGGCAAACCGCAGACGTACGTATCCACTCCGACCGTGCTCTGATCGGATCTGATCGAAGCTGTACCCTGTGACGAACGTAGCCAGACGGACGGACGGACGGACGGGGTGGGTGGCCGGAACGATCAGAAGATCGGTGGCCCATCGCAAGGGATGCAGAGAGCCGCTACTGCTGAATTCCGGTCCGCAAGTCAATTGGATTCGCAGGACCCCCTACGCGCCTTCTTGCAGAGCCTTCCCGACTCGTTCTCAAGATTTGACGCGAGCTCCTGCCTCTACTACCCTTGCGTCTCGCGCTCGGGCTCGTTGGTTCACGGCTCTCTCTGGTGTCCTGTTTTAGTGAGCACGTGGTCGGCGGCCATTTCTCGCGACGAGGAACAGCCATTCCTCAATTTGCCTTCTTGAGCCACTCCCTCAACTACACCGCCCACTCCGCCCCCGCCCACTTTTCTCTCATCATGCGCGTATCGTACCTCCCGTTCCTCTCGGCTGCGACTATGGTCTGCTTCTGGGCCCGTGCTGATGCTTTTGCCGCCGATGCCGGGGTCCCGGTGCCGTCGAACGCGACTTTGGTCATGCCAGTCGCCACGCAGCCGATTCAACCCGCACCGGTTGACCCGAAGCCGCCTCAATTCGCTGTCACCGAGTCAGCCAAGCAACGTTCGAACCGACTGCGCGCAATGAAGGACAAGAAGGACGACGACGACGACGACGACAGCATCAGTGACAGCAGCAGCATCGAGAGCACGGACAGCCATGACAGCATTAGCGACAGCAGTGAGATGGGGAAGTACGGTCATATGACTGATAGGAAGTTGCACCACCTCGAAAGGGAGAAGCACCGCCTCGAAAGGGAGCAGCTCCGCCTCATTGAGGGCCGCCTCAGCAACAACGATCAGCCGCCAAGCAAGTGGTAGAGGGTGTAAGAGACCTCGAGCGATGGAGTCCAGGCTTCCTACCGTTAGCGTTGTCGCATGTACGGAGCATGGGGTGGGCTCTGGCGTCCTTGGCCGTGTTCAGCTCGCATGGACTCTGCCGTCCTTCCAACGCCTGGAACGCCTGTGTATATCGGTGAAGAGTCGACGTCTCAGCAGCAGCTGCATATAATGGGACAATAAGTCGCTTAAGCTTCACTAAATCATTTTGTTTGCAATGGGTTTGTGTGTGTGTCACGGCGTACACGTCGTCAAGTAGTTCTGTGGCTGTGACAGGTTTCTTGCTGGGTTTGTCCCTGTTGCAAACCGTCTTAGGAGCAAAGAAAACGGTACCATAGCGTCACACGACTTCATCACAATGAAGCGGGTGACCACGCTCGAGTGCCGATGCCACATCCAATGATGCCATCCAGTCTGTGTCTAGTCATAGACTGACCAGGCAACTCTTCTTGCAACGAGAAGCAGGTCTGTCTATCTCTTGGTCCCATGAAGCGAGTCAGAGGGTTTCAATGTCTTGCTGTCCACGCAGATATGGGACTCTCCACCCTCGAGACGAGCGGGGGCGCCATGAGCCATTAACTTTACCTCGTGATGGAGATTCCCGGGCATGCAGCGTTCGAACGCGCGACGTGGCGAAGCTTTACCTATTGTCATCTCGATAGTAAAGTCAAAGAAGCACAACATGCGCTATCGAACGTTACATACGCATGAACAGCAGACTTACGTCTGCTTGTCGAGGACAGAGAATGCAAAGTTCACTCGAACGCCTTAGCGTTATGCGGTTTTTGAGCGCGAAACCCTTCGACGCCTAACGTGATAATCTCAGCGTCCGCCCAAACGTGAAATTGTCGTTCAGAGAATCTTTCGACTTGGCCAAATGTCGTCGATACGGCGTCGGAGGAACGACGAGGACGCGGACGACGACGACGACAGCTACGACGACAGTGACTGGGTACCTGATTACGAGAACGACTCGGTGTCGGTTGAAGAAGACGACGACGACCACGACGAGGACGGCAGGCCCATCCTCTCGGCAGAACAGCGTGCCAAGTTGGACAAGGTCTTCAATGGAGAAGTGTACCTCGCGAGAGCCTTTCGACGATCGCCCTTTGAAACGAACCAGATGATCCAATTGCCGTTCGAGCGCATTGCGCATAAGTTACGTGGCTACAGTGGCGACACTGGGAGCAAGACCTCGTTGATGCGGAAGCAGTTTATGTTTCGCACGTTGTGCGATCGAGAAGTCGTGGGCAAGTCGTCGAACGTGCAGTTGGTCAAGCTGCAAGAGACCCTGATGCCTTTTCAGGAGCACAAGCACTGTCGAGTGGTCGACTCCGTGCGCGATCGATTGTACTGTGGTGGATTCAACAGCACCGGGTCGAGGTTCTTGACCGCTGGACAGCGGGGTGCGATCATGCTCTACGATACGATTGACTGGACGCGTGCAGCGTCTCTGCCCGTGCGTGATGTGAGGTGGACCGTGACGGACGCGAAGTTCACGCCGGATGACAAGAGTGTTTTGTACGCGACCATCAATAGCAACGTGCGCATGGTGAGCACCAACTTTGATGAAGACGGGAAGGAGGACGTGTACCCGTTGGTACACTCGGCGAGAGGAAGCGAAGATAGTCAGTTGATACGCATGGGTCGATTCGGACGTTTTGGCGTGTGGTGCATTGATATCAATGCGTCGGGCACGGAGTTTGTAGCTGGCACGTCGCAGAGCAGTGTCGTGTTGATGGATATGGAGACCCGCGTGCCAATATGCCACGCTGTAGGACACCATGATGACGTGAATGCCATCGAGTTCGTGGACGGACCTCTGCATACAAACGTCTTTGCAAGCGGGTCAGATGACACGTTGATTAAATTGTGGGACCGCCGAGTGCTATCGGAGTCGAACCCAAAGCCCCAGAGTGTGTTCCCAGGCCACACTGACGGCATTACACACATTTCGTCGAGAGATGATGGCTACTACTTCATTTCAAACTCAAAGGACCAGACCACCAAGCTTTGGGATATTCGGAAGTGCTCGTCGTCGAATGAACTCAGTGAAGCGGCAGCGTTTCGCAAGCCGTTTTCGTGGGATTACCGCTTCCAAGCGTACCCAGGACGCAATTTGATGCCGATCGAGCACCCCAATGACACGTCCGTGATGACATATCGTGGCCACATGGTTGTCGAGACGCTTATTCGCTGCTACTTCTCGCCATTACACTCCACTGCCCAAAAGTACATCTACACTGGCTCCGCGGACGGTCGTGTGTACGTATACGACAGCGTGTCTGGCGACCTGGTTGAGATTTTTGCAATGAAGCCGAATGGTCTCACCCGTGACGTGCGCTGGCACCCATTCGAGCCCACGATCGTGTCCCCCGACTTTTATGGCAAGTTATGCGTCTGGCAGCGTCAGGACGACGAAGAAGAAAATCGGTGCTCACCGGTCACTTCGGATTGAACTGCTAGGCGATGATGGTCGGATGCACCACCACATGACTGGAATCGAAGCGTCGAGGCAGACAAGGCATCGCAGCTTTGGGGCAATTGGTGTTCGACATCGGTGACAAACGGTTGAGACTATTGCGTTGGCTCTTACATAATTGTAACTACATGCACCCGAAGGTAGCGTTGAATTTGATGCGAGTACTACTACAAGGCACAAATAGTACAAACGGCTGAAGTGTAGTTGCACAGCTGCCACGTTGATTGAACAAAAAGACGTTAACTCGAGGGGCGCTCCTCCTTGGTGCTCAAGTACTTGGATCACGCAACGTGATCTACTGGACGATGGCGCGACCTGACTTGTTCTTCGAAAGCCAAAACGGACGTCGACTGCGTTGGCGGGTCCGTCCGCAAAGAAGATCTTGCGTGGCCCTTTGCCTCGACGATCTTCTGTGTTGTTGATATCGTTCTGATGCCTTCTCGCCGCTTCCCTCAAGTTCCATACCACAGCCACACAACAAAGTCCGACCCACGTACCATTCACTGCTCCTCGTTGTGGTGCATTCGTCCTGCTGAGCATATCTGAGCTTCACCAGCAGCTACAGCATGTGACATTTGCGGTAGGTCCCATCCCGCCGCAAGTGCCACTCGTCCACGTTTCCAGTATCGACCATCTCGACATATGTCTTTCACTGGATCCTCTTTTGTCCACACACCATCTGAAAGCGCTTCTGAACGTCACCGAGTGCAGCTTCGATCCCAGCAATGGCCACGCGATTCTCCAGTCAAAAACGTCCGAAAGATGCCCAACTGCCTTCCGTTGCCAGCTCGACAACCTCAACAATTTGTCGCTGTGTAGTCAGAACGAGTCACTTGTTTTCTCCGTTGTTGCCTCGGACTTTGATCGATTGAGTCAATCGCTGTGCGCGCAGTCGCTCGGACATATCCTCTCGTTCGGTACGTTTGGCGATGCTATGGACCAATCGACCCATTTGAGTGCCTTTTGTACCCACCTCCCCCACCTTGAAGTCGAATCATGGCTACAGAAAAGCGATCGATCGTGTGATTGGCTACAACGCTTATGCCACTGCCACAACGTAATAACAGCAGCTGCGGTAGCATGAAACGGGGGCGAGTGGCAACGCGCGGCTCGACGCGTCGTGCGCTACGACGCAAGAACATTGTGCTGGACGAAGACGACGAGGAGGAAGAAGAGGAAGAGGAAGAGGAGGAAGAAGAGGAAGAGGAGGACGAAGACGAGGAGGACGAAGACGAGACGCCGTTGCCAAAATTGACGCGTGCGCAGGCCAAGAAACAGGAGGAAGAGGCCAAGCGGAAGAAAAAGAAGGGCAAGAAGAAGGACGAGGAGGAGGAGGAACAAGAGGATGAGGACGAGGAGGAAGAGGACGAGGAGGAGGAAGCGGACGTTTTTGTAGGGAGACGTCGAACGGGTCGTGGGCGCCAACAAAAAGAGTCGAAGGTACAAGAGTTGGAAAGTCCTCCTCGAAAGAAACATAAGCGCAAGATCATTGACTCAGAAGAGGAGGAGGAAGAAGAACAAGAAGAACAAGAACAAGAAGAAGGAGGGGGCGATGAGAAGGAGCAGCTGGAGATCGACGAGGACGAAGAAGAGGATCAGGAAGGGGGCGGAAAAAGCAAGACGAGAGAGGAGGTGGAAGATAAAGATGACGAAGAGGAAGAGGAGGAAGAGGAGGACGAGGAGGACGAGGAGGATGACGAAGAAGAAGACGGGGACGAGGAAGACTATGAGAAAGATGCAGATGAAGACGATGATGACGACAACATGGACGAAGAGACGGAGAAAGCGAAGGCTCGGAAAAGAAGTGCGCCGGTGTGGAAAGGGGTGAAAAAGTCGACGTTGATACGAAAGACGAGAGCAAAGACTGCTGCATTTACCATTAGCCATCGGCAGGTATCTGCGGCAAAACCACGGATGAATAAAGGTCGACAGATCCGCGAAAAGATCGCCCAGAGTTCCGAGAGTGAGGAGCAAGAAGGGCAGGACTCTCAAGCCGTGGAGAAAGGTGCTGGAAGGACGAAGATCAGAGAGGATGAATCTTCGCTGAGTGAGATATCGTCTGCAGCCGCGACGCCGTCATCATCTCCGGCTAAGCGCAAGAGCTTGTCGATTGATACGCTGATGAACGACGCTAATGAGGGCGACGACCGTAGCGGTCAAGTTCGTGTCAGGATGACACCAGTATCGGCATCTGCATCAGATGCTGGTACGGATGGCGACGAAGTTCCAGACCAATACTTTCGTGGGGCACTTAGTGGGGCCACAACGGAGTCAAAAATAATGGAGGTACGCAAAGCGGATGCACGCTAGTCGGCGGCCTACTTCTTGTTCTATCTAACGCTGTAAATGCCGCTAGGTTATGACTGAGGCATGTGGTCGACTGCTGCGAGAAGGCAAGTCTCCAAGTCGACTGTTGTCCATAGGCTTGCTCAGTGCTGTGAAGGAAGGCCCAACGGTAGGTCTTTCATTTTCTGCTTTTGGTTGTAGCACGCATGATAGTGACGATGATGGTCATACTTTAGCGGTTTGGACAACCTGCCGTACTCAAATATCTGCTGCGGCTGCTTCGGTCAAAGCACTACATTGGGAAAAAAGATTTGATCGATCATGGAAGCAAGCCAAACGGGACTACATCACTGGGGTCAGGACAACTTCCGGGAGCAGCGGAGTATCATCAACTGCCGCTTCCTGTGCTGGTGACAAATGTGCTGTTTCAAGTCATGAAGGTACGCACACGCGAGGTGCTTACATTACTGTTTGCTTTGTGTCGCTAATGAAGTGTGTCAACGCGTATATTAGGACACGAACGAGTGGCCGGTCGATAGCGTCAAAGTATTCCTTGATGATTCCCTATATTCACGAGTCTGGGTTGACCACGAGCTCAGCCAGCTGTTTGTTCAAAACGTGAAGACAGTGCTAGAAACAGAAAGCAGCGATGAGCAAATTATTCAGCCTCTGGTTCGACAACGTTTTCGATGCGCCAATGTGGCGCAAGAGATGAGAAATCTTATCACCACTCACGTCAAATCGCGTCTTGTGGAGCTGAATAAGGAACGGTCCGGCAATTTGAGTGGATCCGCTGTCATTGGTGGCAACCATGCAGTTCGAAATATGATACTAACGCTCACTGACTTTGCTACAATTCCTCAAGTGCGGGTACTTGGTGCTGAGAATTTGGAAGTGTGGCTGCAAAACCCGTCCGTGAAAGGCCCAGCGAAAGAGTTACTGAACAAGATCGTGTCGCTCTGCAAATCGACAAGCTCTTACGACATTGCTACGGTGGACCTGCTTATGAAGCTAAAACTAAAGTCAACCATGTTTCAGCTGAAAGTCGAAGTCATCACGCATCTCGTGTGCAATCATCCCGTGTACCTAAAGCGTGCACTTTCGATTTTTATTGCCCGAGAGCGTCTCAGCAATATTTCGCGAGACGTGGACAACATCAAAGTGCTTCAGCACATATTCCGTGCGTCACGCTCGGCACCTACTGTGTTAGTCCTAGGGAACTCGGACGACCTGTTTTACCGTCGCCCCGCAGAACATCGCGGAACTCTTGCCAGTCGGGAGCTAGCACGCGTCTTTCGAGAAATGGCCAGCATCTCCGACGTAGCTCCAGTGCTGAAGACGATTGTGCGCAAGATTCTCAAGCAGCTGACATTCGAACAGGTTGACATAAAAGCGTTGTGCGTTGGAATGCTCAATAACGATGGTCACTGGGATGCGTTGGCGGGTGACGCGCGGATCTTGGACTACATGGGACTCATCACTGGTGTCGTCTGGCTGATTTTGCTCATGCGGGGAGCAGCTGTAAAAAGCCTTCAGATCCAGCAGTCTAATGCATCAAATCGTCAGGGCACTGGGTCGGCTGCTCTCGGTTCGTCTGGTCTGAAGCATGGTGGTGCTCAAGCTGCGCCCCGTCGTGGTGCCAACCCACCACTTTTGGTCTCTAGGGCAAACAGACTTGGTCCTCAAAAAGCCAAGCAGTCATTGAGTAAACCTTCGCTCTCGTCGAACCACCCCGCGGTTGGTGGGAACGCTAGTGCCTCTAGTAGTCAAGGTTCCAACGGAAATAGCGGCAGCAACGTGAATGGCGGCGCACCACCTGAAGCGTCAAAAACAGTGAAAATGTCTGTGTGGGCCAAAGAAGAACTACAACAAGCACTTGCCTTTGTGCAGCGAGAGGCAATACTGTGTTGCCGTGACGTCTTCACGCACTTCGGGCTCAGCGGTGACGCGCCTTTCGAGAAGATGCTTTACGAAAGCATTGTCAAGAAACTACTGTTTCTTGAAATGCCAACCGATGTGCAACCAACAGAGCACGATCGAACCTGTTTCCAAGCAACGCAAGAGGATATTCCTGTTCACCCCGACTCGTTGAAACTGCTAACGAGCCTATATGTATCATGCAAGGCTGTTGACTGCATGGAAGCTCTCCGGACGCTGGAAACTGTCGTTTTCCGCGGCGCCGAGGCTCATATGCACCGTGAAGCTTTGTGGCGCCACCACGAGAATGATTTGACTTCATATGCTCGGAATGGCGGTGTGCTTGGCATTGAATTGAACGACAGTCAATTTGTCCAGCAGTTGCTACAACTGGCAATGGTGCGTCGTAGCTTGTATCGCTTACCGCATATTGTTGCGGTATGACTCCATCCATTGACTTATGGTGACCGATGTACTTCTTACAGTGGCAAGGTGGTGATGACAAGCAAGAGCAACAATTTTGCCACTCAAGTCGCTTTTGGATTTGCTGTTCTATTTTGTTGGTACGACTGCACTTGTACATTTACACATATGGATGCGTAACGACTAAGTGTGCACTCTATGCGCTGATGGTACAATCTGCAGGTTGTTGGATGCTTCAACCCCGACACGGTGGGCGCATCCTTATGGGAGGATTTCCCGACTTTGCGAGGAATGATGCAGATGATCATTACTGGTCGATACACGTTCCCCGCTGTAAAGGCCCCCGATCTACTGTTACTCGGGAAGCACAGAAATGCGTTTCCAGACCTGATCCAAGGTAATTTGCAGCTGCGGGATTATGAACAGCAGTTTTTGCAGCTGAACCAAGCAGACCCATCTGTGACAGAGGACCCCCTCATGCTGTTTGATGCCTGCGGGTTGGCACGCCAACCGCCGCCAGCGATTTTGGAGCACTTGCGCACCTTGGATCTCAAGTTTAAGCTTGGCACTCGTCTCCGACAGAGCCGTAAGAAAGATTTTCTCATGGAAATGGTCTCTGGAAACGATGACAAACAGATGGCGCTGAATGCCAGCCCGGCAGACAGCTCAAATGATAGTGCGTCGTGGATCGCAGATGTTGTGTGCGAGGACTTCAATACTGTGCAGTACCTCCCGCATGGGTGCTTGTGTCAACTGCTTCTTCATGCACTACGCACCAACAACTCTCGTGAAAACATGCAAGGACATGCGCCGTCAAATGTACCAGCTTCGACTCAAATAATTCCGCGCTTACTGGAAAAGCTGCGCGAATACCTCGCTGACGAAAAAACTAGCTCAGGGGTGGCATCTAGTATTATCTTGTACTATCTGGAATGCCTGAATTCCCCCGAGTTGGCTACGCGTCGAGTAGCTGGTCATGTTTTGTTTTTGCTGACTGCGCCTCGCACCGTTGATGAATTATTGAACGAAAGTTTTCGAGTCGGTGCTACTTTCGGTAAAGAAAGCAGCTTGAGCTTCTCATGGCTTCGCGATTTGGCAAAGCTATCGTGCTATGGCAATATTCGTAACCGAATATCTCGCTCCTTAGAAAACTTACTAGAGCTGGAAGCATCTATTCCGTCACTCGGCACATGCATGAAAGCATTGCACGATTTCTCGAAAGATTGGAGCGATGTAGCAACTCGCGCTGGTGCGTTGGAACATGGCAAGACGGATGACGATACGAATTACCCACAAAAAAGCGCTATCGAGCAATCGCTGCTGCTGGCGGGGGCATATGGAAGGCTTCTAGCTGGGCGTGATTTGGTCGCAACACTACTGCTCAAGGACCACGATATTTATGTCATCGCAGTGGAGGTAATATGGCGTGCGATTGAATCGCAGCTGGAGATTGCTCCACAACTTAAGGCAACGTCAGGAATCAGCTTTTCAGACTGCAAGGTGTTCTACGTGACCGACGGGGCGAACACCATTCGTGAGATCAAGCTTCCCCTCGCGATTATCCATGGTGCCATTCAGGTCCTTTGCTCACCACACGCACACAGCGATCTATCTACACGCGACAGCAACCGGACAGCTACATGCTTAGCGAGGCTGACGCAGAGCTTGTTCCCGAAAGCGACGTCGAACGCAGCTATCTTATCTAGCACTGGTCTTGTTGCTACAAAGGATTCGCGCCTGTATCCAGACCACTTGCTGATCAAACTTGCAGTAACAACCTCGTCAACGACGTCACACCTTTGCGCTGCCGCCATTCGCGCAATGTCAAACGACGCACTATGGAGTCTTCTCGACCAGTCAGCTCTCACCAGCCGTTGCCTCGAGATGGCGTTGCACATTATCCTCGAGACGATACAGAAGTTCGAGAGCAAAGCCGTTGCTAGCTTGCTCGCAGTGACCAAGGAGTCGGATATTTCGGCTGCAGCGGGCGTTGTACTGATGCAAATAAGTGTCTACGACGCGATAGACTCGCTCGCACCGGCCGTAGTTGAGAGTTTGAATGCACTGCGAAGTTGGCTGCAAGTACGGTACGAAGTTGATGGCAGTATGGATACCGACGAAGACGATGAGGAGGAGGCTCTCTTGCTATCTGGAGGGTTTACAACGTTCAAGATTGATGCATCCGGGCCTTGTGCTACACTTGGCACATCTCCGTTTTACACAGAACCGATGGTTGAAAATGTTGCCAAGCCGGCACGACGTAGTGTCGAGCACCCGCAAGGTGATGTCACACTATTCGAGAATACCTACTTCAGTTTAGCGGACTGTTGGAACGCAAAAAACGATGTGGTTGAACCTGATGTCAGTGCACCTTGCCTCAACCGTTTGGTAAAAGAGTTGAAGAAAAACTCTAGCACGGGGTCTTCACCAGCTACCATGGTCCCCGTGGACTTTGTTGTAGCCGCAAGCCAATTGGTGCGACGGTCGTGCCCGACGAGTGAGGACAAGGAAACGTGTTCTGCGGCTGACACATGGACTTTGCTCACGTCTTTGCTTCATTTTGCTCGCTCTTCTTGCAACTCAGCAACTGCCGCTACCCAACTTGCCAAGGCGTTGTTTCATGTGACGGACCACTTACCAACTTGTACAAGTGTTTCTCACCGCAAGGAATGCATTGGATTCGTACGTCATATACTTGACAATCTTGGCGAACATTTTGCTGGATCGTACTCGGCTTGTGTCAGCTTTATCAGGCATTTGTCGCATATCTCCACGTCTGAGGGTCGCTACGAGCTTGACGATCCAGTAACGGCTCTAGATGTTTTGGCAGTACTTGAGCTGGTAGTGCAGTTTATCGATGAAAGTCTTACTTGGTGGAAAAGTCGCGGCAAAGTCCTTCAGCTGGACGCCATGACGCTTCACGGTTTGGTGGTGCTTGTGAAAGAAGTCAAGGTACTTGAACGCCTTCAAGTCGATACGAGGAATCTGTCAAGGCCTTGTGCCGCGGACCTCCTGACGCGCATCGCGCATGACCAGGGGGGCGATAGTACGATGCTGAACCTGTTGGATCCGATCATGACAGCTGACCCGCAACTCGGACACATCCGTGGTGTTGTCACTACCCACGCAGACGTCAAGCGGGAACTCATCGGAGTACGTACATGTAAATCTATGTCGCATCTGCGATTTACCCACTAAACTGTTCCTTGTACATACAGGCCTTGTACTTCCAGAATCCCCGGCTGGTGGCTGAACTCATGAGTGCTCTCGATCCAGACTGGGAGTCGTTTGTGATCGTAGACGCCGCGGATAATAGTTCAAACCAGCAGCGTGAGCTGGTCATTCAGGATCGTCGGTTATTGTCCCAGGTGGATGATACCCTGCACGACTTGACAAAGGATGGAACTGAGGTCATCGAACGATTTCGAGAGCTTGCTAGACATCACCCGAAATTAGTGTTGTCACGATTTCCTCGGCAGCTCATGCAGTACTTCGGCACTTTATCGCTCTCACAGCTTTATCTCAACACAACGCTGTTCCAGAATGTACGTCCACCTCTTCATCTTGCAATAGCGCTCTTGGCGATGTTGTGTGTGTCGCTAACCAAACAACTGCTATGGGTGTAGATTTTGAGCGCCATGCAAATTACGTGGCCTCACATACGCCACCAGCGGAGCGTGATGACACCGTTTTGCCAGTTCCTGTTCGAGATCCTGCGGGTCGTAGCCGATCATCATGCTGTCGAGTTCTACCAACTCGTGTCTCACACATGGGAGTTTTTCTATGACGCTCTAGAGGCTGACTTCGATCTTGCGAATGACCTGATCTTCTCGGCACCGCGTATCGTCTTGTTGGAAAGCATTGTGAGTATGTTTGATTCGCAGCCGGGAACAAAAGCGTTTGGGGAAATTTTGGCGCAGCGTCACGATGAAGAAGACTTGTATGCGACGCTAGACATGATCCGAAAGCGACGTGACTACCAGCCATCGGCAGCGACCCAATACGATCAGATTGAGCAGCTGATAGCTCAAATTGAGAGCGAAGACTTTGTGCTTGCTTCGGGCAACAAGTCGTTGACCGAGCGTGTCGACATGACAGTCATTACCCAAGGACTGCGAGCTATCGATGTTTTGTGTGCGAAGGCGGACCAGGGGGCAGCAGGGGTGGCTTTGTTGCGGCGCTGCGCAGCACCAGTGGCATCACTGCTAGTGACCGAGATGGTGACAAAACCAATGATGGCCCCGCTGTGCCAAACCTTGCTGATCCTGATGAGGAACGACTCAGTCTGTGTCGACGAAGTCATGCGCTCCTACGTCAAGTGCCTGCGCTGTGTGCGAGCTGGACTGAAGGAAGCTGCAATCAACGCCGTTCTCGAGTTCCTCGTGTTTGCTGACGCGCAGCAGCGGCGACAGATCCTGCAGCAACTCTTTGACGACCCGAGCGAAGTTGCCAAGAGTAAGCTCGGACTATATTTGAAGAGCACGGCGTTCCGCTCGTCACTCCTTGTAGCATCAAAGCTATCAACGACGTAAGTTGGCAATGCAAGCTCTTGACATGAAGTACCATCGTTATTACTCTGTCTTGGTCAACTTTGCGATAGACGGCGAAGTCGCAGCGAGCACCATGCTGGTCAAAATCCCGGCAGCTTGGCCGAGCAACGTGCCATAGACACAAGTCAACGGCCATTGCTGGATCAGGCAGTGAGTGTGTCAACAAACAACATGTCAGCCGAGTCTCTCTTCTAGACAGCAAGCAGGAAGCCACAGCACAGCACTTGTCTCACCTGCCAAGGTCGATCCCAGTCGAGCGGGATGGGGAACGCACCAACGTAAGCGCCGAGGGCAGCACCAATGGAGGAGCACACTAGATACAGCTCGAGCACCGTCGTAACCCTGCACCGCATCGCATCACACCCACACACAGAGAGGCCGCAACACGGTCAACAACCAGCCGACAACAAGAGCTGATCCAACACCACACAGTCGTCGGTCGGTCGGTCGGTCGTCCAGCCAACAAACAACGAGTCCAAACTGCACCTCAGCTCGAGCAGCAACGTCCGCCACTTTTGCGGCGCCCACGTCAGATGCAGCGCCAACGGCATTGTCGTAAGGCTCGACAGCAACACAGCGAGCAACAGCGTCTGCGGCCACAAGCTACAGCACAACAAGCAATCAACAGCACATCCACAGTCAGGTCCCCCAATAACAATTACAACCCCAATAACAACCACAATCACAAAAACAGTAACCCAAACAAAGTGACAGCGTACGAATCCCTTTGGTACGTACTCGACGACGGGCGCTCCAAAGAGAACGAGCGTCACGTGGAACGCCATTGCGCCCACGATGAGACCTCTGAGACCGGCGCTCAGGTGCGCCCGCAGCAGCCACTGGCGGTCGTGATGACAGCGGAGCATCAGAGCGCTCGAGACGAGCGACGACGTGGCAACGGCACACACGAGCGGCACAAGACCCGTGAGGACGGCATCTTCGAGGCGCTGGTCGAAGCTGAAGGAACAAACACGTCGAGTATAAGTGTGTGTGTGAAGTAGTGCGAGCAAAGTGGGCACACGCGCGACGCTCTGATGTGTAGTAGTGAACGTACAGTAGGACGGAGAGGTATCGGGTCGCGACGCTCGGCACGAGGAGCTGCAGCGTCGCGGCCGCGACGAACCGCTGCATGGGGCGGACGCTAAAGGTGCGGTGGGGTCTCGAACGAAGTGGGTTGAAACACTCGTCTTTTTACGATGGACCGAACTAGAAAGTAGTACTCGAAAAGGCGCTACTTTGTAGTACTTGTAGTAGTACTTGTTGTTGTTGTTGTTGTTGCTCGAACGGACTGAGTTTTTTTGTTTAAACGTTTTTTCCAGATGTTTATCATTGTCGCACGTGCTCGCTGCTGGTTTCGCCAGCGAAACGGAAAGCGTCGTTTGCAGCGCGTTTTTTGCGCTGGACCTGCGAGAGTGTTGTTGTGAACGGCTGTCCATGACGCCCAAACGCGCGCAGGCACTGACGGCGTCGTGGCCCACGAGTTCAGCGACCAACTTTTCGAACCTGCCCCAGGACAGACGAGGGAAAATGGTACGCACACGAGCAGAACGAAAACAATCGGCGGGCGTGCGCTCGTGACGTGTTCATTGCACATGTGCAACTGCCAGATCCTGACCCCAAAGCCGTACTATGCCACGCACGACACGATGCCGCCACCGACGCCAGGTCGGGCGATTGACCCGATTTCGTATTGTACATAAAAGCGTTATTACGAAATGACGAAATGATACTATTGCTCGTGGGGGGGTTATGGCGTGTGTACCCATGTAGTCATCCCAGTGCTGGCTACACTCTCGATTGCAAGCGATCGACCTCAAGCTGCAGGAGCTCACGTACGTAGACAGCACCAAATAGACTGTCCATTTGGTACTTTGACCTGAAAGTGCTGTCTCTTGTCTGTAGGTTGCTGGCAAACGAGACAACGGTGACGAGGCCTCGAATCCCCGGCCACGAAAGCAGTATCGACCGTGAGCGGATAAAGCTCGGGTGGAATCGATCTCCTAGCGACGTCGCGGACAGTTCTACAGAGCGTGTTGTGTTCCGGCAATGGCATTGTCCTGACGTCGACGTCGCGCGCGACCTGTGCGAGGATCGCTGATCCCGTGTCACTGTGGAAGTCGCAGAGGAAGTGCACGAGTGATCGAGTCAGGAGCGTGAGTCTCGGTCCGATCCAGCAACGCAGGACCTCTGTCCATTGAGAGCACTGTCAGTGTAGCCGGAACAGGATCGAGTGCCACAGGATGACGCAATTGCCGCGTGGTAAGCAGGTGCTTGTTTGATGACACGTCGGTACGACACGTTCCGAGCTGGTCCAGCAGTGTCCACTTTCATGCGAGATACAGTGTCCTAGCTTCTGACTATACGCTTGTCGTGGCGCCACTGCAACCAGCTGCAAAACAGCACCATAGAACGAATGGCAAGCAATGCCGTCACGGTACGAGACGCTGCGTCTACGATCGTTCCGGACGCAGAGATGTGAGTGCCGCAGCAGATGTGTTGCAATTCATCCCACGCCACTGCCCCTTCGCCAGTTTATGGATTCCCTTTTGCAACATCCGTTTGCGTCCGTTTACATTCGTCATCAACTCCAAAATAGTCCGTTCGCTCCTTGTCCGCCGTGCCCGTTTTTACCATCAGAGTGACCGGTTGTGTCTCATTCGGTCGGGTCGTCATCATTTATAGGACGAATCATGCCGTAATCGTATTTAGCCCATCCGTGGCCACCCATCCATTTCTCATCAGCGCGAGACCCAGCGCGTCGACGGTATCCGTTATGGCGGGACTTGTACCCGTGCTGCGACACAGGGCCCCCGTGCTGGCGTTCAGCGCCATGTGCGCAGGAGCCGCTTACGCCGTGTACTACGCCCATCACCAGCAGATCACGGAGAAAAAGGTGCGTCCACTGTCGCAGGTCTGTCGGTGGTCAACGTCCATTGCTTACTAACCAGTGCCTTAGACCATGCGCCAAGGCGTGATCAACGATATCAAGCGGGACCGAATCAAGCGGCGACACATGGAGCAGCAACAGCAGCAGCAACGGGAACTGGACGCTCAGCAGTAGACGCCGAGTGTGTATCGTGTGGTTATCCGTCACGTGGACCCGTTTCCACGCTGACGGTTTTCCGATTCGGAGCATGTTCAGACACGTGCAGTGCTGCTTGAATGACCTCAATCATAGCCTTGCAGCGCTCTTGATCCACGTAGTCGTACTTGAGAGCCATTTCATCCGCCCACAAGTGGAAAAACGCTTCAATGTCAGCCGACTGTGACGTTGCAGACAACTGTGACTGGCTTTCTCCGTGTTCCTTATCGCTGTCGCTTTGACGTGACGGGTCTCGCACGGTCGACAGTTTTCTGTCGTCGTCGATGGACTCGAGAACGTCGCCGATGTTCTCCACGTTTGCTTGCAACAGGTCCCTCACACGCTGGAGAAATCGCTGGGACTCAGCGTTGCAATGGACTGCCATGTTGCAAACGTAGCAGCACACCAGGAGCTCGAGGGGGTATTGTAGCAGACAACACACTTGAGCGACACTGCCGACTCGGCGATGGAGTTGCAATAGGAACCTCTCGAGCTCTTGGAAAAACGGCTCGACAGTCGCTTCGTGACTACAGTGCACGAAATCCGAAGACGCAGACAGCTCGACAAGCTCCAGCGTCGTTAGTGTATGGAGAATGAGCTCCACAGCTTGACCGAGTTCCACTGGGTGTTGTTCTTCACGCGTGTCTACAGCGACGTTGAGAGCGGCGAACACCAGTCGCCAAATCGATGTTGCGGTCCTGTTTCGTTCACCGGGTGGTATCTCGCGGTACGGAGTCGACGCTAGGCGACGGAACAAGGCTACTTGTGAAGGCAGCAGTGCCAGAAGCGGTACCTCATCTTGTCCGCGAACGATGTTGGCAGTGATCCACGTAGTTAGCCACGTTTCGAGCAGGTCGCCAGTGACATCTTCGAATTCGAGATGCAGGTACAGATCCGTCACGTAGCCAGTAAACGTGCGTTCCCAACGCCTTACGTGGGCAGACGGATCCTCCAAGAACGACTGCGAATAAACCAGCGCTGCTGTCAACCAGCTTGCGAACGGTACAAAGAGCTGCATTGCGGGCATGACCGCCATGTCTTGTGCTCGATTTGTTGCAGCAGTCCAAGCTGATGACACAACAGTCTGCAATGCACGATGCGCTTTGTCACTGATCAGGCGCTCGCAAGACCAGTAGCAGCTTGCGCGATTGTCTGCAATAGCCAATCTTGCCACCTTCGAGAGCTTTAGCAGACACAGCACCTCGTCAAGTTGAGTAGTAGCACCGTCGATGTTACAACCCGTCGGTGCCGCAGTCGTGTTGGCAGCAATTGATAGTAGCTGCAGCACATCTCCAGTGGTTGTACGCAACCTGTCGAGAACATCGTTGTTCGAAATCGCGTATGCACCCGCAATCCGCCTCGAACCCGACATCAAAGCTGTATGTAGTACTGCTGCGATCCAATAGGCCTCCCGAAGCACTCTCGCACCACCGTCGGCTTGTTGCCTTAGCTCGTTCAGACACGTGAGGAGCAAGTCAGCTTGGAGCGCGCCGTCACAAAAGCCAGTCTGCAACACATAGTCGAACAGAATTGGGAGGTACGTGACAGCAGACTGCACATTGAACAATGCGCTTGACCACGACAGTCCGCCATCAAAGATCGATGCCGACCTCGCCAAGAGCTTCAGCGTGTTTTCTTGATAAATGATCGACTTGGCTCGCTGCGCACGAAGTGCCATTCGTCCGTCGTCATTGTCTTCGTTTTGCTGGATGGCACAGTTCGAGAATTCCAATCCCCGCAGTGGGGAGCTCAGTGTCGCTACTGCAGTCTCAGGCAACAGCACACGGCTGTTCTTCTGGATGACCTTCGTCAGGTCATCGAATGCATCAGGCGAACGACATTTGACAACCGCCTTGACCAGCAAGACAGAAAGTGTTTCGAGGTCGGGAAGCGCTGCCGCGGAGAGATACGAATGCAACGCCATTTCAATTCGAACGGCCAATGTCGACAAAGACGTTGCTGCAGAGCTCAGTTTCGACCGATGCGTCTTGCCGTTCAGCTTCCCAGCTTCTTTGACAAATGCTTTCAACGTGAAGACCAGGTGAGGATCGAGCGGAGTCATGAGCAAGAAGCGCATGTCTTCAAACTCGTTTGGAAACCAGCGGATGAGTCTGGTACATAGGACAGAGAGCTCCAGCCGAGATTCTTTGGCAGCAAAAGCTGCGCCATTCACTTCGACAAACGAAAACCAGCGCTCCAGTTGTTGCCTCAACTCTCCGAATGTTCCCACGGTGTCTTTCATCTGACTCATGAGCTGACGCGTTTGTGCAACGTCAGCAAACCTGACCGCACGAAGGAAACGTTGGAGCACATTGCTCGAATGCGATACAAGCTCTCGGTCAAGCAGATCCGACGTGGTTGACAAGCCCTCTTCAGTACGCGCTTTGACAGCTGACAGGAATCTCCAAAGCCCCCCTTCAAGCGATGGCGGACAATGCGGTGCGCTTTGTAGCACCTCCGACGCAAAGTCAAGCGCTCCTCGTGTTTCTTGATGTATCACATCGTCTTTGCTGTAACACTCGAGAAGCTCTGCCACGACGTCCAGCTCGACCATGGCATGGAAACCCCATCTGTTGGCTTTACTGGGTGCTTCCTTGGTGTGCGAGCTCTGGTAGACATCCCACGCCTCGCAAAACCGCATCAACTGAACAAGATACGACGCTGTTGGCTCGCTGTCCTTCAAGACGACATTGATAGAGTTCACGATAGCAGCAAATTGCTGCTGCCTCGTCTTTCGTTCATTCACGTTGGCTCCACAGGTTGATTTCATGAATGAAGCCAGGGCTGGAAAAAGCAGGTGTATCATACCTCGTTCATCCATCTTGCTGGAAATATGGAAGCTTGCACTACTTCGCAGCAAGAGAGCGATGAGATCGATGGTCCAGGTTTCCTCGAAAGTGATCATCATCCGCACGAGTACTCGGCGTACAACTAGACGATCCCCCTCACCCCGGATAAGCTGCCGATAAATCGAGCCGCCGCTTGATATCACCTCGCCTCCAGTCACAACGATTCCATGCATGATTGTATGGCAGTACCTCTGGAATGACCTCAAGAAGTCCATATCACGATGCGAGGTTGTCAATGTTTTTTTCGCGCCAACACTGAGCACACACTCTTCGAGAAACATGCACCAAGCGATACCACCTTGTGTACAATCCGTTCTCGAGACTTCTGTACTAGCTTGACTCACAAAAGCATCCCACTGCCTGAAGTAGCTGCTGTCTTGCTGCTCGCCAGGCTCAACTTCCGAGAAAATCTCAAACAGTGAAAAGAGAAGCCCCAGCGGAGATGTTCTACTCCACGCAGAAGACGTGTTCGAGGATGATGAAATCGCTCTATGTCGTAAGCCTCGAGACTTCAACAACTCGCGCAGATACGACCGCAAAATGCGCCTTGACGGCGACGTTGAAGTTCTTGTGAGGGTAGTTGATCGTAGAAAAGCTCCAGCATAGGTGCTGTCCCACACAATCGCAAATGCGCTGATGATCGTAGACATGTCGATCGATAGTGACTCTATTACATCCAGCACAACGAGGAACCCGGGGAAATGAGTAATTCGCATCCTTGCCTCAGGAAGCATAACCATACTCGCAAACTCATCTACCTTCGAGCAGTGACGGACGGCATCGACCAGCGTGATGTGCTCCATCTGTGTCATGTGCTTACACTCGCGCTCCCAAACGCTCGTCCACATCGTCTGAAAAGCACATGTCGCACTCGCTGCCGACCGTGCAGCAGCTTTGCCAATTTCCCGATACGCCGAGATAGTCATTGATGGCTCGATAGGCTGTTCAGTCATCACTGACGATATCTCTGAATGCTTTCGTCTTCGACTCGTCCTCCCACCTGAGATCAACCGAGCAGCCGGTCGCAAGTCCCAGAACGCAGACAACGCCATCATCGCCTTGTTCGTCGCGTAGCTCTCTCCAGCCTTTTCCAGCACACGAGCGGTCCGCTGCGCACACGCAATGAGCAACTCGCCGCTACCGCATTTTGACCACAAGATGTCCGCGCTCGCGCCGTCCCGACAAAAGCGACAGGAGGACGTATCGTCCCTGACACTTTCCCGTCTCTCGACCACTTGTTTGCCACATGCTGCTCTCGTTCTCACTCGCTTCACCGAGAGCACTTGACTCGATTCATTCGACGCAGAGATCTCTATAAGTTCTTCCAGTAGCTTCTCACCGACTTGCTGGATCCACTGCTGCACTGCCGTCTCTCGACACGTCTTCTCTTGGCACCGCAATGCCCACCCGAGCAGCAACATCCGAACTCGTAGCGGCAGCAGTTTTCCGCCAATAACGCGCTGCAGAACAGCGAGCGACTCGAGCGCTACGACAGCGTCCAGAACTTCGCCTTCGTCGCGTGTAAAGAGTTCGCATTGCGCCAGTTTCTGGCACAAAGAAGCCAAACAAACGGCTTTGTACTCGTCCAGATCACTGCGTTGCTGCCACGTGCTTCGTTTCGCTCGTTTGCGAGGCGTTGGGGGCATTTTCGCGACTTCAGTGGCTACGGATCGAAACTCACGCAAGACGTGGCGCTTGAGGACGGGAAACCGACGCAGGTACTGCCAGTCAGGAGGCGGCACTTGCTCGAGGGCGCACTCGCATAGTGCGTGAGCAGGAGCGCTGTTTGTGGCGGTGCTGGGCGTGAACAGAGCGCGTACAGAGCGCTCGAGAGACGCGACGGCGACTTCCATCGGTCAGGTGGTACGGTGCGAGTGCGAGTATTGCGTGTGTTGGAATGATTGCGACTAAACGGTTGCGTTATCTTTGATTGCATCTTTTCGGGGCGACAAGGGTGGCAAATAGAGGTGTGATAGGGATACCGTCTGGTTACGGCGCTGTAAGGAGAGCAGAACGCTAAAAGGTCCCTTATTCTCCCAGCAGACGTCGTCGCGGGAGCTGCGCTACCGGTCGAAAGGCATTGTTATATCCGACACGGGAGAGCTAATGGTGGGGCGATACGCGACATCAATCAATCTGAATGCATCATCAACATCTTCGCCAACACACACGACACTCAATCTGAATTAGCCTCCAACGTCTTTCTAGAGCTTCGTGCACCACTACTGTCGTCGTCGAGGAAAAAGCAACAGGCTGAACGGCCGTCGTCTATTCTCCTGCAACAGCACCACCGAAGCCATTGCAACTCTCTTCTTCGTGTGTTCCTCCTCCTATCTCCACGTTCGCCACCATCACGGACGACCTGCTGCTCACTTAATACTGGTAACCACTCGCGCCGTAGGGATTACTGCCCATGCTCCCCATGCTGCCTTGGCTGCTTGCGTACGGGTTCGCCTGCATCCCCCCCATGCCCATGTTCGGCTGCATTCCCAACGCCATGTTCATTCCTGGGGCCATGCCCATACCGTATTGTGCCGATGGGTCGTTGAAAGCCGTGGGCGCGATGGCCAACATGGGCTGCATACCGCCCATGCCGTACGCCGGGTCCAGCGACTGTGCGTCTGTCTCCGGCTCCTGCTGCGTCTGTGTGCGCTCGTCGAGAACCTTCACCTTGTCGTTCAGGTTCTTCACAAACTGGATCATGTAGGGCATCACAAAGTCCGTGTAGCCGTGGCGCCACGCAAGCTCCAGTGCAACGTCAGGCTTAATCAGCTTGTAGCACGTGAACAGAGTCGCGCAGAAACACTCCTTGTCGTGGACAGACACAAAGAAACGCAGAATGTCTTCAGCGAGCTCCGGGTCGTCGGAGTCACTCGCACAGTCGATGCAGTCCTTGTACATTTTGTCGGCCTTTGACAGCTTTACAGACTGCGGGTAACGCTTGTTCTTGCGGTACAGGTAAGCGGCGATACGGCGGAACTCCAGCAGCTCGTGCTTCTCCAGCTTTTGCGCGAGCGAAATCTGGTCAAAGTTTTCGTATGCGTCCACAGAGTCGCGGAGGGCCTGGTAGTCTTCGTCCTCCACCAGGATTTCGTTCAGTGCTTCATTGACGGCCGACAAGTTCTCTTTCTGTACGTCCTTCAAGTATTCCGCTACCAACGGCAAGTTATTCGACTTGCGGAGCTGGTGGACGACACGAGCATGGTCCAGGTTGGGGGTCAGCACTTGCAAGAGACGCGTTAGCTCAAGCGGGTGCTGCTCCAGATAAAAGTTGATCGCCTTGTAGTGGATCTCCTGATTGCGGACCCTCTGAATGCAGTCCAGGAAGAGGTCGTGCGAGAATGCGACTGGATGGTCGACCATGGTGCGGACAGCATTGTCAAACTGGCCGTCTTCCTTGTACAAGTATACGGCGTGGTCCCAGTGCAAGCCCTTCTCGCAAGCACGGAGTATCTTTGACACGTTCATACGCGAGTGGAAGATCTTGATATGCTCCATGAGCTTCGATGGCATGTACTTCGAGTACAGAATCGCCAGCTCGGTAAAGATGCCGGCATGCGCGCCTTCTAGACCCAGGCCTTGTTCCATTAGCTTAAGCAGCTCCGTTGAATGACCACGTTTCTCGTAGTGCAGGATAAGCTCTTCCAGGTGGTCCGGGTGGACGATAATATGCAAACCACACAGGGCAGCAAGACGGAACTCGTTCACGTCCACACAAGCGTAGTTGACTTCCTTCCACGTTCCCACAGAGTTGGCCTTGGTAGCGGCATCCACGGCCTCGCGGAACTTGTCGAGGCGCACGTAACAAATGGCGAGCTTAGCGTTGTTGTTGATGTTCTGGAACAGCAGCTTTGCAGCAGTGTACATGCCTTCCTCGTAGCATCGCTCTCCAATGTTTTGGATCTGCGCCACGTTCGGAGAAGATATGAACTCTTCCAGATCCGAGTACTTCTCTGTCTTAGCGTACGCATATATCAGCGACGTGTCCAGATGCTGCTCTTTCACCGTCTTGCGCGCCATCTTCAGGTACGGAATCAGCTCGTTGTAATTGTCGATGCGCTCAGCAGCGGCAATCACATTGACATACGAGCTGGCGTCGTTCGCCTTGATGAAGGCCGACAGGGAGTCGTGCACCTCACCTTGCTCCAACTGGGCTTTAGCCAAGCGAGACCACACGTCGGGTTCATTACAGCGGTCAGCAAACTCGTAGGCACGTTCGTTGTCCTTGATGTAGTCCAACAGCACACCGATTGCCTCGACGTTGTGGTTTGTCTTTTTGTAAATGACGAAACCCTCCTCGTAGAGCTGGTACTGCTCACCCACGGCAATACGAGCGATCTCTGGGCCGTCAAAGTTGTCCAAGCGATTCACATAGTCCATGACTTTCTCCTTGCCGGCCTTGATTGCGGTCAGAATCAGCAGGTTTTGCAAATTCTTGTTTGCCGAGAAGTCCGTACCCTGAAGAACGATGCGCTCGAGCAGTTCAATCAGCTCGTTCGGTAGTTCGGCGTTCATGAATGCGCGCACGGTAGTCGACACTTCGTCTGGGTTGGTCGTCTCCGGAAGCGCTGTCTGCACCACCTGATCGATCAAAGCACGACGGCTGGGAGACTCTGTCTCGCCTTCTTCTTGCTTGACAAGCACCTTGCCCCATAGATCCAGGTCCTGACGCTCGACCAAGTAGCGCGCTAGATCCTTGAACAACCCATTTTCCGTCGTCACGCGAACAAGGTCGTCATCGCATGCTCCGCCCGCGCGACGGTATGCCAGGTACGCCAGTGCCGGATCGAGCTTCTCACAAAACTTACCGACAACATCCGAGTCGTAGAACTGATTGTTGATCAAAAACTGCTGTGGGTCTTTGTTCAGCGTGATGTATATCTTGCCGATAGCGTTGTGAGTTGCCGTCTCGGTGTTTCCCTGGGCAACGCGTGTCTCAAGCCACGGCTGCAACAGACGCAAGCGATTGCGCTTCTCAACTTGCTCGCACAGGTCGTCTACGGGGCACTGGGCAATCTGGTTCAGCAGGTTCTTGATGTAGTCTTCGTTGCAGTCTAGGTCCAGTAGCTTGCCGATGACAATGGGTGCCTTCTGTGGGCTAACCTTGGTCACATACACGTCAATGTACTTCATCAAGTTGTTCGAGTACAAGTATTGCGTCAACTCCTCTACAAAATCGTAGCGGTCGCAAACGTGAATGAGTGGACGCGGGTCCTGCAGCTTAGACTCTTTCAGAAACTCCTTCACTCTGACCGGATCGTACACAGAAGAGTCGCGGCACACGCGCTCTACTTCCTTGAACTGGCCCATTTTCGTAGCAGCTTCAATGTACTTGAAGTGCAAGTCAGGGTCCTGCGAAAAGTTCACAATCGAACCCAGGAAGAAGTAGAGTCCGTCGAACGATTTGAACGTCTCGAACACCCCCACAAGCTCTTTACCACCCAGTTGCTCGGCATACTTGGTGGCCACCTGCACAACAATCTGCAGGTTTTGACGCATGTTGTGTGCCATCAGAGCATTGATAAGCTCCATCGATATTTCACCCGTCAGTGTTCCAAAAAACGTCACGATGAACTCGTGATTGATCGCCTGCGTGTTCACAATCACGCGCTTCAGGTCGGGCAGCTCCGTGTAGTGTTCCAGAGCACGCTGGAACAAGCCAGCCTTTTCGCACAAGGCAGCGATGCGAGGTCTGTCGTAGTGCGTGAACATGTTGTTCGACAAAATGGCGTCCGCTACCTGTGGCGAGCCGCCCAGCAAATTGATCTCCAGCAGACGCGTCTGCAAGTACCCCTCTTCAGGACGGTTATTCTTCAGGGCCTCCAGCAAAAATGCGGTCGTCTCTTGGATACGGTTTACTTGCATGAAAATGTCGACAACAGCGTTGACGTCCACTAGTGGGCCATTTTCTGCAACCGCCAGCTTCTGAGCAAAGTCCAGAGCTCCCTGTGGGTTAGCACGGACCAAGTTCTGAAGCATGAATGTGTAGTCGCAGCGGTAATTGGTCTGGACGGCATAAGCGACAATCTTGTCGAAGTCGCCACGCTGGACAAAGCAGTTAATCACCTTCTCAGGGACCTCAGCGCGCAAATACACTGACAAGGCCATAGTGGTGTCGGACTGAGCGACAAGGTCACCAAGCTCCTCCGAACACTCGAGCTTGTCCTCGGACAGCCATTTCTGCAACAGCTGGCCGCGACCTTGCATCAGCACGGGACGCGCTAGCTCAATCGACTCCATCTTGTTCAGTGTGCCCTTCTCAAGCAGGACGCTGAAGTACTGCAAAATGGGCTGGGGCTGGCCTGGCTGAGCAGGCATCTGCTGGAAGCGCTGGATCGTTTGCGGCGTGCGAAGAGCGCCCTGAGGAGAAGCGGCTGCTAGACGGGCTGCACCCTGGATATCGTTTACACTCACCAGACGATTGAACTCGGTGAAGTACAACTCTTCAGCACCCGGGAGATCCAGTCGCGTTGCCAACGACAAAGCTAGCTGCGAGTCGCGCAGCGTGTTTACCACGTACGGCACCAGCTTCGTCTTGTTGATTGCAAAGTGCAGCAATTGCCCGCGGCGCGTAATGCCAAGCATACCCTTTGTCTTGGACTCGAGACACGTCACGAATGTCGTGTCCTGTGACACGCGAGCACGGTACACGGGCTTGCCTGAGTGCGTATCAAACAAGAAGAGATACCCCATCTTCGTGATCATGTAAACAATGTCGTCGCCAGGAGTCACAAGCATCGATACAGGAAAATCAGCTTGTGCGTCTGCAGCAAAAGGGATCGGCTGAGGAGGCAGACGAAAGACGCCGCCAGGGGCATCACGGTCCCGTCCGACCTCCATGATAAATAGCTGCGTGGGCTGGCTGTCGCCCTTGGTGCCGGCAAAGATCAGCACCTGGGCGTCATCTGTCCGGCCCGGGGGCTTCATTTGGGCAAAAGTGCCCGCATGTCCCAGCAACACTTGGCTCACTTTCTTCTCCATCGAGTAAAGCTGCATATTGCCAACAATACGACCTCCTTCTCCCTGCGAGATACCCACGAGAAGCATCCACTGGCTATCAGCTGACGCTTCGTAGCTGATGATCTGAGTCCCTGCCCCCAAGTTGGCATGGCGGTCAAAGACTTTGACAGGAGATGAGTCGCCTTCAATGCTCCAGTGGAACACGGCAGACGCAGTGACAATAGCAATGGTGTTGACAGAGATCCAGCGCCAAAAGACCACCGCCTCGTTCATCAAGTGGCTCTTCATCTTGGCCCGTAGCTCCATGTTGAAGATCTGCAGCTGGTTCTCGGCACGTAGAGCAATGACTTTGCTCACGGGGTTCATAATGGCCGCCTCGGCGTTGATCGGCCGACGCTGCACCGTGTTGCCTGCTGCCATGTCCACAATCACGACACTCGCCTGGCCATTCACTTGCTCGCACACGCAGACAAACTTGTCCGACTCCATCGTCGTCGTGCCAAACTTGACATAGTCCAGACTCACGCCCAAGGAGCTCAACTGGAAGGCAACAGCAGTCGCAACAGCAGTCACACTGTTAGGGACAAGACAAGACAAGACGAGACGAGACGGGGGTACGGTTGTGCAATCGTGACAAGCACCGTGGGGTACACTTGATCACGTGTCAAGTTCCCTGTCAAACGTGATAGATCAAGACACCCTCCACTAGGTACACACAAAAGAAAAGTCTAACGTACGTGAAGCACTTCGCCAAACGTGATGGGAAGATCTTGCGCCATAAGGTCTCGTGGTCCTGAGCCTGTTGGCGGTAGTGATAGTAGTAGCAGTGGCAGTAGTGGCCTATCGCTCGCTCACGTCTGCGGTGTGACTGGAGTCTGTGTGAAAGGGGCAAAGAGAGCGAGAGGCAGACGGGGGACGTCGTCACTCGCACGTGCTCTCGCTTCGATCCTTTCGTTTCTTGCTCTGGTTCACGGCTGCGGACGTTCCCCCTCGACGAGGTAAGTACGAATATCCAATGCGTTCGCATGGGCTGGAGATATAAGCGCGCTTGAATCATGTCAGCTGAGGTCTTTTTAGTAGGGCAGCAGCAGCTGTTGGGGGCTGATCACGAGACCAGGCCAGCAGCGCGTGAAACTCTCGAGATGACTAAGCCCGCTTAACTAGGATGAGAGGCCCCTACAGCACCCGCGAGGGCTGGGGGGGTTGCCACGTATGTCGGTCATGCTGGACACGTTCAGTTCACACGGCACTTGCAGCAGTGGCAGCCGTCCCCTGGCACTAACATTAAGTTGGAAAAAGAACCAAAAGCAGTAGCAGTAGCAGTAGTAGTAGTAGTACTAGTAGTAGTGGTAGTAGTAGCAGTAGTAGTAGTAGTAGTACTATTTGCACACATTTGCTCGCCCGTGGACAACATTGGCCGCTGTGAGTCAAAAGGATGATACAGCGCCAGCACTACTGCTACGAGTCGAGTACTACGTGCAGGATCGCGTTGACGCCAGAGCGGCCATGTGCGTACGCTGCATGAATGTCGACCCCTTTCTTCGTACCTACGCCACACTGGTACCTGCAGCCTGAGTTAGGCACAGAACTGCGTAGACGTCGTGAGCGTTAGACCTTTTGCCGCCATGTCGCGGAGAAACGCCTGCAGGTCAATGCACACAAAGGCACCCGACAAGCGGTCGTTAGGATTCCACACAAGTCGCACTTGACGTAGCGAGCAGAACGTCGCTCGACGCGCACATGGTGCGCACCTCTCCAGCGGCTTCAAATCCTGGAACGGCAGACGCGCAGTCCGTGAGGATCACGAGGTCCTGGCGTCGGTCTTGTGGCCACACTGCGACCAGGTCACGCACTGTGTAGTTCACGCAGTGCGACAGCGCTTCGCCGCAGATGACCACTTGGTCGGCCCGTTCGAGCGCCTCAACGAGCGACGTGTTCAACCTGTGGCACGCATGTCAACGAGATCCAAACGCCCAGTCAGTCCGTGCGCTCGCTCGCTCGCTCGCTCTTGCGCCCTTTTGAGCCTCGAGCTTCCCCAGTGCCCACAAGTACCTTGTCGAGGAATCATAAGGCAGCTCGATCTCGGCCTGGAGCGCCGAGTAGTGCTCCGTGAACGAGTTGCTGCCCTTCGTGACGTACTGCACGGGCGTCAGCGCCGCTTGCGTCCACGCCATCGCAGCTGCATGGACTGGCGGCACGACATTGTGCCCGGGCGAGCCAATGATGCAGTGCTCTGGCCAGATGCACAGCGTGAACTTGCCGCTGGCTTCGAGCGCCGACGTGTAGGCCAACACGTAGTCCTTCAGACTCGGGTCGCGTGGGCGCCACACGCCAGTGGCCACGTCCTCAGCTGTGATACACGAGAACGGGTCGGGCCAGCGCCCCTCGGCGTTCTCCCAGAAGTTCGCATGCGCAATGTGGTAGCGCTGGTGCGAGTCCAACGTGAGCACGAGCTGCTTGAGCTTCGCCGTGTGCTGGCGGATGAACGCGGCAATGCGCGCGGCGTCTTCGTTGGCCGTGGGGATCGCCAGTGATCCGCCGGGATGGAAGTCCACTTGTTGGTCGATCACGAGCAGACATAGGCCACCGGCGGGGACTGCGCCTGCGGCTTCTGCTGCTTGAGCTTCTCGTGTCATGCTCAATGGGGTACACTTCCGCTGGTTCTGGCAGTTGGTCGGCTACTGTCACACTGAACGACGACAATGGCGGGACGTATAAAAAAGTGGACCAACGAGTGTGCTGAACCGCGACGTGGTTGGTATTCCCGGCCGGCTCACTCACTAGACGCGTCTCTATAGTCTCGCACTGGCAAAAGCTGGCGACGACTGCAAGCACAGCATCACGTGGTGTGCAACGTAGCGCAGCATGAGCATCTCAATGGCTCGGAGCAACACTCGCTTCACGGTCAGTCCTCGCCCAAGTGTCGCGAGAAACAGCAGCACGTAGCTCAGCATCTGGACCTTGTGCTTCGCGTCCATGGACGAGGGCGGGATGCAGGCTGCGACTTCGCGTACCCTGGACGAGATTCCAGGCACGGGCGGCAAAGGCCACTTGAACGTGCCGTGTTGCAGGCTCTGCGCGAACTGCACCATCTCAGCGACATGTGCTCGCCACGATCGTTTGTGCGGCGCTAGCGTGAAGTTGACCACTGGCAACGGTACACGCGAAATAACGGCTGGCTCGATGCGGCGGAGCCGTTGGAAGTCTGTCAGGGAAGCGCTACCGATCGTAAAGATGTCTAGAAAAGCAGTGAGCAGACAGCATGTCACATGAGTTGGCCCGCTTGACCACGCGATCGACAAGAATGGCAACATTGCGGCAACACGAGCGAAACGAGACGACACGAACCTAGTTCAGCTTCTTGCCTCGCCTTGGCCAACGCTTCGCGAAATGCCTCACAGCAACCTGCGAGCAGTACACTACCCAGTCGAACGCGGACACAGTCGTTCCATCCGAGTCAGCATCACAGGATACTGCAGCACGTGCAAGTAGGGCAAACGTGCAGAAATAACGACGCGTACAGGATGGCGTCGCTGCAGATCCAGGCGTTGCTTTTGACGTCAAGTGGCAATCTCGGCAGCGGTGACGAACCGGTGAGACGTTTCAGCGCTAGCCGCACCATCAGCTGATACGCTCTACGCAAAGCACGGGCACTTCAGTTGAGCCAGTCCTGGAGTCTCGCCCGTGATCCCTCCAACTAAGCCAGTCGCACACTCACTCACTCACCGTGCGACATCGTACTGGCATCCGACCAAGTGTCGAGCGCAACGTAGAAAACGCTGCAGTTCCTCCTCGGCCATTGCCACGCGCAGCACCTGCGCTGTCACCCCCACACAACAACAACAGTAACAACACAGGTTCGTCCATGTGTCACGCCACGAACGCCATCACCATCTTGCATTGCAAACTCATTGCACACGCACCACAGGTTGCCGTTGAGGCAGCAGGAGCCGCTCTAACGGCATTAGCCTCACAGACGGCATTCCCACGTGCAGCACCGTGCGCTCGTCCATCACAATGACCTTGTCCCATTGCAACAACGATAACACTACTGAACCATCTGCCCTCATCTCTCGCTCGACAAGTGCGACATCCACTGCCCGCGCTCCTCAGCTGTCAATTGAGTCTCCTTCTTCTCGAGTGCACACCCACGTACCACGTGGTCATACGTGTTCTCAGTCACGTATCTGCCCATCGAGTACACGGCTCCGCTCGTCGTGCTAAAGATCAAGTCGCCTGCACCAGCAACACAGACAGCAGACACTTCGTCAGCTGACTGACTGACTGACTGTCCATCCACCACATTGTCTCCTATGACATGACAGACAGCAGATGGATGAAAGTAGACCTCATCATCTGCTTTTGAACCGAAGATCTCTGTCTATCGAGAGATCTATGCGACATTTGCTCGCACCTGGTTGGACGCGCGTCGCCGCGTCTCTGGCCGCCTCCTGCGCCGCTTTCGATGCCCTTTTGCAGCGCACCACTGTCAGTTGCACAGCGACAGACTCTCTCTCTCTGTCTCTCCCTCTCTCTCTTTCCCACATCACTTGACAACAGGCGACACACTACCGTTGAAACTCGTGCGCATTGAACTGCAGACTGTTGGGCGCGAGGACCTGCGCGAGCAGCGCGTTGAGCGCCGACGGCGTGTCGCGTATGGTCGGCATGCGGACTGCTGGCCGATTTCTCGCGACATGCGACGAAATATCACGCGGGACGCGATGTACCGAGTTGTCGGTACACACGACGCCGCCCGTCTGGTCTGAACCGCAACCGGCTCGCAGATAGACACACGCGATCTGAACAATCCGAACGAGAAAACAAACGCACACACACACACACACACACAGTCTGCAAAGAAGAACAAGACGAAGGCAACACATAGAAACAACAACAATACTAACAACAACAACAATCCCAACAACAACAACAACAATCCCAGCGCAACGAGACTCACGACGCCTTCTCCAACTTTGCATTGTAATTATCTCACCAACTACAGCCTCAATGAGCAAACAAAAAGGAAACGGAATTGAACAAATCGCCAACTAACTAAATATTCGCACAAACGACTCACAACAATAAGAGCACTTGCACCAACAGTCCTCTTCCTCCTCCTCCTCCTAACGTAACAATCCCACCACAAAGTCGCATTGTCCGAATACAACTGAAACACCGCGCGCCACCCGCGACCGACCGACGGCATTCCTCCAGTCGCTCGCTCGCCCCGTCATGCGCACGTCCCTTCTCTGGCGGCGCCTCCTGACCGCCGCCGTCGCGTGTTCGCGTCTGTGCGCCAGCAGCAGCGCCGCCACAGCGCCAGTGGCGGCGCCGACGCTGCGCCGGCGGCTCGTGGACTCGTCGGACAGCTACAACTTTATGTTTTACTTTGTGATTGGCGCGATGATGCTCACGTGTCTCGTCTACAACCTCTTCTTTAAGCACAAACTCGAGTCGAGTTTCCTGCGGCAGCAGCAGGCGGCGCCCGAGGCGATGCTGCGACAGGACGTGATCGCCAGCGACCAGGACATGAACAGTCTCTGGGAGTGCGACGTGTGCTCGTTCAAGAGCTACGACTCGCAAGTGACGTGCATGCTGTGTGGTACGGACCGGTCGTTCAAGCTGCTGGACCACCGGCGCGCGCGGCACGGCGACGACCCGAGCGAGCACAGCAGCAGCGCGTCGTCCACGGGCGCGCTCGCGAGCGCCAAGTACGTGCTGTACATGGAAGAGAAGGAGCACTCGCCGGCCCGCAGTGCAGGGGACAGCCGCTCGACGTCGTCACGAGCGGTCGTGCGGACGCACTCGTCGGTCAAGAAGGACAGGGAACGGTTCAAGCGGAGGCTCAGTGTGCTGAACTTGCGGCAGCAGTCAGCGCGACGGCGGCACGAGTGGACAAGAGAACGCAATACGGACGGACAGCTCGTGTGGGTGCGGAAGAAACACTTTATGGACCGCCAAGCGCTGAAAAGCCTGCGGACGCTGGAAGGACTGCGGAGCCAATCGTCCACGTCGTTGCGCGACTCGATCCTGTCGAATGCGAGTGCGAACTCGCTCGGGATTGTGTCGCGTGTGGTCGTGTCGCCCAAGAACCCGACGGGGAGGTTATCGATTGAGTCGGCCGATGGCGCGCTAGCGACGCGCTGCATGGACAACCCCGAGTTCTCGCAGGACGAGCTGGAACAAGTTCGGTCGCTGCCGTTCCAGCAGAAACACGCGTGGTTTGTGCAGCACACGGCAGCGATGGAGGTGCCGTGGGAATATGGCCACTTGTTGCTTGAGATTGAGCGTGACAACCTTCTTCATAACTCTTGCGAGCAATTGCTGTGGGCGACGCCCGATCAGCTGCACCAGTCGCTCCGAATTAAGTTTGCGAACGAGCCGGGCGTGGATGCAGGTGGATTGGTCCGCGAGTGGTTTACTTTGATGACAAAAGAAGTCTTTGACGACTTGACCGGACTGTTCTTCAGAAGTCCCAATGGTGACGGGTTGAGGATCAACCCAGCATCAGCTGAAGCGAGCGTTGATCATTTGATGGTACGTGCAGGTTGTGACTAGTGCTCGTTGGCTGGCTGGAAACGTTGCTCATCGTTTGTTGTTGTCTGATTTCGTGTACAGTATTATCAGGCAATCGGCCGCTTCATCGGTCGAGCGCTTTTCGAAGGCATTCTGATTGACGCACACCTGGCGCTCCCAGTATGCAAGCACATTCTCGGCATCCCCATCACCTTTTCCGATCTAGAGTTCGTGGACAATGATTTACACAAGAACCTGAAGTGGCTACGAGAAAACACAGGCGTGGAATCGCTGGCATTGGACTTTACGTACGTACATAGTCGTCTGGTGTTCTCGAGGTTGGGAGGAATGCTAACGAAGTTTGTTGGTGCTACAGGGTCAACGTCGACCAAATGTCCGACAAGACAAAGGTGGTGGATCTGGTCCCAAATGGGTCAACCATCCCTGTCACAGAAGAGAACAAGATGGAGTACATCAACTTGCGGTTCAAGTGGATTGTTGCGACCAGCACGTCGCTGCAGCTCGGTTCATTGATGCAAGGTCTTTTCTCTATTATCCCTAAGGAGCTGATCTCCGTCTTCGACCACCAGGAGCTGGAGCTGTTGATCTGCGGGATTCCCGACATTGACGTGCGGGACTGGAAAACTCACACTATTTATGTGGGGCAGCGCGACGAGCGAGTGATTGCCTGGTTCTGGAGCATTGTGAAGGAATTCTCGAACGAGCAGAAGGCGCGTCTGCTGCAATTCACGACAGGTTCAGCGCGAGTGCCCGTGCAAGGCTTCAAAGCACTGACTATGAACGATGGACGCATTTGTCCGTTCGCGATCCAGTGCGTCGCTGTCGACGAGTGCCTGTATCCGAGGGCGCACACGTGTTTCAACCGGTACGAATGTGTGCGTGGTCGTCTGTTGTTGAGTTTGAGGTGCTAACGTCGTCGTGAATGATTACAGCATCGACTTACCACGATACAGCACCGAGAAGGACTTGCGAACCGCGTTATCGCTCGTGATCCAAATGGAAGTAACTGGGTTTACCATCGAGTAAGCCGGTGGTACAAGTACGTGTATTTACGGAAATCGCAGGAGTCGTCAAAAAGTAATCGAATCATAAATTTTGCAGCGAGTCGCTCGATGTTTGTAGCGGATGACACTCGAGCGTCCAGCCGGTGCAACGACGATTGGATTTGTCACATCTGTTGCGGGCGTCCGTTCGAAGTGATGGCGGTGACTACGTTTCGCTTCAGCTGACCACAGGTTCATCAAGAAAAAGTACTCGAATGTCGCAGCGCGTACAAGACATACGGTGGCGAGGACAAGTCGAAAGACACCGTCGTGATACCACAATGAGTCGGCACAAATGGACAAAGAAGACGTCTGCCATCTGGACGGAAGCCGTTACATTTCCCGTTCAGGAGCGACTGTTCACACCCAATTTGCACAAAACGTCGACAAGGGACTGGTCTTGTCGCACGACATTTTCGTCGTTTCTTCGACAAGTGCGCGACTCCGTTTCAACTCATGTGATCCTCCGAGTTGAGACTTCACACGTGTCTACGATCGGTTGCTTTCCAAATTTTCTCGCTGGGCGTTCGTGGAATTTACCACACTGGACAACGAAAGCACCGGACAGATGAACAGCGTGTCCCAGTTTCTATCTTGTAAAGCATTGTGCAATCAGGTTGAGCTTACATTGGTTTGCCCAACGTGCCATGTAAGCGCACACTTTTCCAAGCAGTGCGTTCCTGAGCCAAGTCTTTTGCTACGATTCGGTTCGCTGTCAAGCTGTCGGGTCCACTTTGTTTCGTCCGTGTAGTGCTAAAAGGGAACAACAAGTTTGCATTCGGCGACCGTCGTCATGTGGAAGGCCGCTCTCGAGCGTATGACCACGAACAAGGCCGTAGCCGAGAGCTACGACGGTTCAGTCCACCAAGCTGCAGCGTGCGTCGCATCGTTACGCCACACATCTCCATCTCAATAGAGCGAGAATAGCCTTTCACTTGACGTGTACCGATCGATACGGCCATTAGCTGCTTCGAGCCGCAACAATAACAACGTGAATGGCGTTGAGACGTGTCTGTCTGATAGCTGGAAAGAGGCGCCATTCGTTCAACGCACGAAAGATCGAGTTGTGCTGTAGACATGACCGAGTATCCACCCTACGGTAACGCCTTGCACACCTTTGCCTTGACCGCACTTTGGCTCGCAGCGTCCATCAGCTGTGTCAGGTATATGATCCGCCAGTCAGGTACGTGAGTACAACAGGCAAGAGATGCTCGGCTCTGCTCAGGTGTCGGCTGCTCTTTTGGTACCCCCTTGACCATCTTTCGCCAGACGCTTCACGACAAAGACGGCGTGAGCTCGCCGCCATCCAATCTCGACTGACAACTACAGACCGCCGAATCAAATCTTGGTGCATACATTCATTGCCCCTGCGTGCATGTGTCATCCACGTCATCCGAATCGTCTCAAGTTGCTCCATTGACTCCACGTCGCAACGAATGCGATTAATTGTCCGCCTTCGACCACCACACAACAACAACGTACTCCACAAACTGCCGCTAGTTCCACTACGGCGACGGTAGCACAAAGTAGCACAACTTGGCGACGCGTTCATCGAGATAGTCGAGCTTCATGGCCATCTCGCGTTCAAACTTGGACAACTGATGATTTAGCTGGCCAAGCGTGTCAACGGTCGTCTGCAACGACACGACCCGCGTCGGTATCTGATCTTGTGCTGGTGAGTTCCCGCGCTCGTCCCTCCTGCAACGAGGAGACCTGTACCCGCGTCCATCATCCACCGTCAGCATTGCATCTGGTTTCCCTGCAGCAGAAACGTCCCCAGACGTGAGCGCAGCGTTGTGCATCATCGGTGTAAACTGCTCGGGCAAGTGCTGCAGCTCGTGGTCCGCAACGTCGTAAAGACCGTGCGCTTGTTTGAACTGTCGGAGCCACGACGTCATGGCAGCCACCGAGCGCTGCGCGGGCTCAGCCGCGTACTGCCGAAACAGGTCCGTCGTCTTTTGCCACAGCGCGTCACTCGACACAGCGCGGGCCAACGTCTGCTGCCGCACGAGCCAGCGATAGAGCTCCTGCTCGACGCCCGGGCACGACGCGGGCACGGCCTTGAGCGTCTTGCGCTTGAGCTTCAAGAGGCACTTGGCCTCGCTGCAGTAGCTTAGAATGCGGTCGCGGTTCTTCTTAATGTCCGACACTTGTTGCCGACTGATGCCGAACGCCTGTGCGAGGGCAAGCGGCTGCTCGCCGTGTTCGAGGCGCTGGAGCACTTGCTGCTTGTCGTGGAGGGACAGCACGACGCGCTTGCGCTTCGGGGCAGCTGGTGCGCGGGTGGTGGGACATGTGGGGGCGTCGGTGGCTGGTCGCGGGACGTGGGGACGCGCTGGCGGAGCGGGAGTTGAGTCGCGCGAGCCGTTCATGTTGATGTTATAGCTGGGAGGAGCTCTACGATGGAAGTGGGTACAGTGTGGCCTGGCGTTAGAAATCGAGGGAGCAGTGATGGGATTGGCGCGTTTGTTATTTTGGGATCGCGTTTCTATGTGTGTCTTTGTTTTGGGTGGGTGGGTGCGTGTGCGTGTGCGTGCGTGGATCGCCTGCTGTGTTGTGGTAGAAACGCACGCAAAGATGTTTTCTTTTTTCGAGCTTGGGGCGAATCGCTCGTTAGGTTCGCATGCCGCTTGGAAGGCCATCACGTGGACTTGGGTTTCCCCTTTCGGTAAAAGCGTATCGACACGTTGTTTAAACGACACGACAAGTGGGTCTTTCTTCAGTCAGTCACGTCGAGCAGTCGTGGCCCTGCCGTGCGATATGATCGTCTGGCCGCTTGTTGGTAGAGAGTAGTGAGGTGCCTTTTTTTTATCGATGTACGACACAGCGTCGTCCATTTGCTGCTACATAACAAGTCGCGTGAAGTGCGAGACGACGATCATTTGTATCGTACGTTAAGCTGTCAAATGTAGCGCAGCAGCTCGACCACAGCATAGACCGACTAAACGTGTTTGACTGGTGCTATCCTGTGAATACGAATGTCGAGCCACTACGAGACAACTGCAGTGTCGGTCGGTAGATGCGGACCTTTCCATGAAGCAAGTGATCTACTTGCCCCATACGTCCCTGTCGCACCGCAAAGTTCCAAGCTCTACCGCCCACGAAATGCCCGTTGTCTGTGCTGATATATGCAGATACATGATGTCGACACCGTCGCGACTAGCGAGTTCGTCGGCAACGAGGCTCTAAACAGTCTTTGACTGCATAAATCAGCATGTCCTACGCCACAGACTGTCCTTCCAGCCGTATGCTTTTCGTGGAATGTCTGATGGTGAAGCACAAGATGCCGTGCCCTCGATCTGGTCCGGCTCTTGATGGACCTTACCGATCTGATACTGTGAACCAGCTCGTGCGCAAGAAGGCCCCATCCAGTTTGCAGGCTGCCGCCTCCCATGCAACTCGGACTTCCTTGCAGTGCTCAGTGGCCAGAGAAGACTCAGCAGATCGCTATCTTGTACATTCCTCTCTCGATGCCTCGTTTCAGGCCGGCGAGTTCAAATATATTGGAGCAAAAAAGCTGTTTTCACAGCTTCCTTGACGTACATAGCGGCTCTCGTTGTTTACCTTCTTTTTGATCGTCGCGATAGTTTCGTTAATACTGGAAGAGGGCCTCGACTGTTGTGGAAGCCCGTTCGAAGGCAGCACTCGACTAAGGAGGTTTGGTCAAGCCATATCGTTTTCGGCAACTAAGCACTTGCAAGTGCCTACACCAGTAGTGTACCGTGATATCGCAACGTGGCTATCGACTGCATAACGTCGTAGTCGATAGCTACGTCATAATCGCATATACTGCCGTCCTGCAGCACTCTCTGTGTCCCTTTGTCTTGTTCTCGCATCGGCGAGACGGCTCTGTTCGCTATACGTAATCGGCATCGGGGAGCGTCACCAGCGGCATAAACTTAGCGATCGTTCGCTTTTCTCTCTGTACACCACGAATACTTGCGCACGTACAGCACTTTGCTCAGGTTCGCATTGTACAAGTGAGTCTCTGCATCTCAGTTCCCAATGAAGTGCACGAATCTCCCCCTAGTGCACTTGGCAATGTCGTATCCAATATACAGCTCGTGCAGGCCTTAGACTTCCGCGACGTATTCCACGTAGATGGCTACACACTGTCGCACTTGACATTTTGTCTTGCTTCTGCAAGGCTGTAACCGATCCTCCGTCCGTCTTCCGACCTGTTCTGCAATACCGTCAACGCAATTCCATTCGTCGTCGAACGAGCAATTGCTGTTGCAATGCTTACAACGACCGAGTGCTCTCTCCTTCTCAAGAAGCTCTTTCGCAACCGTTACGTCCACCGTATTGTAGCCTCTGAATCGGATGCAATATGGACTCTTGCACCGACACCATCAGCGTGACACTCTGATCATCTCATGCAGCTCTATGCCCTACTCGGCACAACGGCGACGGCCTTCGTTACGCCTTTGGTGATATCAAACTCTACGTATTCAGCGTCATGAGAGCACGACATGACCAAGCAGCTTTGCTCGCTCTAGGGGTCTCTGCATCGCTGACTTCCGACTCGGTCACGATAAGCTCAAGTCTACTTTCATACCTACAGTAAAAGCACGAGCTACATGCCAAAGCAAAGCTCACGTGTTCGCAGCGATCACAACCGACTAACATTTGAATGACGCAGGGTACGTATAGCAGATACTATCCGAACGCTTCTACTGTATCAGTAGTGCCGACTGATGCGTTGCGATCGACAGCAAACGATTGCCGCCTTCGAAGAAGACATTACTTGCTTGATATAAAATGCTATCTTTCCTACACATTCGATCAAAAGCAAAAGAGTCCACACAGTCTAGCAAATCTTTGCTCGACCGGCACCTTTGATATTATCCGGACAAATATCCAACCAAATCACCCACTCGCGTCGATATCTTCTCTTGTCCATGCAACTATCTCCTGAGAATTGATATTATACGCAACAGACACATCGTTTTATGCGTGTGCAAGGCGTTCATTCATCAACTAAACATGAGCTTTCCGTCCAGCTCGACACCCTCTAGCGCTCCTGCCAGCAATAGCAGCCGTACGTACCACACCCCAATTACTGCATTATCGACCCAAGGACTCACTCGAATGCTGTCATGCACAGTTTTGCAAGTGCTATCCCGACTCGAGCACAAGCGCAAGGCCGACCAAGAAGCAGCGCAGGATTTGAACAACGGTGCGGGCTGCCCACTGACAGCGTCTGTATCGTGGACACTATACGTGCCACACACTATAAGGTGCTAACTAATGGTCGTGACGTGGTCAGCTTTGTTCAAGGAGACACTTGCGGCTCTACGGAGCAAAGCCCAGCAGCTCCAGGACGACAAGTGGATGTACCAGGACGTGCAGCTCTAACCGACTGGAGCGTCTCTGGCTTCAGTGTTCACACGTTGCAGCACCTTTTCGCCCATTGGCAACAGCATTCAACAGCTCCTTAGTGGTCGGTAGTTAACATGGCTCCATCAACAAGAGACCAGCGAGCAGAGAAGCCGCGCAACTCGTGTTCGTCCAGCACTCGTCTCGCTCGTCGTCGTTGTCGCTCGTCTCGATCACTGCACGTCCACCGCTGCACGCACACGGCACGCTCTATGCCCGCTTCTTCATCTCCTCCAAGAGCGTCACACCCAGACGGGCAGGCGATCGCGTGACCGCAACCCCAGCGGCTTCCAGCGCGGCAAACTTGCCAGCAGCGGTCCCTTTGCCGCCCGACACGATCGCACCCGCGTGACCCATGCGACGACCGGGCGGAGCGGTCGTGCCTGCAATGAAGCTCACCACGGGCTTGTTGGGGTCGCCGTGCGCCATGAGCCACTCGGCCGCTTCTTCTTCAGCCGAGCCGCCGATTTCGCCCACCATGATGATGCCCTCTGTCTCGGGGTCGTTGGTAAAGCGTTCGAGGCAGTCAATGAAGTTGGTGCCGTTGAACGGGTCGCCGCCAATGCCAATGACCGTCGACTGGCCGAGGCCCAAAGCCGTCGTCTGCGCCACAGCTTCGTACGTGAGCGTCCCCGAGCGAGACACAATGCCCACTTTGCCCTTCTGGTGAATGTACCCTGGCATGATGCCCATCTTGCACTCGCCTGGCTTGATAATGCCCGGGCAGTTGGGCCCAATGAGCCGCGTCGTGCGCTGGTTGCGGAGGTGCCACTTGACTTTGACCATGTCGAGCTGCGGAATGCCTTCGGTGATGGCGACCACGAGAGGGATCTCAGCCTCAATGGCTTCGATGATCGACGCCGCGCAAAACGGCGGCGGCACGTAAATGACCGACGCGTCGGCCCCCGTCTCGCGCTTTGCTTCGGCCACAGTGTTAAACACAGGCAGGCCCAAGTGCGTCGAGCCGCCCTTCTTCGGGGTCACGCCGCCGACCATGCGCGTGCCATACGCGATCGCTTGTTCCGAGTGGAACGTCCCCTATGGATGCAGCAGGATAGACACACATTGCGTCCGTGATTGGTCGCCAGACCACAATCAGTATAACATACAGGTTAAGGAGGTCGCATACCACCAACAGCGTAACAGCTTCGTAACGGGTAACCACCACAGACAGTAGTGATGTTGCCACCACGTTTGGGGGACGGGTACGAATCGATAAAAAACACTTTTTTTACGCGTCGTCGGCATCGTCAGTACGTGGCGTACCTGTTTGCCGGTGAACCCCTGACAAATGACTTTCGTGTCCTTATTGATCCACACTTTGGCAGACGCAGACATACTGCGCGCGGCCTGCGCAGTAGTAATAGCTGCGGCGGTCGTGCGCGGTACTCGGCAGGCGATCATCTCCAGTAGCAGGCGGGTCTAATTCTGTGGAGTGGGGGGAGGCCCACACTCTGGCCACCTGAGGTCGTGGGTTGGCGATTTCAGCCACTTAGATGCGACGAAACGGGTCCGTGTGCGCGCTGTTTCAGCCAATCGGGTGCGCGCCAGATCGACGCGTGGGTACGGTTACGCTGGACGTGTGCGTGTGCGTCGGTGACGCGACAATTGGTCACTTCAACTTGAGCGCTCTCCTCTTAATACTACTTGTCCGCCAAACGAGGAGGTGAATCATGATACGTTGGTACTCTTTCTGCTATCGTCGGGCGCGCTCGACCACCACCTCAACATGCCATCTACTGACCGAGTTCGCGTCGACCTTCTTGACTGCTGTCTTCCAGATGCATGGCGGCCGCCCAGGCGCTGCGTGGCCCAGAGCTAGTAGTGGCTGTTGCGGATCACGCGCTCCGAGCTGTTTTGAATCTTGACCACTTCGTTTGGGATTTCGTGGCGCAGCCAGAGACGCAAGAGACGCTCGCGCCGCTCCTCGTTGAGGTAGAGCGGGCGACCCTTACTGAGCTCGCGGTTGCGCTCGCCAAACTCTTCGCCATACTCGTCCACGTAGAGGCTCCCGACATACGCCGCGAGCTTCCAATACACGAGCAGCACGGCGCCTTCGAGCACGAGAAGGAACACGCCGCTGCCTCGGCCGCACTTCTTAGCGTGGACAGTGCATGCACCTGGATTCGCTTCGTCGGGGTACCCGCCCTTGTCTGCATGGATCGATGGACACGTGTTGGCTGCACAAAGCAGCATGCCGCACAGCAGACACACAGCAGGACGCGCGGGGAACTGATTGCACGATCGGCACTTGCGCTTCGCCAGTTCCGAGTAAAACTTCACGTATGGTCGCGGCAGCGAGCGGAGATACCGCGTGCGGTTCGAGCCCGAGCTAAAGACCGAAATGGTCGAGTGCATGGTGTGCAGGTCCCGGCTCAGTACTGACGATAGCGTCAGCTGCTCAGCGCGATCGGTGTTGGCCGTGGTGAGCCACTGCTGGAGAACATCGTGAGGATCGTTCATTTCTTCGTATGCTGTCTTGAATCGGTGTACCCACCCAGACACAAGCTGAGCGAGAGCAGCTTGTTCTCGAGTCTGTGTTCTTGCAGTAAACTGCAACGAATTCAGCTTCACAAACCCGACAGCTAGCACGTCTTCTTTTGAAATACATATTGGCTTTGAAGTCGCAGGTGTCCCGTGGCGATAGCGTGACGTCGCCCGCGTGGTCAAGGATTGAATCATAAACGTAGCCACCTTGGCAAGAGGTACAACTTCACACGCAACGACATTCAGAAGCTGCTGCCTGTCAGTAATACGCTCCACGTGGAAAGCACCGTCACATTTGCCCACAAGTGCGTCAAGAAGCAGCTCCAGGGCATGTCCTACAGCACATTCTCGATTTACGCGAGTATCTCCATCATTCTTTGCATCGTCAGCAATTGCACTCTCGTCAAAAAAGCAGGCGGCAAACAGCGCTACGTTATCCTCCGAGAACGCGAGATCGTCTGCCATGAAATTCGTAAATTCCTCTTTGCGTGTGATGGCATACCACAGCAACGTTTGCACGAGACGTGCAAGCACCACGAGTCGAGCTATGTAGACTGCATCTTCCTCGCTCGTTGCAAAGAGTAAACCCTTCATCAGCACGCTACCCAAGTGATTAAGTAGCAAAGGCTTTTGTGGCCATCGCACCTTGCCCCACTGACTCTGTTTTCGAGTTTGTGTCTGCGTGGTCGGATGTTCACTTTCGAGCACCACGGTTCCATCGGGAAGAACGTCCGACCCGCCATAGTATAACAAGTGGACGATTTTTGTGTGCAAGTCGGTCGGAGCCACCAAAGAATTCGTGACAAAGCGTGCATTGATATGCTTTAGCATCAAGGGTAGGAAGCGCATTGCTTCCAGGAAGAGCGACTCGCGCAACTGATCCGAGTTATTGGTGTGGAGGAAACAGCAGAGCAATGTGTGAAAGAGCGCATTGCAACCCGAGGTTGTGTAGCGTTCTGGCTGAGACTTCTGCATTGCACCGCACGCCACCTTGTGAATTGCCATGCAGACTGATGACAGGCCGTCCTCTAACCACTTCTTCAAGTGCTGCGTCTCGTCGGGATCCTCCCGACCTGACAAAATAGAGGCTAGCTCACATGTTTCGTTCAAGCGTTCCGCATTCACGTTTTTGCAAACACCCGTTGTTACACCATCCGTATCAGCATTGGGAAGTGTGTGCCTCTCTTCTGACACTGCATGCTTCTCTTCAACCTTTCCGACAGCACGCTTCAGCCATCGAACCATCTCCAACTGGTTGACAGGTACCCTGGCTTTTTCATCGGATCCATCGGTCGATACCATGCGCCGAACAATCGGGAGATACTTGATTTCTGACTCCGTTGTGGTTGGAATCAGCACGTTTGAGATTGATTTGCACAACGGGCACAAAAACTCTTTCTTCGTGACGTCAACAGCATTCAGTGCATGTCGATGATGCCCGCCAGTAATCGCGCGCTGGAACTGGGAAGTATGGTATGATTCCCAGCATTTGTGGTGTACCGAATGACCGCATAAACGCACATGCACGGGTATGTCCTCACCAACGTGCATCTCGTCCATGGGTGTGCTCAGGAAGTGGCCATGTGAGCCACCGTTCAACGGAGAAAAAGCAGGCGAGCACTGCGCAAAGCCAACATAGCACATAAAGCTATTTTCGGAGTTCACCGAGTGACACATTGCACATTCCACCACCGCCGCGTCGTCATTCATGGTGTCTTCGCTTGCATTCATGTCAACGTCACTGTCGTCGCCAGCATTGTCAGATGCATTGGGTGTATATTTTTCGCGTTCGCCATCTGTGCCAGACTCATCGTCACCAGCAGGACCATGCTCAGCGTCAGTTGCCATCGACTTCATTTGCTCAGCAAAAGCTGCCTGTCGCTGCTGCATCTGCTGTATTGCCCGCATTTGTGCTTCTTTTCGCCGTTGCGCTAAGGCCAACTTGCGTGCAGCTTCGTCGCGCGACTCTTGTTCCGTCACTTGATGTCGCTCTACCACACTTCGACACTCGGGGCTTATTCGGGACAACCGATGTAACAGCCAGTCGATGCCACGACCAATCTCGTGCTTCTGATCGCCGTCCAATTTTGTCATACTTGCACTACCACCGTGGCTGGACCAGGGATTCAGCTTCAACAGCAAGTGCAAAATAGCGCAACGTGGCCCCGCATCGGAGCACCACCTAGACTGTTCTCGCGGGATCCACTCAATAAAGTCGTTCGCGATGCGAGAAGCTCGTTCGAGCTCAAAACGTTCTGCGTCCGAGGCGGAGACCATCGTTTGAAAGTAACGCACGTCTTCCACGACATACAGCTGAAGCGTGAACAAGTGCACAGCTCTCGAAAGAACGCTCAGGCAGGTGTGAGCATCAGTTGTTGCACGCCACAAAGACTCGTACACTAATCGTCGGGCGTCTTCATGCAGAATCGAAACACGAGACAGCCGGAAACCCAGGGGACATGGCAAAAACATGTTGACCATCGGATAGTCCAGCCACGTCGAGTGGGTGTCGTTGGGACTACCGTCTACTTGCTCTTGCTCTCTTTTCTTGGACGAGCGGAGGCGGTGCTGAAACCAGTTCTCATGTGCTGCTTCATGTTGCTTGCGCGTCAGGTGTACAAAAGTCGGGGAATACTCTGCGAGCAGTTCTGGCTTCAATCGGTACAGAAATTTACCGCCGTTCGGTGCAGACGAATCTCCAGTGCCTGAGGTCGCTGAGAACCCTGCCTCGACACAAACCTCCTTCAAGATTTGATCGAGAATTGGGCCACCTGAAAAGTTGACCGGGAACAAGCTTTCCCGACTCAAGAAAAACTCGTTTGCAATTTTAGAGAGGTCACTATGAGCGCACGGTCCAACGCATAGACGCTGAACGATTTCTCGGCGCAGATAAGGAATCAAGCTTCGCACAGCATCACCATCTGCCACCTTCGGAGGTAATTCAGACGCAAGCTGTGATAACAGTGCCAGACACTCGGTCACCATCAGCTCTGCCTCTTTTGCATCGCTACTTTGTGCTGCTTCGTACCATTCTCGAACGCCGAAGCGCTCTGTGATTGATGCCATCACCCAATCGACACCCAGAAGCTGGAAACTAAACTGAAGCAACAACAAATCGAGATCACGAAATCGAGCACAGAACGGCGGTTCACCGTAGTTCATACTGTGGTTGATTACTGCCATGCCGTTGCGCACCCACAAGCCCGAGTGCACTTGAGCATCCCACACGATCGCTTGCAGCACAGGCTCAATCAGCTGCACTCGGTGCCAAAACCCGATGGGGCTATCGGCATCGTGAATCCACACGGATTCATCGTCCTGCAGTATGCTGCATTTCAGCATGGAAAGAAACATGTCCAAACCGTTTGCGGAATCACTGAGTACACGAATCAATTGTGACAGCGTGCGCTGAAGAGGAAAGTGACATGAAACTGCTATTTCAAGCTGATCTGCGCGAAGAGTGTCTCCGACCCGATAGTCCGGAGGGGGGAAATACTTGCCGGATGATGCAAGCCAAAAGTAAATCGCCTCCAGCAAAGGCTTTGCAAGCTTTGTGATCAAGAGTCGCGATGTCTCTGGAGAGCGTGCTACATCGGGCCCGCCAGCCGTCTTGAAAGCGTTCGATACGACCCACGAAGACACGTCAGATGTCGTCGATACAAACTCCACGGTCACAACCCACCCGCGCGATTCCATCTCGACGTGATCTCCGAAACGCCTCGTCTCTGAACATGCTCCTTGTATATAGGCAAGATAAAGTAAAAACCTAGCTAGACGAAAGCCGCCTTTTTTCAAGACAAAGCTTTCGGAGATACCCTCAATTTGCAACACATATCGCAAATCTAGCAAGCCCGACATGTAGCGGCGGCAAACAAAGACTGGCGACGTGACATCCAGCTCGAACCGACCGGTAAATTCTGTTTCAGGAGGCAGGCTCAAAAATGGCGACATCTCTCTCTGGTGCCTGATGTGGTAGCCCGCACGTTCAGCTTCGTGTGCCAGTTCGCTCACATCGACATCGCGTAACGTGGTGCCTTGTGAGCGCTGGATACCCATCGCGAACACATCCCAAAGATCAAGTTCTCGATTGTGGTCTGGATGCAGTAAGTGTACCAGGTTATCCCAGGTACCGTCGAATGCAACATCGATGAAATCCGTTTTCTCCTTCTTCCGCAACGTCTCAAGCACAGAGTTCGTCAGCACTTCCAAAAGGTCATACTCAGCAACCAGCTTCTTCACAAACGTTGCTCGGTTGAAAAACTGCACGCTGAACGCTAATATGGTAGCGGTCGAGCTGCCAACCCCAGCAACAAATTCTCGATATAGCTGGCGATACGACGACGTGAATGAAATTGCGAATGCTTGCTTGAAAACAGGGTCGGCCAGGAGAGCCATCAGCAAGCTATGAAGAGCGTCGCTCTCTGTTTTGGGCAAAAATGAGTCAGCCATGATCACAGCCCGGAGCATCGAAAAATCGCTTCCTTCATCGACTTCCATGCTGCTGTCATCACGTTCAAGGCTTTCTACTGCGCACATCTGTACCCCAACCAAACCATAGCGTTAAACGATTGCACCAGCGAGCGTCGGTAAATGCTCTGTGCTGCAAAGATTGGTGCTACGTCGTACCTTCTCGCAAATCAGGCGGCAAAAGCCGTCCGAAAGGTTTGCTAACGAAGCAAGCCATTGGATCAACGAGTTGATCACCGGTGCTCTCGCTTTGTATTCGCACGAGACAATAGATGTCACAATCCTGTGCTTATGCAGCGACGCAGCGAGCTCGAGAACGTCATCGCGAGATGCCTTCGATCGCACGGTGCTCTGTTTTTGCGACGACGTTTCACTAACAATTTTAAGCATTTGGTACTGCTCGCACATCGACACATAAAAGAACAAGCACCATTAGGCAACTATCATCACACGACTCGGTACATACTTCTCAGCGTACAGCAATTGCCGGGTGAGCCTTGTTCAGTGCCGTCGCGAATTCCTGCGACGTCTGCAACTCGTTGTAGTGCACAATAACTGAATACCGTCGTTCCGGCGGGTCCTGTTCCAGCTTATCCCGCACCACCTTCAGGTCCTCTGCATCAATGATCGAGCCAAAACGAGCCTCTTTAATTGCATCCAGCACCAGCTGCATCACTTCGTCAATACATTCGCGCGACTTGAGCAATAGATCCGGCGGTAGGAAACTCAACGGATCGGCATCTTGCGCCCCCTACAGAAACAGCACACAACAATGAGTAACACTCTACGCACCATCACTGCCCATCCAGCACGCGATGGATGAAAACGACACCCTACATACCCGATGTCGAGTGCAAAAGCCTTCGGGCGCCCACGCCTCTGTATCGCCGCAGTCACAGCAGCCCCCACTGTGCGTGTAGTAGAAAAACACCTCGTGGTGCTCGTGGTCGCTCGAGATGAAGCAATCGTTGCACATCACACACGTCTCATCCACCTACAGTTGCACCGCGTACCACACCACGACATGTACCCACATGTACCCATATGTACCCATATCTGTCAGCCATACCAAGTCCCCGTTCACCCGCTGACGGTCCGTACCTGACACACGCGGCAGTTCCACGCAATGTCTCCCGGTTTGAACTCGTACGCGCACATGCGCTTGGGCAGTTTCGCGAGCGCGTCGCGACTCGGCGCGTCCACGACGCACATCTGCAGCGCCTGCAGCAGCCGCTGCTCCTCGGGCGCGTGCTCCTTCTCGCCCCACGACGCGCGCGTCTGCATCTCGTGCAGCAGCGCGCGCACTCTGTGCCGCGGACTGCGACGGAGTGCCGCGTCGGCCGCGCGCTGCGTCGTGGGCGGCGGTCGCGACTGAGGGTCCGCTGCGCTCTTCTTTGCTACGCGCGCAAACAGATCCATCGGGCGGCGCACTCGCTCAGTCACTCGCTGTCTCTCTCTCTCTCTCTCTCTGTGTCGCCTCCTGGCGGGCAGTGAAGAAGCGGACGGAGAACACGAGGCGAAAGAAACGACTTTTTTGCTAATTTGTGGGTATATCGATTGGATCTTTTTTGCGTGGGCGGCTTTTTTTGCCTGCAGGGCGCAAGTGGCTCGTGTTTCGGGATGTTTTCGCGCTTGTTTTGCGCTTTTGCTTTTTTTGGTCGCGTTTTTGGTCGCTTTTTTGTGTGTGTGTGTGTGTGTGGAAGCGCTGTCGTCCCAAGCGTCGTTCGGTCTGCCACAGTGGCGTCGGCGGTAGTAAAGGCGCGCGAGCGTTTGGGTCACTATTCGAAGGGCATGGCGTCCCGGATACGGGACCTCGTGTTCGTGTTTGCATTAGGGACGCGTGCGGTTGACTGGTCGGTTGTGGTGCGCTATTTGCTTGCGCTACCGTGCGATTGACTTGACTGGTTTACCTCAAACTAGTCGAAGGTGCCGATCGAGCGCTCGATAGAGTCCGCACCACCAGCTCGAGCGTGTCCGACCGACGCTCTGTCGGTACCCTTTGGTTTTCGACCGAGCAATTCCTGGACTCGTCAAATAGAGTCCTCGCAGTCTCTATCTAATTACCGTCGCATGGCTGGCACCTTGAACTTGGGCAACAGCCGGTGATGGCGCTAGCTCGACCCACTCTATCTCCACCACCACAGAGGCCATCATTGCACACCGAGTGCGTCGTCAGTCACACTGCGCTATACAGCAGCGGTGGACATCTGTCTGCCCCTTTGCACATCGGTTTGTGCTTTTCCGTTGAAAACAGCTCCGGTGAAGAAGGAACGAAATGTGCCGTCGCATCAGTTGCATAATGAAACGAGCATTAAAACGCTGGTGGATAGATCCTCGACTTGAGTGCATCCTGTCGCCTACTTACGACCGCTTGCGTTGGTGACAAAAGGAGCACACACTCGTTTGCATAAGGCAAATACGATAGAGACCTCGTTGTAGTAGTGTCCCGACTGACGTTGCTACAGTTCCCGTCTTCGTCGTTACCGTAATCCTTTGTCCCTCACGTAAGCAGTCGTGTCCACTCAGACCTTCGCAGTTTCGTATGCAAACAATGTGCCGGAGCTTCAATGCCTCGCGCATTTCTTCCCACACTATGGCCATTGCTACCCGTATGGCACACTGTCCTGAAAGCTCAAGTACGGGTCAATGTGGCACTATTCTGCCCATCTGCACGCTTTCTCGGCATTGTGTGTATCGTAAATATCTCAAAGTTCGTACCGAGTGCGAATACAGATACAAAGTGTCAGCACGTCGAACGCCAGTACACTCACTCGCCTGACGTGTTGACATGTGCCGGGGAACGATTTACATACAGAGAAGGAGTCGTTTTGACATGTTACAGGCTTAGCGGAAGAAACGACATCAAGTTATTGTGCAGCCCCTATAGCGGTAATGGGCCATCGGTCCATCGCTTTGTCGCTCAACACAACAGAGTTAGCGGCTGGTCAACCGCATACCCAGAAGGTGCTGCCTTTTCGATCTGCAACGACTTGGCAGCGAACTTTTCGCGTATGCGTTGTGCCACACAGGTACTAATGGACCGAGACAACTTCTCCTCGTCGAACTTGTGTGCGTGATTGATTCGCACAAGTACCTATTGCCGAACAAGGACGTACGAATGGCACTGAGCGGCAACGATACGATTTCTACGCCAGAAGATTGCGTTGAAACTTGTACACTATGACGGGTTGTTATAGACTCGTGTTGACGGTGAACTACTCACCACTTGGCCAGGAAACAAACAAAACATCGGTGCTCATGATCTGCGCTGCTCATGATCTGCGCTGCTCATATTGTATGGACCACTGCTACTCGTATTCGTGTAAGTGCCAACGTTTGGCAAGGCACCACCTCGTGTATGTACTTGGAGTGGCAGAAACACAGCCATTACATCAACATACAATACTTCATTGTAGCATCTGTCCAGCTTATCTATCACTAATCTCCTGCCGTCGTGCTTGTCAATACGTCCCGGTTCCACTTGGAACCAACTACTGCCTGCCCCACTCGCTTGTCGAGCACGCAATGACGTCGGTACTAATACTTCATTCGTATTGTCCACATAAGTTGCAAGCAATCAATCATACTTCTCCACGAACGGCGTCGGGAACGAAAACTTGTCGTTGCAGTCCAGCTCGGATGCTCTCTCCGAGGCAGTCGTGGAACCACCCGTTCCTCGATACGACTTGCTTCGCTCTGTTGGCAAACGAATCTCCATCTCGGCTACGCGGGTCATCGTCGTCGTTAGCAGCAACATGGCCTCGTTGTACTGCCTCTCTTGGTCGGCCACACGGGTCATGAGGATCTTGTTGCACTCTTCCAACGTACCCACTCGGTGCTGTAGCGCACCGACATCCGCAGCCGGGTGGTCGCTGTCTGTAAGACTCACTGTCGTGTCACTTACGGAAGTGTTCGTGCCGTGCGAGCGACTAGAGCCCGGTGTCCAGTTGGGCCGTGCGCCAACCGTAGTAGTGCTGTACCGCAAGTTCATCTGCGGACCAGGAACATTCGAGGGACGACCCATCATTGACTGGGTAGACTCAGCACGTGTTGTGCGGGTACTGTTCAGTCGAGAGCCAAGCAAATTGCTCGGCCGGAAGTTGTTGCACAGCAAACTGTTGTTGCTGATCGTATCCATTGCTTCCGGATTCGTCGAAGGGGCAGACGCAGTATCGATGCGCAGATTCGGATCTTTTCGGTCCGGTAACGGACCCGAGCTGGAAACATGACTGCCGGACGCGCGTGCTGCTCGAGCACCACCAGTCGATTGAGCGATTGCCGGTCCATTTCGATGGATGCGATAGCAGTCACCGCATACCGAGCGCTTTTTCGCGTGCTCGGGCAGCATGACTTTGCCCGCCACGTGCTTTTTGCACAGGTAGATGAAGCATCCCTTGCACTGGTACTTCTTGCGGAACATGGAGAACTTTTTGTAGCACACGCCGCATACACCAGCGTTGTGGCAAGGCTCATAAATTGGTCGAGTGTTGTCGACAGCCGCACAGACCGGCGCGTGTGGGACTTCACGCGCACTGACCGACCGCACAAGAACCTGTGCAGGCACGTCTTCAGTCTGCGTTGGCTGCGCAGTCAGAGTTGTAGCCAGCGCGTTCTCGGGTCCCAATGCCTCGGGAGAAGCTCTAGCTTTTCGAGGAAGTGTCGACGGCCGTGGCGCATTCCGCTGCGACTGCACGAGTGCCCCGTCCACAAAGCTCAGGGTCGTGACCATGTTTTGACTGTTCTCAAACGGGTTTTGCATGGCACTGAGATCAAACGAAGCGCCAATGGGATTCGACTGCAGCAACGACGCGTTCGGGCTGTTCATCGACGGCGGATGCAGCATGCTCTCGCGCAGCATCTGGCTCTGCATTTCAATGTCGCGCTTGACGTTTTCATAGTCGAACGCTTCGTCGTCGTCTTCACTGAGGTCCAAGTAGTCCTGCTCTGCGCGCTCGAGCATCGCCAAGTCTTTCTGCGGCAACTGCATCTCCCTAGCGAGCTGAATCACTGTCTTGCCAGCCGGCGTCTCCATCATCAACGAACTCGGCCGTGCCTGCACCAGCAGCCGCAGTGTTTCGAGTGGCGCGCGCGCCTTCACTGCAATATGGATCGGCAGGTACTGTGCATTGTTCTTCGTTATCACAGCCTCGGGGAACGCCGCGAGCAGCGTCTGCACGGCTTTGGTCGGCGTGTCGTCTTCCGTACAGGCCCAGTGCAGCGGCAGCATCCCATGGTGGTCCTTGTGTCGCGCCAGCTGCGGGTCGGCCGTCACGCGCTCGAGCAGCGACGTCCAGCGACCCGTCTCGGCCAGCCGAATGCCTTCTTTAAAGTGCGGTCGCGAGCTGCGGTCGACGCCGAGCGAGTCGGCGCGCAACGACCGACGCGGCATATCCATGAGCTTCTTGCTGTACGCACTCGCGTAGTCGTGGTCCGCGCTGCTGCAGCCCGTACTGGAGCAACTGCTGCCATCACTTGTGCTTGTGGCAGTAGCAGTAGCAGTAGTAGTACTACTAGTACTACTACTGCTATTGCTTGTGGTAGTGGGCTCGGGCGAGGCGGTGGCTGCGGCAGGCGCTTCAGGGCGCACCTCTGGCATGATCGGTCTCTGGCTGCTCCTGCTCCGCGCCTGCAGCTGCTGCGAAACAGACAGACGAGTGCGCTGCGGCCTTTTCCAGTTGTGAAGCGCTCTGGTGTCGAGTGTGTCGTGTGCTCGTCGGCGCGGACGCGAGCAGAGTTCGGCCGCTCATCCTGCGGTACTACGCTGGGCGCGAAGAGCTACGGTAGCAGGTTGGAGAGGGTATGACGGATGACGGGTTGCTGTCGCTTCGAGGATGCATCGCGCCGATAGGTTATAGAGCGCGTGGGGACGGGTCGAGATGCTCGATGCGAGGATGTGCACTGGGTCGCGCCAGACGGCGCTAGCCCATCACCGTGGCTTACAATCGGACGACATCGGACCAGCATCTCGTCCTCTTTTGGTCCAGTGGTTATAGCAGTAGTTGTTGTCCTACTGCTGCTACTACAACAACAACTACTACTATTACTACTACTACTACGACTACGACTACTACGACTACGACTACGACTACGACTACGACTACTACTACTGCTACTACGACTACGACTACACTGGTCGACTGGTTGTGGCAGAATACCCAAACGTCTCTCCTGACCAATGTGTCCCTTGTCCGCAGGCGGAAGTCTATCCTGCCAACTGGCGACCGAATCCTTTCGTGTTCATTCATTACCAACTAACTGAACTGGCCAAGTCGCTCGGGCTGCTACTGCTGCAATGCACTTGTCCGATTCACGAGTCTTTTCCGTGCGCAAGGCATCAAATTGTTGGTCCCATCTCGCCCCAACGATCGACGACCGTGTGGCGTTGTCGTCAACGAGAGAACGCCCGCCCGCTCTCTTCGGGCCCAATGACAATCACGTGAGTGGTTCCTCGTCGTCGGCGTTTCCTTGCGGCGGCTATCCCCCGCCGTGCTGCACAAAGCATTGACAATGCAGTCGACCCGCTGCACTCGTTGTGCAGCAGTCAGTGTCCCCTCACTGACTTGATCGACGATTCCTTGAAGACGGACTGTCTTTGTTCATACCGACTGTGTCATGTCAGACACGGAGGTCAGAGTCGCCCAGTCGAACGTCAACATCTGATGTGCCATCGGACTGACTGTCAGTCTCCCGTTGTCGACCTGTCGAAGATACGATCGACACGTTGTGTGTTGACCGAACAACCAACGGCAGATATGCAGCGTAGCAGGATATCGTGCGTGTTAGCGGTATCGTACCCTTTCGCGCGCCAGATGGAGGACAGTATGCGGCCATACCGTGTGGGTGCGTTTCGTGATACGCATATGGTTATGCTGTTTGTGTTTCAATTGCTTTGCCGGTGTGACAGACAGACAGACAATCAAGTGAGTTATGTTGAATTGGTGTAACTTGTTGCATTAGTATCAGAATATCGCATTCCAGCAGCTGGCAATGACCTCCGTGGGCTTTTCGGAGATGTGCTCACGCCTTGCAATATTACATTGATTGCGCTTCTCAGTGTCTGCATCATGAACATCGCTCATTGCACAAGCTCTTCCTTGGCACACATTCCAGTGAGTGCAGAGCCGGTGGATGTGGATTGCACGATAAGCCCTACAACCGACTTATTGCTGGTCGAAGCAACGGCACGCTAGTCATTACAAACATATGCCTCTACGCAAAACGTTATCCGCGCGCTCAATCCGTCGTTCACCTCTGTCATAACACTTCCTCTCGCACTGTTCACTTCTTCTCGCTCTCTTCACGTCCTCAAGACCTGACCATTCGCTATGACCTGCATCAGGTGCCTATTTTTCAGGCCGTATGTAAGAACCGACGATCAACTTCAGGATATGAGACCGCTCTAACAACTACATTGGCACGGCGAGGTGGAGAAATCCGCTATTTGCAATCGAATAGATCACCCTTTACAGTACGCTATCGATCGATTAGATGCGCTTTTCAGTCGGACCACCATGGTGACACCACCGTCAGAGGCTTCGTGCCGCGACCCTGTCGACGCTACAGAGCTCGACGTGGCCGTTGCAACTCCGCCTGCATCTCCTCCCATGACATCCACACCTCAACGAAGCAGATCAGGTCAGCAACCGCGGCGCTTGAGACGTGAGCGCCACAAGAAGGAACGCTATGCGCTACTCCACGCGATGACTGCAGGTACCGAACGAGATTAGAGCACGTTATACAAACATGGACTAACCGTAACTTACAACGTCTCTATCCCAATAGAGCAGCGCTATGCTCACCTGAACCAAGAGACCATCGAGAAACACGAGACCCAGCAGCGTCTCGAACGAGCGGCTGCTTCAGACAGTTCCAGTCAGCGCATTGCCATTGATTTGAGCTTCGACAGCCTCATGAACGAGAAGGAGCTTCGCAGTTTGGCCAAACAGCTGAAACTCTGTTACGGTGCTGTAAAAAAGATGCCAGACCCGTTTCAGCTGATCTTTTGCAATCCCAGCGAGCAATTAGAGCACTCGTTGGACCGCTTTGGCGCCAGCCACTGGCATGTTCAGTGGCGACGCAATGGTAACAGTATTACCGAACACTTTCAGGCGGACCAACTCGTGTATTTATCGCCGGATTCGCCACATGTGCTGGACAAGATCGATCCTGAGAAGGTATACGTAATTGGTGGTCTTGTGGACAAATCGCGCAAAAAGGTGCGCAGATTGCCATGAGAAGTGAGTCAAAGTAGTGTGTCGACACGTGCACAAAGTTGATGCTACTGTCGGTGTGTGTGTGTGTGCGTTTGCAGGGAGCAACGCTTGATGCTGCCGTCCACGCTGGTGTCCCGACAGTTCGACTGCCGATTCAGGAGAATGTTCCAGAGCGACTGGACCATATTCTGAATGTGAACACGGTAGTCGACGTGCTGATTGTCAGTCGCGAGATTGACGATTGGTCACGAGTACTGGAGCTTGCGCTGCCACAGGTACGCGATGCATGAGTGTGTGTGTGATTCAGAGCTCGAGGATGACGGCGGCTATCTTGTTACAGCGTAAGCGAAGCCAAGTGGGGCGGAAAGCTCTGCGACGTCGGCAGAAGCAGCAAATGCTATTTTCAGCAGCGTCAAAGTCAGGTCAAGCAAAGCAAGTCGTTTCTGGCCGGCATGTAGGAAACAAGACGGAGCTGGATGACGGTGTACCAGAAAGGCCGGGAGGAGAAGTGTCTCCGACAGAGAGTTTGGACCTGTGGCTATGGGATGCAGCAGCATGACAACCAGGTTGAGAAGTCGCTACGTGCGATTGATCACCACGGGCTTTGACCGCAGAGGTGTCGAGCTGGTGGCAAGAAAGAAGCTGTTCTGCTTATTGACTTGCGCTCTTCCTGCAATCAGAATGTACGAAAGGTGGCGAAGGCATATCAACTGCCCTGTCATCGAAGCATATGCCACTCGCTGTGTTACACATCTCATAAACGAAAGCCGAAGAAGCGATCCAATACCCCACTCGGTGAGCACTTGAGAGATCTGTTGGTCAATCGAGTATCTATTCATCGACTCTTGTGGCTGTAGCTCGCACACCGTATGCAAACTCCAATACAAAGCTCAACAACCTGTCGTCATGATCCACCACCAGCGCATGAAGATCTGCATGGCACACACAAACTCATTCCACATCCATCCAACGGTCAACGCGGCTTCATTTTTCTTATGCACTTGTTCGCTAGCAATCGACCACACGTCGCGGGTAGCGGTGCGAACAACTCGCGCTGCATTGGAAACTGAGACACTGCAGTCCCACGCAGACACACGAGCAATGTCCATCGCACGCTCCCCCTTCTTCTGCTTGGCCATGGACGGCAGGTGGTATCCAATCACAGCTTTTACTTACACCTTGTTCATCGACGCCACATCCACCGACTGCACATAGTCCTCAAAGCTCTGGATCGCGTCGGTAATGTCATCCAGCAGCACCATGTCGTCAATAATGATGCACTGCACCAGTAGCTTCTTGATGCCAAAGGCCACAGGCACCAACTTGTGGCCCTCGCCCCACGTCAAGCCTTCCACTGGGAGGGCCTTGATCTTTGCAGCCAGCTCTTCCAGGTCCGTCTCGGCCTCCCACGGCTTCACCTCAATCACCACCTGCGAGCGCTCCACGGGCTTCTTCTTCTCCTTCTTGGCACCTTTCGCCGCCTCGGCGCGCTTCGCCGCCAGCGCTTTCGTCGCCTCGTCGTCCTCGTCGTCGTCGTCCCCAAAGAGGTCGTCGTCCTCATCGTCTTCTTCCTCCTCTTTGTCGGCCTTCTTGACCGCCTTTGCAGCACCAGCAGACGGACCGCTCTGCGCCGGCTTCAGGATCGAGCGCAGGCCCAACTTGGCCGCCGTGTGCACGTACCAACGGTACACATTCGCATACTTGGCTGGGTCTGGCACGCTCGAGAACTGCTGGAACAGCGCGGCATCGGCCGAGCTGAACTGGAAACCCTCAATGTAGCTGCGGTTCGTGAGGAACCCATTGAGCTTCTTCAGGCCGGCGTCCTGGTCCAAGTTGTCGAACGTGAGGCCCATTGTTGCACGAGAGGGAGAAAGAGAGCTGTGGCCGGTGCCACGCGTGACACGGGTTCGATCATTGGCTGGCCAGGAGCGCAGCTGGAAAGAGCTCCTCGATTATACATGCACCTGTTGGCTGCATACTGAAAGCCAGTGTGCGGATGTGACGTGGCACGAGCGGTTTCGGGCGCGTGCCCACTTTGCGGACGGTTACGTCGGACAAGCTACTGTCAACATGAACTTCAACCAGTGCAACATGGACCCAGCAAGATCGACCGCCTCGGTCATGCATTACATGTCAGCAACTGCGTACTTGTACGCTTCTTCGCTCACTGCTGCGTGTGCATTCTGCCGCATCATGATCTTCTCTTCCCAGTTGGTACCTCGCACAACACCGTCCCAGCGGTAGCCCGGCACGATCCCAAAGCGGTTCGGCGGAGCAGGTGGACCTGCGTACTTTGGCTTGGCCTGAGTCGCCTTCTTCTTACCTCGTTTGCTTTTCGCTGCGTTCGTGGTCTTGTCTGCGTCCAGCGCATTCTCCTGGAAAAGCTTACTATGCATGGGATCGAAGGCGCGCACCCGTCCTCGACGCTTGCGCTCGAGCTCTTCGTCGTCTTCGTGGCGAGCAAATGGAGCACTCTTCATCTGCTCAATCAGCTCCTGCTGCGACTTGCGCTCGCGCTTCTGTACTTCACCTGTGCCCCATTCATACTCTTCACGCTCCTTGCGCTTGCGTTTGCCATCCAAGACTTCCTGTTGCCGAACGAGCTCGTTCAGCATGTCCAGTTTGCGACCGCGCTTGTCGCGGTATACCGTCTCAGCGTTCGCACCCATCTCGGAGGCATCAGCACCATGCAGGCCGTCCTTCAGCTTTGCCGCAACCTCACGTTGGCGATCGAATTCCGCAGCAGTGAACAGCCCAGCTCGCTTCACTTCCTTATCGTCAAGACGCGTAGCTTTCGACTCCTTCGTTTCTTTCGCATGCCTTGTATCTTCGCGCGATACGCTCTTGACATCACCATCGAGCGCAGGTGGTGCGATGATATCCGTGCGCGAACCCATACGACCATCTTGCTTGTCGGGCAACCCTTTCTCCTTTGCAGCTGCTGACTCATGCTGTGGAGATCGACGCTTTGCACTCCCCGAGCGTGATCGGGAGCGATGTACAGACGACGAGCGGTGCCTCCTGTTTCGTTCATGCAAGTCTCGCTCCTTTGACCTTTTGGGCGAGCGTGCTTTACGAATGGACGGAGAGCGACTGCTGCGATGATGGCGTGCACGTTGCATTGGACTACGGCTTCGACGTCTTCTCCTTACAGGAGAAACATCTGCACTTCGGTCCCGGTTCCTGTCACGTTTACGGTCACGGTCGCTGCCACGGCCTCGACTTCTGCTCCGGTTGTGGCCACGACTTCGGCCTCGACTGCAGCTTCTGCTTCGACTACTAGCAGCTTTGTTGTTGTGGCGCTTGCTGGTAGCGTCGTTATTGCTGCACGCTGAAGGAGACCGCCTCTCTTTTCGACTACGGCGAGGAGGAATGTCTCGGCCAAGAGAATCGACGCGACGCTGGCGGTCAAGTGCAGCAGGCGACGAAGACGGTCCGTGTTGACGCTTTTGGTCCTCCTGCTTCGATCCGTTAGTCATGTGATGCGATTCCATCGAGGAGGCGTCTTGCGTCTTCTTGACGTCAGGACCTCGAGCACTCGAAGATCCAGCACCGTTTTCATTATCATCATCTCGACTATGCTGCAGCGACTTTGTCTTCTCCCTGCCTCGACGCGGCGGTGAAGCGTCTTCATTTCGCTTTACCCGCGCAGGTCGTCTAGGTGGCGAAGCATCTTCATTCCGCTTTACCCGCGCAGGTCGTCTAGGTGGCGAAGCATCTTCACTCCGTTCCTTACCCCTTTGAGGCTGCTGCTCCCGCCCCAGTCGCTTCGGTAGCACGGTATCCTCTCCGCTCTCGTCGGAGCAAGCTCCTGTCTGCCTCGTAGACGGCTGGCAATCATCTTTCCAGCCATTTTGTATCGACACATCGTCTGTGTTCTTTGGCTTTCGCACCGACGAGACTCCATCGTCGCTTTCTCTACTCCCGTGACATCCTTCGACTCCTTTTTTACGAGGCGGGGACAAATCCTCATCGTCCAGCGACTTCTGCGTCGTCTTCTTGCCCTGCAACTCGTCCAAGTACTTGTCCGAGTCCACGTAGACCGGCAGGTCCTGAGCATCCACGCGCTCGTCCTCTCCGTCCACCGTCACGACCAACGGCAGCTCATCTTCGGCTGCATCGAGCTCCCACTTCCTCTCAATGGTCTCCTGAGGCGGCGCCGACAGCTCCCACGCGTCGTCGGCGTCCACAACGTGCGTGCCCAACGGCGCACTTTTGGTCCTTTTGCTCTTTTTCTTCTTCGTCTTCGTCTTCTTTGTCTTCTCCTTCGCCACAGCGTCTACGCCAAAGCACGAAACGATACACATGAGATAGGTGAGTGTCTTGGCTACATATTGGTGCATCTTGGAGGCACCAACGACGCGTACCGCCGCCGCTACTACTGGACATGTAGCGCTGCAAGTACTCGAGCTTTGACGTCATGTAAGTGTCTGTCCCGGTGTCAAGTATCAATTTAGAGAGATATCGCCACTCGTGTCGCAGCAAAAAAAGAGTACTGGGGCCAAATTCTGCGCAAGCATATGGGTGTGTACTATATTCTCGGAAAGAGGTTATGGCTTCAACAGGGCACAAAGCACGAACGACATGAGCGAACCTGCTGTAAGCCCCACCGATAGCATGAAAAAGACGATACTGCCGCCCAGTTCCTTCTCTGCGTTCTTGTGGAACAAACGCGGGTACTCCATAAACGCCAATGTACACAGCAGTCCGTTCGTGTAGGCGCAACTGGCGATGAACAGCAGAGCCAGCACGTCACTCTGGAAGATTACTGTCGTGACCACTTGATGCGACTTGTTCTGCAGGTTGCAGAGCATCAAAAGCGGGACAAAGAGCGCTCGCGCAATGCTCGCGAGCAAGAGCTTCTTCTGGCCGAGCTCGGGCCACCAGGACGCCGACAGCCGCGCGACAAAGTCCGACGAGTTGAACAATATCAACGTGAACGGCGTGAACAACTTGGCGTCAAAGAGACTGTGCTTCGGGTGCACCGGCTTGATCGCCGACGTGACACCAGGGAAGACACTGAGCGTCACGAGAAAGATACTGAACGTCGCCGCCGCGTACAAGCGGATCTTGTAGGCAATGTGCAGCATGTCGACCTTTGGGCTCGTGGCTGCTTCGCCCAGCAGTCGTTCCCGTGGAGACGCATCGAACGTGTCAATTGTCTCGGCTTCACTCAAAGCTGCGTCCTCGTTGTCGTCTTTCACCGATGGACTGGAACACTCTGCCCGCTGGTAGTGACGGAACAAGTGCATGCGCGTGAGTGCAGCAAACGACAGCAGACAGAGCACCAGCGTGAGAAACACGAGCGCAAAGTACGTGAACGCGCTCAGGTCGGCACTTGCGTGCAAGTCGCGCCCCGAAGCGACGTCCCTATCGCCTCCTGCCCACAGAATGACGAAATTCGACAGCGACACTGCCAATCCAGCAAAACTCTGACCGCTTACGACCGCCTGAGTGTACCGAGCTGGAAACGTCGCGACAATGCGAAGCAGTCCTTCTTGCATCAGTGTTGAAGCACAGGCGACGAGCAAAATGCTAATCACAGTCATATGAAAGAACGAGTACCCTGCAACAGCAGAGCCACCACACGAGCAGAAAACCAACGTAAAAAGAGTCAGTATCAAGTGGGTTCATCACTGTCGTTGGTTCGGTGCACCCGGACCTTGGAATTCCGGCATGCGCGTCCAGGCGCAGTGCATGGACATGACGCCCATGATAACCACCAGAGCGAAGAAGACCGTGTGCACGGCACTCGTCATGCGCTCGGCAATCACCGCCGTGCGCACGAGCATCGTCATGAGCGTACTCACGTTGAAGGCCATACTGAACCAATTGAGGAACGAGTCTTCGTACGTGGTACCCGATAGCCGGTGCTGGAAATAGCTCTGCGCCGTGATGAACACGTTCCATGGCAGCGACGAGCCAATGCCAATGAAGAAGAAAACGATCAACACGACTGTTGCAAAGCGCTCGCGCATGTTGGCGATTCGAGCGCGTCAAGTCTGACTCACTGACTGACTAGTAACGGAATGCCGACGAGGGAATCGCTATCTTCTGATCTCGTTTTCAGACGTCTTTTTCTGGAATCGGTTTTGGAGCTCTTCGAATGGGTTGTGGGGATTCCAAGTCGCTTGTGGCGAGAGGGGTATCATATTTGAGGGTCTTTGCCTTTGCTCGTTCGATAGGTTTAATGCGCCTGTGACTGGATCGGTACGTGTTTCGTCGTACTTGATTGGACGAAATACATACGATCTTTCACGCGCTCAGTCTGCCACTGATGACTTGACAGACCGTCTCGTCTGTCTTCAACTGTCCGACACTTCAATGTCAGGTGAGGTGCGAGCAGTCGGTCACTATATATTGGACAATACAACAGTAGCTACGAATGGTACCGAATACGTCGAGGCCGATACCACTCGTGTTGGGCTGTTAAGCTGTGTCTCGACCTAAGGGGATCGACTATCAAAGTTGGCCTTTACATAGGCACAGGACGTCTCCTGCAAGTGCAGATGATCTCGAGTATGATTGAGTTGTTTTGATGCAGCTGTTGAACGTTGTAAAGACGTTCACGCGTTGCAGTGCTGTTGACGATAGTCTGCTACTGAGGCCGAACCGTTACGTGGGAACAAAGCAAGAGCGGAGATGACGGACCAAACGAGAACAAAGGGCAGACGTGCGATAGCACGCGCTGCTCGCATTCGAGTTCTTGGTGACTGAGCCACCGCCTATCGTCGCCAAACACATTGCTCAGTCGTCTCGTGTCGTGCCGTGTAAAGTCAATGCGGGCACTGGTCTCTCGGGAAGTGCTTGTCGAGCTTTTCAATACGAAGTCCTCTTCAATAATGGCGCAGATCAAACAAAGACAAAAGGGCACAGAACAGACAGACAGACAGACAGACAGACAGACAGACAGACAGACGGCTTTCTCTGCCATAAACGTCTCGCCCTCCACAAGTCGTTGTTCCCTTCAGCGCTTCGTCGCTCGTTGAAACCGATCGCGTCCCACCTATCGACTCTGACAGGATCAACAACACCCCACCAACCTCTCCAATACCAGTCCACCGACCGTTTCGAAACATGGCAACGTCCTCGAGCCCACCAGTGGCTCCAGCGCTGCCCAATGGCCACAGAGGGAGCGACGCCGCGTCGGACCTTCAGCCCACAGTGGCCGACTTTGTCGTGGACAAGCGGCCGAGTCCGTTCCTGAAGCTCACAATGAGTCGCCGCGTGAAGGACGAGACGATCGCACCGCCTCAGCTCGTGCCGTTTGTGCTCCAGTTGCTCCGTACCCCAATCGCGGCATCGCCCACAAGGGATAACTTCATGGACACGAACGCGGCCACTGCCACTGCCGTCGTCAGCCGCGTGCTCTATGGCAGTGGGTCGCGTCGTACTGTACTACTGGAGCTCGAGGACGTGGCCACTGCCACAAAGTTGCGGGCGCTGCTTCATGCAAAGCCCTGTGAGCTGCTGCAACAGCGTTTAATGTACGCGGAGTTTGCAATGCTGCGGACGGCGCAAGAAGCGCGGGACCGCCTCGAGAGGGTGTGCAATGTGCAACTGGACGATGGGCTCCCGGGGCTACGGGTTCCAGGACTGCGACTAGCGGTCGAGTTCATCGCGAGCGCAGAGGAAGCGGCGTGTGTGGAGTACTTTGATCGAGACGATAAGGTGCACTGGGCAAAGACGATTCGAGCGAGGCAAGTGCAGCACTTTGGCTACGAGTTTCAGTACGACACGAGGCGGTGTGACCCGACAAAGCCAATGGCCGATCCAATTCCGTCAGTGCTGCAGCCGATTGTGGCAAAGATCGCCGCGTGTGGGATCATGGACGGGGAAACGCCCGACCAGATTACGGTGAACGAGTACCTGCCGGGACAGGGCATTGCTTTCCACACGGATACGCACTCAGCGTTCACGACAACGATTGCAACGCTCAGTCTTGCAAGTCAAGTGGTCATGGACTTTCGATGCCCGGCCAGCGATCAGAACGAAGGTGTGGTCTTGCCAGCTCGGTCCATGGCCGTGATGAGCGAAGCCAGTCGCTACGACTGGGAACATGCCATTGTGCCGCGTCTGTTTGATGTCATTGATGGGAAGCAGGTGGCCCGCCAGCGACGACTGAGCATCACGTTCCGTAAGATTCGCTCAGGACCGTGCAAGTGTCCGTTTCCATCACAGTGCGATACGCCGAGACGGGAGGGACTGGATCAACAGGAGCAAACGACTCGGACAAAAGGTCTTACGAGCTTGGCACCTACTGCGCTGGAGCAGCAGTACGTGCACGAGTTCTACGAGACCGTAGCAGCGCACTTCAGCAGCACCCGGCACAGCCCCTGGCCGAAAGTCGGTCGGTTCGTAGCATCCCTACCAAGCGGCTCAATGATTGCCGACGTTGGCTGCGGAAATGGAAAGTACATGAAGTGCGTCGATCCGTCGCAGAGTTTCGTTGTCGGTGGCGATCGCAGTTCGCGTCTCGTGGATATTTGTCGCGGTCGAGGTCTTGAAGCGATAGTGTGTGACGCACTGGCTGTTCCGCTGCGGTCCAACTCGTGCGATGCTGCCCTATCAATTGCAGTCCTCCATCACCTCAGCACGCTGGACCACCGACTCGCGGCAGTGAAAGAGCTGCTTCGCATTGTCCGTGTGAATGGACAAGCGATCATTTACGCATGGGCACATGAGCAGATGAAGGGCTCTCGTCGCCGTTTTGACGAAGGTCGACAAGACTTCATGGTTCCTTGGAATCTCGACAAGCGTTTTGCAGGTACTGCTCAAGCAGATCCAAGAGCCACAACGAACGCGGAGACAAGTGATGAGGCTGCGGATATCGAGACACATTGTGCAGAAGACAGTGATACACTGAATGGCAGCGACATCGATCGAGACGTCGTTGCAACGAAAGAAGACCGCGTAGTCCAGCGTTATTGTCACATGTTCAAGCAAGGGGAATTAGAAACCTTGGTGGAGCTTGCGGGCAATGCCGAAGTACAGTCGAGCTACTACGATGAGTCCAACTGGGCTGTCGTGATTCGACGCGTTTGCTAGTCCGTCATCCACTCTGCCATCCTCGACAAAGCAGTCGAGCAAGTGCGACTGGCGTTGGGACTACACTCGGCAGGCCGTGACATCAGCATCAGCCCAAGCGCCTCCCATTTCACATGTCCACTCGATGTCATCTGCTCCAGTGTATCATTGCTTCATCGCCTCTGAAAACCTGCAGAGTCCAAGCCGCATGCAGCACGCAATGCTGAAAGCATCTTCAGTCGATACGCAGCGCCGCATCGCCACGCTCTTTGTGTTCGCTCGACCCGAGAAAACACCTCTTGTAGGCGCTGTGGACACGAGCAACGAGCAACGCAGTCGCTTCGACAGGCATTCCAGCGCTCTGCGTTGCACCGCTCGTAGGCGCAAGCACTGAAGCCAGCGCGAATTCCATCCAGTCCACGCTTCACCTCTGCCTGTCCTTGGCGTGTGCGTGGCACAGGCCGCCCGTGTGCACAAACTTGCCGCAGCTCGGCACGCGGCACATGGAGCCACTGCCGTGGGTGCGACACAGTCCCCCCTTGTGCGCACACTTGTGGCACCCGTCGACGTCGCACGCCGTCTGGCCGCCATGCAGTCGGCACCGGCGGCGCACCTGTTGCCGCCGCGTACAGCCGTCCACGACGCACAGCAGTCCCCCCGTGCCGCTATGGGCCCAGCAGAGCCGCGCGCGATGGGCGACGTTCGAGCAGCTCCGGACGCGACACGTGTCGTTGCCGCCGTGCAGTCGGCACCGGTTGTTCACCTGCTCGCGACGACTGCAGCCGTCCACTTGGCACGATTTGACCCCTGCGCGGCCGCCGTGCGCGCGGCAGAGGCCTCTGCTCTGCGCGAACTTGGCGCAGCCGTCGGAGCGACAGGGCGTGCGGCCGCCGTGGAGGCGGCATCGGCCCTGGGCCTGTTCGCGACGGTGACAGCCGTCCGCGAGGCAGAGCCGACCGCCTTTGCCGCCGTGAGGCCGACAGAGTCCCGTGCGCTGGGGGAACGCGTTGCAGCCGTAGACGGCGCAGTGGCGCAGCGCAGGCGGCGGCGCAGCAGCGGACATGGGCAGAGGAGAGAGAAGCGACAGCGGCGGCGGCGACGACGTCGGGCAGTGCAAATGGCTACGGGGCTTTGTTTGTTATTTTGTAAGTGTGGTGTGGTGTGGTGGGGTGGGGGTGCTGACTCGATTTTATTGGTCGAGGAATGTCCGCGGTATTCTGAATGAGAGTTTCCACCGGTGCGACTGGCGAGAAGGGGGGGGTGGAAACCGGTTTTCGTTTGGTACTGATCGTTTAGATCGTTTTGAAGCAGCAGAGAGAGCGGAAATCTCGAGCTGACGTCGACGGATAGAGGCAGTGCAGTGTTACTGCGCTGTATTACAGCGCCTTTTGGGTTCGACTATGTGTATTCACTATACAGTGTTGCCGCGAGTGACAGTGACAGCAAACATCGCCGGTTCACGGGTGCTACAAGCCCGACTGACGGCCTGTTTGACAAAGACTTTTGCTAGCACGACCGGAGCAGTTTCCCACTCGACGTGGCGTGCCTGGTCGTGGTTCAAAGTGTACGCATTTTCTCGTGATGATGTCTTGACAAACGCTGATGAAAGCCAACTGACGAGAATGCAAAAGCGTCAACGAGCCATTTAGCTTAGGGACTTAAAGTCACAATCACGACAGTGCATGCCGTGCCTTGAGCCTGTATACACGGCTTTGGAAACCCCTGCAAGCTGTGTTGACGAGGCGGTAAACCTGGTTCCCATGCACTGAACGCAACGTCATACACACGCTTTGTTGCTGTCGGGCGTCGCGCAACTGCTATAGGGAGTGCACCTGAAAAGGCTATTCGTACGTGCGACATAGAGCACAGCTCCCTGGGCAGCACAGCCAAGTGCTATAGAGCACATACGAGCTCCTTTCCAGTGAACTCGTTATGATAGTCGCATGATGGCCTGTCGGAACTCCGCGCGACAGTAAGAGGGAGATATGTTGTCGAAGGGTATAGAGAGACTGGTACGCCACTGACGTCTGGCTACATTTGGAGAGCTGCGAGAGTGAAACGACAAAGAACGGACGGCGAATCGCCCACAGGAAGCGTTGCGTCATTAGCAACAGAGCCTGTAGTATTGTCTTTTGTCACACGCGATGCAAACACTCAAGATAGTGTCGTAGATGCAAGCTTAGGCACACGCGACCCGCTAGGCCCTTTCATGCATCCATCGAGATGCTGTACTTGTAGGCATGCTTTCTGATCATAAAGTAGCCGAGTGACAGAAGAAGTGTTCGACCTAAAAGCGCTAAACGACAAGGCACGGGGCCAAATGACGAGCACTCAGCTCCTCATGACTGCAGCTTGGTAAAACCACGCGCAGAGGTTACGGCACTGATTGAGCGATACGGCGTTCAAGTAGAGATGACATCGATGGGTGAGTCTATTTCATGACATTCGCATTCGACAAGATGACAATGTGAATGATTCCTTATGGGATAACAATAAGTTGCGCTTCGCTTCACAGGTTATCGTAGCTCGCTGTTGACACCACGCTTTGCATTAGCTGATACCGGCGATGATCACGCCCAGCAATATCACCAAACAGAGGCAGACGCGCGCAATGCGTGGTGGCCAAAAAAAGAAAGCATTGTGGTAGTCAGTTAGATATGAGTGTAGTAGGGGTACAAGAGTTTTTTTAGACGTGAGTAGACTAAAAAAGATATTTCTTTTAGCACAAGTAGGCTGTCTTGTCACTTACCTATGCGTTACAAGTCGAATACGGTGATCAGAGATATGCACGAACCTTATGAATATTTAAATTTGGAATGTTGGCACTAACGCGTCTTGACCAACCAAGACGCCGACGGAATACTTATAGCTAGAGCCCTGCTAGTGGACACGAACCCGTGTCTGATCTGCAACGGTGTATGGTTTTTTCATGCGCTGAGGAAGAGTGGGATGTGCTGCTACGTCATACCGGCTATAAAAGTGTGGTCAATATTGATATTCTGTTGGTGGTTATACATGTAGATGATGTCGTATTCGAGATGGCCACTTCGTAAGGGTGAATTCGTCTCATTATACTGTTTAGACATCATCGCCCAGAGGTTATTCGGTTGGATAATTCGGCTATTCGTCGATTCCGAATTACTCGATTTTGGTCCCCGGGGAACTCGAACCGGCAGTCAGAGTCTTTATCGTTAGCGTACTAAACCACTACACCAGGGGACCACCCTTGGCCACTTCGTAAGGGAGACCAGACACCCCTAAAGCCCGTATACAATCTCTATGGTCTTACTAAATATCGACAAAACTACAAAATTCGAATAGAACAACTCTTTCACCACCCATTACACGCGTCTAACGGCATGGGCGATTAATATGGTTGACGCAATGATCGATATCAATCAACTAGTGAAGCGTTGCCGAATTTTACCTTCCAAAGTAATATTCCGTCAATATTTACTTAGTGAGGCAATTATTGGTGAATAGTATCAATTTAGGTGATACCCAAATTACCTCAATCTGGTGTCAATTACATCGAACGGCTGCACTCCGATACACGAGGTCGCTGTTCGCGTTACAAAATTAAGCACCCTTATCCCACCTACGCAGTAGCGCCTAGCGGATCACAATTTTACTGACTGATGCCGATATAGAATGGGTATATTACAACGGGGCTGGTTTGGTATGTTTGGCAGTCCAGGAATCTATACACTGCTGTGTCGAATGATCGGTGGTCCTGATGCAGTTGGCCGCATATCTCGCCTGTAGATATCCTCGTCGCCATGCGGCCGTCCATTTATCAAACACTTGGTGGCTTAACGCGGCTAGTAGATCTGCAGGATACGAAAAACTCGATACTGCTGAAAGAGGCGCCTCTCAATCTCGATTTGTCGTCATAATATAGTCGTCTGTAGTACTGTGCAACTAGGGGAACGCCAGAGTTGCCAAAGCTGGTCAGGACGCTTCGTAATTTCGCCATAGCATCCGGCCAGGTTGCATGTGCGTCCACTATGTACACTGACAAGGTGTGTTGGCACATATATCACGAAGTTGGGAAGAACAATAAGTTTGCACACCAGCCCGCAATGTAATATACCGTTGTTTTCTGAATGTGCACGATCGATCAATATAATCCTGCGCAAGGTTATAGTAGTTAAACCCTTTTAAATATTCGAGGAGATCCAAGAAGCTCAATCTAGGTATATATTTCTTGTCCAATTGTGTATAAGCGACACCCATGGCTCTTCTCACATGACTTGGACACAAAGAGATGGTTCAGCAACAATATCTCTGGTCTATCGACAATCCGTCGACATCTCTCTTCACGCGCATCTAATAATGTTTGTTACATCATGAAGCGCTCGCGCCACCAAAAGTATGAGGGCGAATGAATAGTGGACTAAGTGGACAGCTGTTTTTGATCCGGCAACAATCTCAGTGACGTATAGATTTCGTTTTACATAATCCACAGCAACTATTAACCTCTTTTTCCTTACATCAAACACACAGTGTGTTTTCGTGCGCGCTTCCCGTACATGACGTATCCCTAAGGCGTCCGTGTCATTTACCTGAAATTTGTGTCGGACCTTGCCGGTCCATTTTAGGCCATTGTACTAATGAGGTAACGAACGAGGTGCCTATGGTGAGACACCTGGCCCGAGTGACGTTTGATATAACTCGACTCGGCCAGTGACGCAGATAATAGTTCGGAAAGCCTTAGTGTCTGTAGCTGTAACTGTGGAACGAAATCTGACGTACGACATCGTATGTGCGTGTCTCGAGTATGTTGGATTTCTGCGATCGACAATAATGATGAAGCACATCCACGGAAGGCAGATATGTAAAAGTATAACCAAGCAACACACATTGCGTCTTGTCATCAGCATGCAGTACAGTCTGGTGGCAAAGTTAGACTTTTGCCACAATCTGTCGAGCGAGACAGCCATGTACGATTACAGATGACTGGGTAAGTTCGATTACAGGGCTCAGTGAAACGACGAATAATGTAGACGAGCAACCTTCCGAAGAATGGCTGTCCTACATATTTTCTCCGCAAGGCGTGCGATAGTTGGGTAGCTGGGACCCTACTAGCCGCAAGCCTAATGATGAAATGAGGGGCGGAGATTATTAGCAGTTCGAACAGTGCCATTGTACAAGCGGCACAAAGCTGGTGATCTGAGGTACGCGTGGCTTGGTCCTCGCACAGAGTGACTGCTCCTCTATTAGACCATCACACCGTCGCATGTCCTAATCATTTGTTGCCATCTCAATAGCTTCTGCCGTTAGGAATCTCGGTAACTGCTAGATCTTTTCGTGCACGAAGATTATCGTGGAAGCCACAGCTCGAGCCCAAACGCGCTGTAAGCGCAAGACATCCGAATCAATGCACCCAATCGGCAAAAGCGACACACAGATCGATGCCTTCCTGGACGTTCTATTTTGATACGGTACACTCAGTACGCCGAGCCACTAGATGACAGCTGATCAATAGCGTGGCCTCCACAGGCAAGTGCCACGACACGAATACGGAACAAACATCGTGCTGCTGAAGGAAAACTCGCTACAACACACGACACTTGCTCTACTACAAAAACGATCACCTTTGTCTCTACTCGACTGCTACAAATTAGAACCACCGCCAGACCGCAGTAGCACCTCCAGCTGTCTTTGCAAGCGCTATCCTCATTTTATAAAGCACCGTAACCATAAATTCATTCTCGCGATCGGCAGCAGCCACACAAAGTCCCGCCATAGCGCAGCAAGTAACACCCACATGCTCAGCCGTCTCTTCGCCCATGCCACTCGATGTGCCACTAGTCGACGCCACCTGACGACGTCACCGACGTCCGCGCTCTTTAATCGTACCACTCTCCAGCGATTCCGTGTGCACCGCACTGGCTCTCTGTCGTGTCTGACCGCTTTCATCGCCTCGCGATCGAGAACCGCCACGTTCACTCGACGCGCGAGTTCGTCGACGTCGAAACGTCCGAACACGTTAGTGACGACTTCTTCCACGGAAACGAAACCGTCGCACCTTGAGAGGCTGAAAGACCTGTGGCGCAAGTATGGGGTCGTAGCGATGGGGACGTACTTTAGTCTATACGGAGCCGTACTGGGCTCGATCTACCTGGCGATTGACCAGGGATGGGTCCACACTGCCACGGGCAGGAACTCGCGCGAACACGAGCAGCAGTCGGACTTTGATTTGGTGTCCACGACCAACAAATTTGTCAAATGGGCAGAAGACGTAGGCATTGCGCAGTATTTGGAGGTAGAGCGCGTGAACGCCAAGACGGGCTCGTTTCTGCTAGCGTGGGTCGCGACAAAGTTTACCGAACCTCTTCGGTTGGCGCTAACGGTCGCTGCAACGCCGCGGATCGCGCGCTTTCTTGGCCGGGCACCGAAGCTACCGCCGAAGACACCGGGAAAACTGGCGACGATGATGCAAAAACAGCCGACGTTGACGAAGGAGCAGCAGCCACCCAAAGCGTAGCGGGCCGGAGAAGGACAGTGCTTGAGCTTGTGGCTGCCAAGTACGCACTCGATGGATGCTGAGTAGAAACGAGTGATTTTGTCGTGCGAGGCAGACGCGACAGTGCTGAAGTGCTGCTACCAGCGACAGGAATGGGGATGACGTTTCTGTATGATATTGCAAACAAGAAAGCATCGTAAAATGGTGGTCTTGTTTGTTGGTCATGAGATTTATGATGGGCGAGTTGGTTCTCTCGCAATGGGCACTGGATCATGTGGCGCTCATGGCAAACCTTCCTACGTGGTCAAGCGATGTCTGCCTTTGCGATAGAATGATGGATCCTTGGTCAGTAGTTGCGACTTCTCCAAGAACGAGACCATGTTCTTGGTCAAGCTGCTGCAAACATAATTGATGTTGTCGGCCTATTCCTCAAAGTGTGCTGCAGCAACCGCTTTTATCGGTAACGAAAGTTGTGGCTTCGACTGTCTAACACCAAGCAAAGCCGTCTTCTAGGCAGCCAAATGAAGCGTTGCCGTCATGGACGACATTTCCCTGCCATACGCACTTTTGCTGTTATTCTGGATTCAAAGTACGCTAAAGGATCTCGTTTGATTCTGTCGCTGCGCTGTGACAAAAGCTTGTTTGCTTAGTGGGTCATCGAGTAGACGCACCGCCATGCAGTCTTTCCTCGATGGCCCACTAAGTTTACAAGCTTGGGAATCGCCATTAGGCTAGATACATTACAGTGTGTCGTCCTTCGGATGGGGGCACAGTATGTTTCACTTGCCGAAGTGTGACGTCTCGCATTCGGGGTAACACACGCACAGCAGAAGGTAGAAACTTCGATATGGACCTTCGCCTTTCCGCCCAAATGTCTTCTTACTTGCACTGGCGGGCCCGGTACCTTACTGGAGCAGTACCTTTTACAATTGCGTTGTGAAGGACAGTTGCTCTACAAGGGACTTGCGGGTCATGCCAGCAAGAAGTGTATCGCTATTGAGGACACAGTAGCATAATCTTCGTGTCCGGTTCATGATAACTGGGTGTGGCTGCTCACTTCCATACTTCAAATGACATCCATTCGCTTCGCGCGTTACTTGCACCACAGTTAGACGCCACTTTACTACAACAACGCAGCGATTTCAACCTTCGGTCAAGTTGATGAAGAATTGCTTAGGGCTGAAAAACAAAATCGGCCGTTCGCCTTATTAGCAGCACGAAGCGGGGAGGTCGAGGCCAGAACGCAGCGCGTTTCTAAACCGAAACGCCCCTCGCTCTGGCCTCGATTAAACCTCGTTTCTAAATCCACCCCCGGCCGTCGTCCCCCTTCGCACGCACTCCCCAACCGCCTCCTGCGCCTCGACCGGACGCCGCCTCCCTCCCGCATGAGCGTCTGTAGCGACAGCGGCAGCCGCCACAGCCACACGAGCAGCAACGGCATGGGCCCACCCCCCGGCACTGCCCCTGTCCCGCCTCCTCTCCCCAGCGCCGGTACGTTGGCGTCGAACTTGAAGCGCGCGCCAGGGGATCCCGTGGCTTGTGGTGAACGTACTGACATAAGACCTCATTTGTCGTTTGTTTTGGGGTGTCGGTTCCCTAACCCGCTTCATGCCGCTCGACGACGTTGCTCGGGAAGGCACACTAAGTACGAATCCCCTGCACGAGCTCCTGCAGCAGCCGCCGCCGCCGCACCAGCAGCTTCCACGTCCGCCAGCGCCGCCGGCGATCTCGACGTCCAGCTCGAACCAGTTCCTGCAGCAGTTTCTGTCGTCGTCGTCGAACGCGATGCCGCTCATGAACCACCACGTGCGGCAAAACGGACTGCCGGCGCCCACGCCCCCACTGAGTGCGCCCAGTTCGCTGTTCCCGCTGCTCCAGCAGCTGTCGCCGCATCACGGAGCGTTCCTGCCGCCCCGATCGGCGCCACTGCCGCCAGTGTCTTCTCCGTTTCAGCCGGTCCCGTGCCTCTCTGCTAGCAGTAGCAGAGGGGCGTACTCCGCAGCCCCTCGGAGTGCTGCAACTGGCTCGATGGACGGCAGCCGTAGCAATGGAGCAGGAGGGTCCGCGTCGAGCTCGTTGACGGGCTCACCTCGACGTGCTGGCACTGCTGCCGCTGGATTTGGCATGACGGACGCGGTGACGACACCTCCTGGCACGAGACTCTGTGGCGAGGCGGTGGAATACCATTTGCGGGGCGACGCTGCGAGCAATGAGAGCCGATCACTGGAAGTCATGCCCATCACGCTGTACAATTCGGAACGCACGTCGCAGCAGCTGGGGAACCTCATTTCAGTCAGCGAGCACTTTATTTCGTACCCGATTCGGAATGGACTGATCCGCGTGATCAGTCAAAGCTCGGCAAATCGGTTGTTGCTGCGGAAACACGAACACCACACGGTGACAGAGCTGGCGTTTTTCAACAGCGAATCGGATCTACTCTTGAGTTCAGGAACAGACCACCATGTAGCCATTTGGGCCATCCAGAGCGACCCTGTGAGTCGCGAGCTGATCAAGCTAGTGCCGACGCAGGCACAACGTGTCAAGTGGCATCCATCTGACTCGAATAAGATTGCGATTGTCAACGGAAGCGTGGTATTCGTTGCCGACTTGTCGGCAGTTGACGCTTATGGCACTGGTGCCGGGAACCTGTACGACATTAGTGTCGTGTGCAACCAACCGTCTGGCCAGATCAACGACATGGCTTTTTCACCAGGTAGCGGCAAGTGTGTGATCACTGCTGGCAGCGATGGTGTCGTGCAAGTGTATCGTGTGGATGACCGACTTCCTGGACAGCTTGCCGACTTCGTGCAATGCTTTGAGCCGTTCAATGGAGGTTCTGTGAATAGCCTGCACTTTTACGGGGGCAACTTTCTTAACCAGCCCGGACTACTGATAAGTGGTGAGTCCAACACGCGTTTGTCGCTATGGAATGCGATGCTGACGGAGGACACCGTTCCTGCGTGTTACCAGACGGTAACGCTGTGTGATAATACACGAGAAAGTCTGTCACTTCTGCACGAGACGACCTTCGATCCCACGACACAGTTCCTGTTCGTGGCCGACCGGTCGAAGCCGTTGATATACGCCTTCCACCTCGCTCCCAGTTGTGACGCACACACACCTCGCCAGTTTGACAATGTGACGGAGTTTACGTTGGCGTATCCTGTACTCAGCATGGGTTTGCTGAACCGCACTGCTCCGAGCCAACCGCCTCGCGATGGCAGTATTGCGTCCTCCATGCTGGGTGAGCTGAACTTCTCCATGCAGCTGTACTGTCTGCAAACTCATGCTATTCAGCGGTACCACGTGTCGGCGCGCGAGTGCTTTGTCCCTCGTGTCCACGCTTCACTTGAGGATATGATTGAGGGCAATGGGGACATCGGTCAATCTGTTGGCGCCATGACGACTGAGGGAGAGAGCGTCGAGACGTCGTATCAGACAGCGGCCGAGTCACCTCGAGCTGCATCTACAGCGACATTGACTCCCGAAACTGAAACGGATGTTCATGATCCTGAACGAGCAGAGGAAGAGCGAGGTAGCAATGTTAATCAGCAAGCTCTGCATCGAATGTCGCTGGACGGCCTCCCGCCTGCTCCTCTATCACCGGCTCGAAGCACCCGGAGCACTGGTGCTCGTCCGCTACATCTAGCAACTTGTGATGACACGGCCTCAGTATCAGCGCCGTCTATGTCGGGAGACGAAGGGAGGCTTAGCAACTTGCGATTTTACAATCGCTCTTCCCCGTCATCTTCGGTTCGTGCGTTTCACGATGAGTCGTCTGTGCAGTATGATCCGTCTATTGACGGTACAGCAAGCGAGAGCCAGCAACAGACGCTTCTTGCTTCGTTGCGCCGAATGGAAGCCGCTCAGCTTCAGCGTGATGAGGAGCTCCGTGAACAGATGCGTGTGGCTATGGGAAGCTTGGGCGATCAGTTGACGTCGCAAGTCTCAACGCAAGTGGAAAAGTCGATTCAGAAGCAGCTCCAGTTGGTTCTTGTGCCCGCGATGGGCCGCATCGTGTTGCACACTATGGAGAACAACTTTATGAAACCCGTGCAGAACGGATTCCAGCATGTCATTGGCGAGAAACTGATTCCGCTGATGAAACAGAAGCTGGATGACGCGCTCGCAACATCGCTGCCGGACCATTTCTCGAACGGCGTCGACGATATGGTGCAGCGCGTAGTCGAAGACGTCCGCCAGCCTGTGCGTGAGTCCTTCCGTGAGTGTTTCCAGGACGTTTTGATTCCATCGTTCCAGGCTGCTACGCAGAAAATGTTTGAGCAGATAAACAACACTTTTGTTCAAGGCACGCGCAGCGCTCTTGGGAACAGTGCAGGAAATGGTAGCGACGCAAACGTCATAGGCCAACTGGAGCAGCTGACGAAAGTGGTAGAAAGCTTGACGGAGCAGGTGGAGCTATTGAGCTCGGCCGTTCATGCTGGAGGCGTCAATGTTGCGTCAGTTCCAGTCACCAAGTCTCCTGAAGATCTGCAACTAGAGGCACAGCAAGGAGTCGTGCTCGACTGTCTTGCACGAAACGACTACGAGGAGGCGTTTAAGCTCGCGCTTGGTGCACAAAACGTAAACCTGGTCGCGTTTACTTGCCAGCAGTGTGACCCGCGACTTGTTCTCAGCTGTCGCCCACCCAAGCTGCCGCAGATGCTGATCCTGTGCTTGGTGCAGCAATTAGGAGCAGACCTGGCGGATGATCTGGAAACAAAGATCAACTGGCTGCGGGAGTCGCTTTTGATCATGGATGTTCACGATCAGAGTATCGCCAGCTTTGCGGTCGGCGTGTTGCAGGAATTGCAGACATGTCTGAAAGGCGTGCCGGCGCAATACCGCGACTCGCAGTATGTTCTCGTGCACCACGTCCTCAACTCGATGCTCAGCTCTGCGTAATGGGCTCGACGAATGCAACGTTTGGTATTCCGATCAGGTTTCGAGAAACTGGAATGACTAGCGTCCGCTTGGGCCAGAGAGTGTGTTTGTCCGAGTTCGTTGAATGTGCAATAAAATGACTTAGCAACTGTGCTTGACACGGACGATAGCGTGCTCGACCTTTGCTGATCGGGGCCCGTAGTTATCTCTCTGTCACAGGTTATGTCTGTGTCAGAGGATCTTTCACCGCCCATTCGTTTAGCGCCCGAGCGCTTAGTATGGTGTCAGAACGCCAAGCCGAACGCGTTTTATCATGCACGTCACGACCCATTGAGACAGACGAACTCTTTCGAGGGAGCTGCCCGTGACAATAAGGTTCGCATGGAGCAGTCTATTCATTCGCTAGCAGGAAACTCGCGCTTGCCGTCAAAGAGCTTTGCGATTTCGTCACTGACTTGCATCACTTCAGTTTCGTCACGTCCTTCAACAGTGATGCGCGTGCTGAAACTCGTGTCGCGCACGCCCGTCTCGTCTTTCGTCAAGTTCACGTAGCTCCCGATCGCAATGTTCGGGTGCGCATCTTGCACGGCACTTAGCTGAGCGGCAATGTCGCCTTCCATTTGGATCGTTTTGACCTGCGCGCACGACAAACGAGCGTGTCAGCAAGGAATCGTCGGTGACGGCGACAACAGCTTTAGTCTGAGCGAATACGTACAATCGCACGGAAGATGGAAACGCCGGTAAAGTGCTCTTCGGCCGCAGTGAGCATCGACCGAACCATTGACGGTATGCCCGGCAGGATATACACATTCTCGACAACTGCAATCGGTGTCCAGAAGTCGGTCCGAAGCGTCTTGCAGCCAGCAGGGAGTAGCGCCATGCGCTTTCTGCCTTCCGTCAGTTCGGATGCGCTCTTTACCATAGCAGCCTCCAATGCCCTCAGCGTCGGCTCGTGGTACTCAACACCACGACCAAACGCCTTTGCCTAGTAGAAAAAGCAGACACCCGACAATGAGCTCCGATCCACACCACACGTCCTTCAGCAAAAAGAGACGTACCACACTCTCGTACGTGATGTCGTCGTGCGTCGGTCCAATGCCGCCCGTGGTCAAGACATAGCCCGTGGGGCCAACCATCTGCGAAAGCTCTTGGACCGTCGAACCGATCGCCTCTTCGTCGTCCGGGACGACCACAACGCGCTTGAGATCAATGCCCCGACGGAACATAAACTTGGCGATCCAGTGCGAGTTGGTGTCCAGAGTCTGCCACATGACGCACACGTTCCATTAGCGTCCGGGGAAGTTTGACGAACGACGCAATAGGATTTCTAGCTGACTGACTGACTGGATCTCTATCTCTATCTCTATCTGTATCTGTATATCTATATATCTATCGAGTCCGTACTTTTCCCGTGAGCACTTCGTTGGCGATGACACATATCGCAGCACAGGGCGCTGAGTTGCAACTTGACAGATGGCGCGTGCGCAAAGTGGGGACGTGCGTGTGCATGATCCTCTGCAGGTGCGACAGGCACAGACGAGATCCGTTCATCGATCGGTTGTCGGAACTGGACGGGTGGAGCGTCTGTCGGTCGGTCGGTCTGATTGTCTGATTGTCTGATTGTCTGACTGTCTGATTGGGTCTCAGGTCGGAGAGACTCACACGATGAGAGTCGACTCAATAAGTGGATCGAGCGGCAAAAGTAGGAATGTCCGGTTATTGTGCGCGGATAGGACCTATCTATCTATATAGGTCAGTGACGAATTGCGCTTCGGATTTGGCTCGATCCTCTTCTGTTTGGCTAAAGAAGTAGTAGTAGTAGTAGTGGTAGTAGTAGCAGTAGTAGTAGTAGTAGTAGTAGTAGTAGTAGTAGTGGTAGTAGTAGTAGTAGTAGTAGTAGTAGTAGTAGTAGTAGTAGTAGTGGAAGTAATTTGTTCTCTCTGTTGAGCACGTAGTAAGCTGCTGCTGCTACTTTTCACTCAGAATCAGATTGTTAGGTTTATTCCTGTATCCTCAAAGGATGCGTACAATCAGATCTACGAGTCATCGCACTGCAGCCAGTTTTTAGACGAACAAAGGGATGCGACCAAATAGCGCCCGGACTATCACGACAGTAAGCTATATGTCTCATTGGAGATGACCAGTCCTCTTGTCCGAGATTCCCACGTCATGCAACGACTTGCTTGGGCTCGTGACCTCATGAGAACGCTCGCATCAGCAGTGCGTCAAAGTTCAATGTGATCGATACACTGTTGTGGTGTCTCTGACGCCCCTACAGCTCTCTGCTCTAGCCTTGACTCGGCACGTTTGACGTTGGCACTAACGGATGTACTGTTTTCTGCTGTCTCGGCTGCCTTGACCTCATCGTGCAGCTATTCCACTTCATTTCCTTCTTGAAAGACTCCATTGCTTCCTAGGTCACATCGACTCGTACCGCGTTGACTTTACGTGCCATCTGACGCGACCTGTTGTCGCAACAGTACACGTGTAAGTATCCAATTCTTTCCAGTGCCATTCAACGAGCGTGATCGCGTCACAGCTTTTATTTTGAATGCCTTCATGCTCCTCGAAGATCCATTCAATTACCTTATCACGTCGTTTGATGAAGATTGCTTGCTTCTTAACAGAACTGTGAATAAATAAGATGGACGCCGGGTACAGTGTCCGTTCTTACGACCATTGCGATGACCTCACGTGCAGCTCAGACCTTCCTGTAGCAGGCAGGCATATGCTTTGTCATACATGCAATGCAAGACAAGATTCTAATGTATGTAACGTTAGTTATTTGGTGGGCGATCAAACCGTAGGTACAACATTTTGTAAACGTACTGACATGTGCCGGGCGTCCTTCGGCGAAGCCCGTCATGACCGAGACTCACTCGGTCCGATAGACAAGAGAGATTGCCTTGACTTGATAAACACTATCTGCCAGCGACTAAGCTCAGACTGACACTGAGCTTCTTCATTCTGGCAAAAAAAAGGCTTGAAAGGACAATGACGTAGAGGTTCATCTCTTCGGGTCCTGTAATCACTTTACGATTTCGCCCACTCGAGTCAAAGTCAAGCGATGCACACATTCTACGTGCAGTAGTGATTGATCTTTGGTCGGCCGAGGTGCTTCTCCTGTCTGCTACAGCGTCACTTTAGTCAGAATGTCTTGGTGGCAAATTTGACATGAAGCCTTCGTACCACATTCCCACCTGCTTTTGCAGACAATGCAGTCAGGAACATATTGCGCCAAGATGCCTTGTTGATAGCATCTTTGCAGTCGTGAACGCAACGAGTCTCAAGCTTCACAGCTCGAGAAGGATTGTATCATATGCGGCGCGACTTTGCAGTCCATGCAAAAGCACTCAGAAGTCCACGCTTCAAACCGCCTCGTGTCGCTAATGCGAGAGGTAGACTCTACCACAGACAAGACGAATCGATGGATTTACTACGAAAAGTTGCTCGTTCAGTCTGCTTCGGTGACAGCGAACAAGTCCGCCAGTCAAAGCTTCTTATGTACACTGCAGCCGCTATCAAGAGTAATGGTCATACCTAAGACCGACGACAATGTAAGATGCTTAGCATGTCTAGCGTCGTCAACCTCTAGTTCCGTACTGTTGTCGATACCAGCCGAGCTCGTTGGCTACAACGCATTTGAGCAGATACAGATGGATTGAACGAGATGCATTGGCGACGTACGAAGCGGTAAACGCGATAGGGGCATCTACACCAGAGCTGGCACGACGGTACGCTGAAAAGGGAGTAAGCACCTGAGATGCAAAATCAATGAACGAGGCTCCACCCCACCGGTAAGTACTTTTCAAAGAGCATTGACGACCGAAGTGCGAAGCGAAGTATGTTGTCTGCTCCTTCTCGTTACGCTGCAACATACTGGGATGGAATAAGCGTATCACTTTCACTGGACACGGCTTTGCATTTGTGGTTGTACGGGTGAAGCTTCGGGAGACAAAGGCCACTCGTTGGCGAGTCCTGTGAGCAACGTACGTACACAATTGGACTAGCAGTGTCACTGATCTTTTCGCTTCTCGCTAGTCGGCCATACCGATGGATCAGTCGCTGACGATCACGTAGTGTGATAGAAGCAGAAAGAGGGCGACACACGTGTGATCGACTTGTCGATTGATGCAGCTCTTGAGGCGAAACATATCGCACGTCTTACTCTGCTGAAACTTCGACAAGCAGCGAAGCGCTCAACGCGAGTCGGATAACATCATGCGCTCCTGCTCTGAACAAAGTACCACAGTGCGACATGATCGAGACGAGCGTCGGAAGTGGATTTGCTGAGAAAACCGACGGCACTGTCGCAACTCGCAGAGAAGACGGCACCCACTGAGGCCATTGATAGGGACATTCATAGATCGAAACACATACTGTAGAGAGAGAGAGAGAGAGAGAGAGAGCACTACAACGACACTCGTCCGTCTTTATTCGTGTAGCGGGCAACGACAACGCACTGTCAACGTCTAACACCTCTCGTGCTCCCGTCGTGCGTCGTCATGCCGGAGGTGGTCGAGAACCAGCGCTGGTATCCGTTTGTGGTGCGTTCGAGTCGCTGCTTTCGACTGGTCGTTTCGCGGCGACGTCAACCGCCGGACCGACTTGTGCAATGTTTTTTTGGGATGTGAGAATGGGAACTTGACATGTTGACTATCGACTGTGTGTGTTTTTTATTATGGGTTTCATAGGGCTGGACCGCGCGGCTGCATGCAGAAGATCCGCCTGCCTGGTGCACTGCACAACAGGAGGCGTGTGGTAGTAAAGATGAGCAGAAGGGCTATGCGTGGCAGGTGTACAAGGGCCAAGACTACGACGAAGAAGGGTGGCTGTATGGAGAGAACTTCCAGGCCACGCTTGGCCCGATGACGCGTTCCAGCGTTGTCCGGACGCGGGTGTGGATGGGTCGGAAGATCGATCAGCAGGAAGAAAGTGCGGATGCGACCGAAGCAGCGGCGTGTGGGGCTGCAGAACGTTTCGAGACGAGCGAGAGCAACTCCACGGGCTTGACGGCTGTTTCGCGTAACGGTGAGGACAAAGAGGAGGACAGAGGGGACGATGAGAAACAGGAAGATGCGACGATAGACGGAGTGACAGTGAGTGAGCAGAGCAAAGATGACGACCTTCGCAAAGAAATCGCATTGGATGCGTCAACGGACGAGAAGGCGCAGACCGAGTCTCCTGGAACATCAAGCTCGTGGAGCTTTTTCGACAGGATCTCGTCCGCCGCATTATCGTTGCCGTCGTCGGCAATGAACTTGGCGGGTTCATCGTCAAAGCAAGCAGTCTATGGAACGGTGCAGTCGATCAAGGAAGCGTCTCTGTGTGGGTTTGAGATGGCGCAGGCAGCTACTGTGGCCGCGATGTCTTCAGAGCCTCTTATTCTTCCACAGGACAACACAAAACGAAGGCACGATGACGCGGTGCTCGACGGGGAAAGCAATGTGGAGGTGTTGTCCATGTTATCGAAGCGGTTTCCAGATCTGTCACCATTTCACCGCTCACTCGTGACATGCTGCAAAGATGACATTGTGAGCTCTGTCGCTCCTCCAGAGCTTACCGAGTCCAAGGTTTGCAAGGAATGCAATGTTGAGTTTGGTATGACGAAGTTCCGTTACCAATGTGGATACTGCGCTGAATCGTTCTGCCGGGACGATCTGCCGGAAGTTGCCATCATCCGCGCGTATGGACATACAACGCCGTCGAAGCTATGCCAAAACTGTCACTTTATTCTGATGGAAAAAGTGGATCAGCAATTGGTTCAATGGCGCATTGAGCGCGTGAATGACTTCCTCGGCGACAAGCTCATTTTGTACTATAGCACATCTTCTGACACAGCTGTTGACAAAATCATGCGTGCGGCTGAAGGCACACTCGTCGCCGCCAAGTCTGCTCCAATCGGTGCAGCGGCTAAGATGGCTGTTGTCAGTGCCGACTTTCTGCGCAAATATGGCAGAGCTGGTTTGCTTGGTTTCATCTTGCGCAATGAGTTCATGCAGTCCTTTGCGACCTTGAAAGGGCTGCTTGGCGACTTGGATGATCTTGGATTTCAAGACGCTGCTATTGGAATATACTACTTCATGGCAATGAATCGTGGCGATCGTGGCGCCGAACCTGAACGAGAGAAGGTGAGCCATAGTGGATGTGAGCCAATCTCGGACGCACTGCTGCAGAAGATGCTCAAGTACGCTCCGCTCGCATTGCACGGCATTTACGAGCACAACGTCTTAGACATACAGCGGATCAGCAGGCTGCAAGGATTCTCGTTGATCTATGTGCATGTCCAAGACCAAGACGTCCGGCACCCTTCCTTTGCGTTGCTGGGGAACAAGGACAATAAGACGGCGCTTCTTGTGATTCGGGGCTCGAAATCCGTCCAAGATGCTTTGACGGATATCCAGGCTTTTCCCGAAGAGATTGGTCTTTCGTCAGCAGGTGCGCCTCAAAGCGAAGCAAGCGGTGGTTTCGTGGATGCTTTCGCACACAACGGCATGCTGAAAGCTGTTATGTGGATCAAGGAACGAATTGTCAAATCGCTGCGTGTGTTGCACAACGAGGGCTACCACATTGTATTTACCGGTCACTCTCTGGGAGCTGGCTGCGCGGCACTGCTGTCGGTGATCTTGCAGAAAGAGTTTGAAGATCTCGAGTGTTTTGCATACGCTGTTCCTGCTTGCGTGAATTTGACGGTCGCGGAGTCCTGTGACAACTTCGTGCATTCAATCGTGCTCCGAGACGATATCGTGCCCCGTGCCAAGGCATCCAACGTTTTGAAGCTTGTTGATGAGCTCAAGAACTTCAAAGGATGTTGGCGTGACACGGCACACGAAGATTTGGAAGCGTTTAAGGAGCGAGCAAAGACATTATGGGCGCCAAGAAATCGCGAATGGGCTAAGGAAGCGGCGAATCAGAGGAAGGGGAGACTGACGATCCACGACAAATCGGACGAGGGTACGAAGGAGAATCGATCACGCAAAGAAGCCGCCTCGGATGACACTGTAGCAAAAGCAGGTGGTACAGAGGAAGGCGTGTCGTCCTGGACACTCACGCGAACGAATTTGATTGACCAGCTCGACAAGGCCGGTGGACAGAAAAGCGAAAATGAAGCGATTGAACCATCCGCAAAAGAGCGCCAAGAGGAAGAAAAAGTGATTGCAGACTTAGCAACGGCTTTGGTCGAGGACCCCAAGGAGCTTTACATCCCTGGCAAAGTGACGCACATTTACTTCTACAAAGGGGTTTTCGAAGCTGTACACGTTGACCGAAAGTGCGGAGAACTGTCGCACATTCCAGTGCAGCAGAACATGCTGAGTGACCACCTGGGCCGTAATTATTTAAGCGCGTTGCGTATCGTCCGTGACGCACGACGCGCCAAGCCTGAACTACCCCAGTGGGTACCGTTTAGCACAAAAACGCGCTGCATGTGCTGTGATTCGCCATTCACGTGGAACTCAACCTCTTCCAGCGAGGCGCAGCAAAATCGTGACCAGCATAATTGCCGCCGTTGTGGGGCTCTCGTGTGCGAAGGCTGTTCAGAAAAGTTCAAGTCGATTCCGGAGTTTGGCATCAATGTGCCGGTTCGCGTTTGCGATCGCTGCTATTACGAAGCTTAGATTCATAACGTGCCCTTGACGCCAGCACGCACAGCAATACCAAGCAACTTGTCGCGTCAAAAGTTCTGGTCTTGAGGCCGGTGACCCCGCATGTAGCACCCAAAGCCTGCTTGTTCCGGTTCAAAGGTTACCATCCATACGCCCTTTACGCCACCTTTCAAAGCGAGGGTCTTGTTGACGGCTGCAACAGATTCGATGTCTGCCTATGAGTCCCGTCCTCCGTTTCCCAAATCGATCGCCTTGTGTAATATGGTCTGAACGACACGTAGTATTATTCCGCTTAGCCGAAGCAAATAGCCGACAGAGCTTTATGCCTGTAGAGCCTCATGGAAGGGCATACCTTCGTATTGCCTGTCGTCTCGTTGGGTTTTCCGTTTCGTCAGGTTGATCAAACTTTGGCTTGCTGTGCCCACCCACGTCTACGCTTCGGAGCGCGACGGACACAACTCCAACCTGCTTTCTACTACAAGCGTAGTCAGCAGCAGCCCAAATAGATCAATTCTTGTTGACCTCCAGTTGCGTTCTCGCTGCTTGAAAGCGAGTCCGTAGACGATAAAGAGTACCCTTCCGTCTCATTGTAACAATCTCTAGCTAGCGATCAAAGGAGTCGTGTGAATGAGTGATCGACTCGCACTCCTTTTGTAGCCGCATGGTCCCGCTCTGACTGCACTATCACTTCCTCTCAATCCTTTGGCTTCCGACCATCATCATCATGGACAATAGAGCAATCAATGATCAGTGGACAGCTTCTCTAGCTCTTTCGTCGGGACTGCAATTTTCACCACCACATCTCCGGCGTTGTTGACAACGCTGCTAGCGGCGAAGCCGACTTCAGTGCCTACTTACAATCAGACACGCACGATGGGTTGACACTCTATCGAGCTGCTTTGAGCGCGACGTATAAAGCTCTAAAGTGCGTCCACATGAGGTATCGAGGAGAACCAAATAATACGTTGTCACGACTTGTGATCTCTTGACAGCTATAAGTTCTGATTACGACTGAAGCCATGGGCCGATCGTGGGGGTGTACCGGTTTTTGGGCATCTCAACAGCCCGTAATCTGCACGCCAAGAGCGGTACAAGTTATATCGGTTGTAGTCCCTCGTCCGTGCGTTTTAGTCCTTTGCAAGTACGTTTTAAGTCGTTCGCAAGTACGTTTTAAGTCGTTCGCAAGTTCGTTTTAAGTCGTTCGCAAGTACGTTTAGCTCGCTAAACACTGCAAGTGCGTGCGCTGCCCAAAAGCTTGTTGGAAACACTGGCGCTGTCGTGTCGTCCGCGTGTTCCCCAACATGTGGACCACAAGAGAGCGAACATCACGAAAGCAGCATACAAACGTCAAGTCCTGCGGCAGTCCTTGTTCGCCTATGCCTAAAATCATTTCGTCGTACTTCTCGAGAGAGAGAGAGAGAGCGAGAGAGAGCGAGAGAGAGAGAGAGAGAGAGAGAGATCATGGACCGCTTAGCGCTCGATAAGCTGAAGAACGTCATGGACGAGGCGTACGTTGTCGAAGGCTGTCGGTCTCTGTATTGTTATCCTTTGCAGCGGTACCCTCACGTTCAGCGTCTTGACGGATTCATTATGTTGGGTTCCCCTTCGGTCCATTTTACTGCTTCCTTTAGGAAAAGTGTCGTGAAGGCCAAAATGGGTACAGACGTCGAGCGCAAGATCGAAGAGGCGCTGTCGAACAAGAACTGGGGCGCGTCGAGCACGTTGCTGAACGAGCTGTCGCAGCTCACTTATGACTTGTACGGGGCGAAACGCTCGCCGCGGCGGCTGCGTTTTGTGTCGTTAGGTTGGGCTCTGTGTACTAAGCACGTGTGCCCTGCTCTTTGACTGTCTAGTGAGGCATACGGAGTCATTACGCGCAAGATTTGGGAAGCTATGGATGCTGAAGGGCGACAGTGGCGCTCTGTGTATAAGGCGCTGAGTCTGCTGGAGCACCTGATCAAAAACGGCACGGAACGCGTGATTGAGAATGCGCGCGACCACATGTTTAAGTTGCGCCACCTCTCGGGCTTCTCGTATCACGACGGCTCTGTTGACAGGGGCAATGGAGGTGCGACGAGCAAACGTGGATACGAGGATGGGTAGAGAGCTGCTTTTGTTGCTGTGGGGTGCTGAGCGTGTCACTGTTTGTTTGCTGAGTAGTCCGTGACAAGGCCAAGCAACTGGTCGACATGCTCAATGACAATGACATGATCCGCACCGAACGTGAGAAGGCGGGGCGTTTGCGCAACAAGTATGTGGGCATTGGCAGTGGTCTTGGCGGCGGGATGGGAGGCGGAGGTTACGCTGGTAGCAGCAACTACAGCGAGGAAAGAAATGGCGGAGGCTATAGCGGAGGAGGTGGGTACAGTAACAGCAGCGCCAGCAGCTACAGTGGTGGCGGATACAGCGGTGGCGGCGGGTATAGTGGTGGTGGCGGTGGGTATAGTGGTGGCGGCGGTACTCGAGACTATGGTGTTAGCGACTCGAAGAAGAGCACTGAAAAGGAGAAGAGCTACTCTACACGCACCGTTGATGATGATCGTGGTACGTTGCGATTGTTCGTGCGTCGTCGGGTATACTTGCTGTTGTGTTTTTGCTGACGCGGTTTGCGACAGATGACGAAAGTGAAGATTCAGAGTCAGAAGAAGAGGTGCGACCCAAACGACGAGCTTCATCGTCTAAAGGAAAGGCCGCTGCCAAGAAGAAAGAGGTATGTCGCTCGATTGCAGTAGTTCGTGATGTGGTTCTGATCGCACGCTGGTGGATGGCTTGTTTGTAGGAGACAAAGAGCAAGGTTGCAGTAAAACCACCCCCTGCAGAACCATCCCTCCTGGACGCAGACTTCTTCAGCCCGGCGCCTGTGGTCGCCACCGGTATGGTCTTCTTACCGCATCTCTTTTCGTATAGAATGACACAAGCAATTGACTAGCTCACACTTATGTTTTGCTTGTAGCAAACACGTTTGATCCGTTTGCACCGGCGCCTGGTGGTTATGCTGCTGCACAGCCTCAAACAGCATCGTTTGCTGCTTTTGACAATGCCGCAAGTACGCCACAACAGTCGTTCAATGCATTTGGCGCCACGCAGCCTCAACAGCAAGCCCCATTTGATCCATTTGGGAGTAGCGGCTTTGCCCAGCAAGGGGTTCCACAGTTTGCTGCGTTCCCCACAGCCCCATCTCAGCAGGTTCCAAATGTGCCCGGTCAGCAAGCAAACGCACCGGCTCCACCCGCTTCTGCTTTTAACGTGCAACAGCAGCAGTTTGGACAGTTCGGTGGAACGAACAGCGGTGGGCTGCAGCCTGGTCAGGGCGGCATGGGCGTGCAAGGTGCAACGTCGGGTCAGTCGGCATTTAATCCCAGCGGGAGTCAGTCGCGAACGAACTCGGCTGTGAAGCCTGAGGAGAAGAAGAGCGACGACGCGTGGGGAGCTGGCTCGTCGCTTTACGATCTGAACAACTTGGGCAGCTCCAGTGGCACTAACAGCAGCAGCGCGAATCACCCTGGTCAGCATCCGCACTACCAGCACTCGAACGCTAGCAATAGTTTCAGCGGGTTGGATACTCTTGCTGGATTGCCCAGCAAGCCCGCAATGGGAGGCGCTGGCGGTATGAACATGAGCATGGGGGCAATGAGCTACTCGGGCGGTATGGGTATGGGTCACAGTGGGATGCAGCAGCAAGCCGCGTTCGGCCAGATGGGTCAAGGAAGTGTGGCTCATCACCGACCGATGATGGGAGGTATGATGGGTATGCAGCAACCAGGCATGGGTATGCAGCAACCAGGCATGGGTATGCAGCAGCCAGGTATGGGCATGCAGCAGCCAGGTATGGGTATGCAGCAGCCAGGTATGGGCATGCAGCAGCCTGGCGTAAGTGGAATGGCGAGCCAAGGTGGTTTCGGCGGAATGGCATCGGCGCAGCAGCAGCAGCAGCAGCGACAGCAACAGGCATTCAATCAGTTTGGCAATTTTAGCTGAAGTGCTGCGCCTGTGGCCGTTAAGCCACAGTTTTGACGCAGTGAGGTGGAGATTGCGACGTGTTGAGCATGCGGTCAATAGTTGCCAAAGACGGGAATGCAAATCAGAGCTTACTGTACAAACGATCAGACCGTGTTGATTACATCCGCAGTAGTTCCTCTGTGAAGCGATTGCTACGTGTGCGAATCGGGACTGCTGTACAGCCTCTGCCTGCTATCGTTTGCAGCCGCATTGATGCCGACCACCGATAAGGCAAAAGAGCGCACACTTGCAACTACACATTGGCGCTCCGTTGATCCTATCATGCCCCAACTGGCATCTCCACCTCGCTGTGGCACTACTGCATTGCAAAGGTGGCCAGTCACTGACGACATGACAGACATGCATGCGCACTTGCCCTACTCAAACGCACAATTTATCCTCCTGCACTTGCAAACGCTCGGTAGCATCCTGCTCATCTTCCCGGAACTCGTCAATTTGGTCAACCAGCTAGCCAGCTTGTCAACGGCGCTGGCGCATCCATGATAAATGGGTTGTACCGATCCTCAAGAGCATGCTGACAATTGACCGTGCTTGCTGCCAAAGTGTGCGTTCTGCGGTGACTGCGGCTGCGTTGTACACCCCGTGTCTTCCATGTCGTGGTCCTGCTCGAGTCTTTGCCTAGCTGCAAACGTCTGCAAGAACCCTTGACCGGTACTGCTACTGCGTGACAATGTACCTGTCGACGTCACCAAGATGTTAATCTGACTCGACGTTTTCTTCAGACTCACCCGTGAGTCGTCGGCCAGAGCATCGTGGGGAGCGTCAACGCATTTGCGCTTCCTCACTCCTTCAGGGTGCTTGTGAAACACATTGAACGGCGAGAGAATGCGTACATGGGCCGGTGTCGACAGTCGAGCTCGAGCGTTCGTCTTGTCGCTGCTCCAAGATGGAGAAGTGACTGCGTCATCTTCTGCACTGTCGTCCATCGACCTGACCTCCCCGTCGTCCACACCCACCAGAGCCTCATCTCCTCCGTCGTCTTGTTGCGCCCCATTGCTGCTACACACCGTCCGCCTGTCAGCCACGTGCTGCTTGAGCTTCAGCTGCTTCTTCAGCACGTCGCGCGGCTGCGGAGACGACGGCGGTGTGCTCGACCGCTCCGGCAGCAGCAGCGAATGCGTCGCACATCCGCTTCCACACATCCGCGCCGTCTCTTCCTCTGCTCCGTCTGCTTCCTCTGCTCCGTCTGCTTCGTCTGCTTCGTTGGCGATAGCCTCAGCTCTGCGCACGAGAGCGCCGCGAAGCCGTCCAACAGCGATCCGCGTGAGTTTCTCCCGCAGTAGCGCAATGTCTTCGACGTCGCTGACGAGTGAGTTGCGGCGGAGCTTCGAGTGCACGTGGACGGCGTCGGGCGTCAGCGAACGGCTCGCGCAGAGCGACGTGAACGACATGACGAGCGGTGCAGCGCGGGGGCGGCAGTGGGCTCGACGTCGGGGGCGGAAGTGGTGTGGCGGACACCAAAGTGACGACGCTCGGCGTCGTTTCGAGGTGGGGGCGCTCGCTGGTTGAGACAACGAAAGGCTGAGTGGGACCGTCTGACTGGGGTTCAGTATGGAACGAAGAGGCAACCGAACAACCGGAAGCGGCGAACGGTCGAATGTCAGACCTCGTTCGTTGTCTATCGAACTGCCTGTTGTTCGCGCCACTGCATTGTCATGTTCGTCACTGCTCACGTGGCGCTAGAGCCACTTATAAGCGCATAGCCGCACGACGGAAGCCGATTAGTCGTCGACAGACGACGAACCGCTCGTCCGACCAGGTTTTGTCTGTGCCCAAAACAGGGCCTACTGCAGCACTTCAACACATGACAACAACTTGGACCGCCTTTGACATACTACGCAGTCGTGTCTCGTCCCGACGATTCACGTGACGCAATGGCACAGTTCGGGCATGGCCGCTGCTTGAAGATGCGGCGGGATGCAGGGGAAAGTTGTATCTGGTCGGCGTTTCCACACGTGGAATGCACACAAGCTCGAAGCAAGCACTCTTACCTGCTGCTTTCGACTGCGCTTAGCTGGGAAGGCACCACCAACACGGCAGCAGTGGACATGTTGCCGCGCGTCCACTCCGCTTACAGAGGTGGCGTGATCCGTACTATGTATCTATATGTACAGTCACTGCTGCTGCTGCTGTTGTTGTTGGTCGTTGGAAAAGCCTCATTTTCGTGATGGTTTGCCGGATATGCATACGCACTTGTCGACTCGTAACGTGTTTGATGGAAGGCTTTGGCTTGTCCAGCAATTGTTTCGCGGTTGGACAGTCTTTTGGGAGTAACGTGCGACCATAATGTGCGAAGATGCCCGAAATTGAGGTTGTAATCCTTTCACACATGACGAAGAGCGAGACTTCGTTTGCCTCGAACTCGTAGCTTTCCAAGAAAAGCGACCTAGAAGAATCCCACCTTCAGTCAATATGAATATGCACTGCGTACCAGAGGGATGTACGGCGTGGCGAGGTGGGAGGTCTGTGCTCGCACCAAACTCTTGACGCGGCCTGCAAGTTTTTTTTGCACAATACGACAATGGGTCAAGTGTGAGAATTTTCGACAAAATGTCACACGTCTGAGCACGTGTGACATTCTTCCTTGTCCATCCAGCGCACGTTAACAGCAGTTCGTATGCTTTACGTGTCCAGGATGACACGATGGTCCAAGCGTCGGGAATGATGGACTTTGTGTCTCAACAGCGATTGCGTCCGGCAAGAAAAACAGCAGGGGCAGTTGAACGCCGCCACTTGTTGACAACGACACGAGCCATGGTCGATCTGGATGTGTTGCTGCAAACGCGCCGAGTCCGGTAGCAATGGTCTAGCCTATGCCATGCTTCCTCCGACGCGCGGGGCGACGCGGCTGCGGTTGAGGCAAGTTTTACTTTGCGGACAATTTCTGGGGACGGAAAGTATCATGACTGCAATCAAGCAGTCACAGGTTACAACAGCCACAATCTGATGGCACAGCTTACATATATACAACAGTTCAGGGGCAGCAAACTCCTTACCATATTCACGTGACGGCTTCCTGCCCTCACTCCCTCTTTTTCTTCTTCTTCTTGCTGCCAGTACCTTGACTTACAGCAGATCGCAAGCGTTTGCTCTGAATTTGCGCGTAATGTACTCGGTCGTCGTAACTTGTAAAGAATCGATCCAATCGTGTCTGGATATGTCTGCTAGCAGCTCTTGCCTTTTCTTCGAGAGGCTGTAGAACGCCATCGCTTTTTTGCTTATCCCACCCGAAAGCATTGGCACAATAGTTGCGCAAAGCAGCCAAGTCCGGAGCACTCCACGAGAAGCGAGTATCAGAGCGATCCACCTGAGGAGCCATGTACGCCTGGATCACTTGCTTGTTCGGAAATTCGTCGCCAAGTTCCCACTTCCGGCGTGCACTTGCGTGGGACAATTGAAAGCGTTTGCGAGCTGTATCACCGTCGCTCTCATCGCCCCCTTCTTTCAAATCTCGATCGCTCTCCTTGTTCACTTTCTTCTTACGCACACCAGATGCAACGCGCTGAGCTTCTTCGGCAACATCAAAAGTCGTGACCCATTCTTTAAATTCGCGAAGGCCCTCTATACCAGGATACGCCGCTGCAATCTCAGTTGCGTTAACGATACCAATGCCCCGTACGCCATCCGTGTAATCGCTTCCAAGGAGCAGGGCAAACGCAATGATCTGCTCTCGCGAAAACCCCAATTCTAGCTCAATATCACGAGCCGAAAAGGCTTCGACAAACTTCTGGTGGTGGAAAATGTTTTTGTAGACGCGCTTGCCTCCGAATGGAAAGATGTCACTATCGTCTGTGATAACGCCATCCACGAGCCCAAGTTGTTCCAGCGCCGCGCATTGCGCTTCCGCTTCCATAGGGCTGACGAGAAACGGCACACCGAAGAGACGCAAAAGTGCCATCACTTCACCCACCATATCGTCCGAAATTCCTTCCGTGTCGCGCGATTGCCGGCCGCGCAGTTTTTTCAGCTCACGCTGCTCTTTCTGCAATGCGGCTGTATCCATTTCCGAGCTTGTTGTGTCCATGGAATCGCTAGCTTGGGGGGCTCGCGTGGTTGCGTGTACTGGAGGTAGCGGACACTAGCATTGCCGGTATCATCATCCAACTTGTTGTGCTCACTCGCGATCGAAGCCATCACTGCAGCCCGTAGCTGCTTGTCGCTATCTTCAACCCCTTTGTCAACCTTCGCGGCAATCGGCGAAGCGTCGTCGTCGTTTTCAATTACGACTACTTCGGCGGTATTCTGGGTAATTTCTGCCGCAGGCTTAAGCTCGTCTTTTTTGCTCACGATCTCGCGAGAATCCTTAGCCATATCTCGGGTAGCGACATCTCGACTGTCATCTTCACTTTCTAGTACTACTGCCGGACGTTTGAAGGCTTCAACACGCTTACCGTGCTGCAACGAATGTGCCTGCAGTGCTCGGCGTACGGCACCAGCAGCCCACTGAGTGAGATTAGAGGCTGTCGTCATCGCAGACCGCAACGCCTCATCTTTGAGTAAGTGCAGATCTTCGTGCCCCTTTGCATCCTCGATTTCGTCCTTCATTGCTATGAGTAATTCATCAGTGCCTTGAGCATCGTTGATGTTGTGGTCATCAATTTGTTCATCCCCAACAGTCAAGTCTAGCGGATGCTGCTCGTTTTGTCCAAGATATTGCACATCAAAATGCGCAACCATTGCATTTTCGTCGGAAGCACCGACAGGTATGCCCTTATCATCCACCTCCTCCCAGTCTATCTCATCATCACTACGATCCCCCTCACTCTGGTTTTTCTCTGCAGCAGCAGCTTTGACCGAAGACGATGGTTTCGTCGCAGCAGACAATTGTGACACGTATTTACTCAGCAATTCCAGGACCCAGAGTATCACTTTTAGACTGCTCTACGGTTGACGAAGCAGCCTCTTCCCACTCAACATCGTCGTCATCGTCATCCGGGTCACTTTTGGCAGTCGCAACTTGGGTAGAAACACGCTCAGTCTTGCATGCTGGAAACAGTTTCTGGAACCGCGCCATCTCTTCAGGATCAACTTCGTCAAGCTTTAGTTCAACGCTCACATCACTCGATGACGGCCGTGCGGCAACGACCTTGGCAGCAGCAGGCTTTGCAGAGACAGACGGCTTGTCCTTTTTCAGCCGACTCTGTCGCAATCTTTCAATCGCAAGTACGGGCTCTTGCTTGACTCGAACCTGATACCGTGCAGCCAAAGCCGCTGCAATTTCCTTCGCATTGTCATGTAGAGTATGTTCGAATCTTTCCAAAGCGAGCGTAGACGATGGACCTTTTCGATCTACTTCGAAGGCGTCAACCTGAGCCTCGCGAGGCTGTATTCGCTCATTGACCAAGGATCGTTCTGTCATGTCAACACGTTCAGCCGTCTTTTTGTCATCCTCGTCTTGGCCGTTTTCCTCTTTGTGATCTGCATCTTTTTGGTAGATGTAAAAGCGGTTGCTATTCGAGTCAATGCGGTGGCCTTGGCCAACGCCACCCTGACGCTCCATCTCTTCCTGCCTCTTTTGCTTCTTTGCCGCATCTATCCGCCGATTAAGCGAGCTAGTCTGCAAAAACGCTGATATCTGTGCGTGCGAATACTTTTCCGGCTTCCCAGCGAGCGGGATGAACTGATCCCTCACTTCTTGACGCCGGTCACGCAGGATTTTCTGGACCATGTCTTTCTGCAAATGAGGTGGCAAGGAAAAGACCGCGTGGAGATCGATCTTTGACAGTCGCGACGTGTCCAGCTCCACGTCGTCCAGCGTCAAGTCTCCACTTTCTTCCTCGAACTCTGCTGCGGCTTCCCAAACCCCTTGCATCTGCTTCTCCTCGATCGTTGCTTCTTGTTTCACTACCCCAAGTATTTCACCGCGTCCCACGTCTCGACCTCCATCGTCTCGCTTTTCTTTCCCATCGTCACCACCTCCATCATAAGCGCCATTAGTAAGCTCTACTTTCTCCTCGTTCAGCACCTCCTCCGTCTTCCTGGCATCGCGAGCTTTCGGCAGCGTAAAACCCGGTGCAACAGCAGCTGCCAATGCCGTACTGCTCTGCGCCTTGAGTACCTACAGCAACCCACAGCAAGCGTCCACCTGCATTAGACTAGCAACCGTCGACACTGAAATTAACCCACGTGCACTTGACCGTCCGCTCACCTCTTGTCGCTGCTGCTTCAGTCGATTGAGCAACAGACGTTGCGCCGTGTGGCGCAAATTGGCCGTCTGCTGCTCCTGTCGCTTCCTCCGCCGCGCAGTCGTTCGCTTCTTGATCTCTGGCGTCTGTCCATCAAACACAAACACCGGACGTACGCCATAGAAGAGCAGTTTTGCCACGCGGTACAGAGTCCCCAGGAGATGGGCGTTGCGGATCATGTTGCCCTCGTCGTCGCGCATAGCCTTCACAAACTGCGTGAGCCAAATGCTCGCGTCCACAGCGAGGACCTGACCCGCGAGGGACTCGATCTCGACCTGTCGCCCCACGGGCGCTAGGAGCGTCCAGAGATTCTGTACGCCCATGACGGAACACGATCAAACGCTAAAGAGACATATAGCGAGGAAGAAGATGATGTGGGAGCGAGCCGAGATGGCTACTTGTGGACAACCGATGTTCTTTTATTTGGGGGGGGTATGTGGCTTGATTACAAATAGGGCAATCGAAGGAAAAAAAAATATATATATATACACATTATAGTGCACTAGACAATCACGAGAATAAGAAATGCAACAGGTTTGCAGAGAATAAAAAGTGCCCACACAAGATGGAGAATGTCAGATTGATGTACCGCTTAAGTTTTAATTGGAGATGGAAGCTCAGTAGACGATCACCCGATGTGCTGAAGTGACCGTCACTGTTTTGAGTAGACGGCAGGTGCGTACCACTAGCAGATGTTGTGACAGGAGAAAGAAATAGGCCTCCTAAAGGATGTTCAATGTTGATTCCTTTTAGCTTAAATCAGTTCGCTAATTTGTATGTGTAGGGTTTTATCAGAGCAAATTTACTTTTCCTTTTACTTCCTCGTTAATTGTTCCTCTCTGCTTTCTGTAATTTCAACAGGTTATGAGCCCAAGTACGGTGGGAGGAAATGATGTCCTCAACGAGGACAATTACTTCGTATGGGAGTTTAATGCGCGGATGGAGCTTGCCAAGAAAGGTTTGTTGGAGCACATCGACGCGACGAAGGCACCGAGTGAAGGGGACGCGAATGCGTCAATATGGAAAGTCAATGATATGAAGGCCTTCGCGAACGTGTGTACGATGATCAACCCAAGTCTTTAATCCATGGTTCGGGGTGCAAACTCTACTGTAGAAGCGTGAGAGACTTTAGGGAGCTTCTTTCTTTGCAGAAGCATTCATAATCGTGTGCAGATGCGCCGACAGCTACACGAGTTCAAGATGCAGTAGGGAGACAGTGTTATGGATCACTTTCTCAAGTTTGATGAGCTGTGCATGTCAATGCAAGCCATCGGTGACAAAATTGTACAGGATGAGCGACTCGTTATTCTGCTTGGAAGCCTATCTGATGAGTACGATCAGACAGTCAAGATCATCGAGAACATGAAGGACATGGATTTGTCTCAAGCCAAGGAGATGCTTCGTCATGAATACGAAGGCATTGCTCGAAAGGAGAAGAGCGAAATCGCGTTGAAGGCTACAAGAAGGTTCAAAAGCAAAAAAATCAGCCAAGGGAACCAAGAAACAAGTTCTCTGGGACGTGTTTCATATGTGGGAAGCATGGAAACAAGAAACAAGATTGCTGGAAAAATCCAGACAAGAGGAAGAATTCGGAGCAAGCGTTTACTGTGGGTGAACATGGCTCTGATGGTTGGCTACTCGACAGTGGTGCGAGTAGTCATATGTGCCCATTCCGACAAGAATTGGTGGAAACTCGATCACTAAATAGGTCGGTTAAGATTTCTATTGCGAATGGAGATAAGGTTTTGGCTGCCGGTGTTGGTACTATTCTCGTTGTATTGAAAAACATGAAGCCAATTAAAATTAAAGACGTGTTGGACGGTCAGATCTGGATCTTTGTCTTTTTTATTCCTGCATTGGCTGCGAAGGGGTTACACGTAACTTTTTACAATAAAACGTGCGATATCAGGAGCGAACAAGAATTGGTGACTTATGTGACTCAAAGGGGCAAGTAGTTTGTGCTTGAGTGTGGTACAATGGAAGCTGCAAGTTTGACTGAAGCGGTTAGGGGTGTAGCCAAGCCTATGAGTCCAATTGTGTGGCATGCACGACTGGGACATTTACCAATAATGTCAATAAAGAACCTCGACAGGTGTGTTAATGGATTCAAAATGGATAGTTCGTCTGTTGAAAATGATCATCAAGACGAAATTTGCGAAGGATGTGTGTCGGGAAGGTTATCAGTGAAGCCGTTCTCGAAGTCGAGTTACGGCGAAGTAAAGACCACATCACTGCTCCAAGTTTTTCACAGTGACGTGTTAGAACCAATGGAGACCAAGCCACAAGGGGGAGCAAAGTTCGTGGTTACATTTCTGGACGATTATTCGCGATATGTGATTGGCTACTACATTCAGCACAAGTAAAATGTGGTGGACAAGTTCATCGAATACAAGTCGATGATGGAAAAACAACCGAGCACTAAGATCAAGTGTATTCGCACCGACAATGGGGGCGGGTACCTCAACAAGAAGTTTGCAGAAATTTGCCGAAAGGATAGAATGATGCATCAATCGACAGTGCCGTATTCACCTCAGCAAAATGGAATGGCTGAAAGAATGAATGGGACATTGACTGAACGATCCAGATCGATGCTGAATTACATGAAAGTAAAACAAATGGTTGGCTGAGGCGATGAACACTGCGGTTGATGTGACCAACCGAGTCATTTGTGCTTCACACCCAACCAGGACACCAGTTGAAGTGTGTTTTGGAACCAAACCTGACCTGGCTCGCATGAAAGTATTTGGTGCGAAAGGTTACGCCCATACTGCTCAGCCAAAACGTTTCAAGTCGGACAAATTGGCATTCAAATGCATGTTCCTGGGTTACTCGGATGAAGTGAAAGGATACAGTGTATGGAATTCTGATTCCAATAGAGTGGAATTCACTCGATCAATGACTTTGCAAGAGTTACCAATATCCAAGTATGTGCAAGTGTTTTTAAACGCACCTACTACTGCTCATGTGAAGTACGACGATGATGATGCAGAAATTGTGCATCTACACTTTTTCCTACCCCAGGTGGCGTGTAACCAATGGTGGTAGACCAAATTGGAAATGATCAAGTAGTTTCACCACCAAGTGAATTCGAGTCTATTACTCCATCACAAGACTTTGTGCATACACCTGATTCTGCTTTTGAGATCGATGATGTTTACATGGAACCAACTGACCTATTGTAAATACAAGTCGGTACATTGTGCCCAAGGGGGGCTTGGTGGATGCAGATTAATACGCAGTGGTGACATCATCTAGTTTTAATGGAAAAACTGTTCCGCTTGCGTTACCTCCAACACGTGGTGAACATCAAGCTTTAGTGTCCTTCGCGACGTCTGATACAAGTAATACAACACGCAGTGAGGAACCAGAAAATCGTGCGTTAAAAATATATCGCATCGAGTATAAGCAAGCAAATGCAGCGCTCATCACTACATCGACAAATGAAGATGCGATGGCATCTCCACAGTAGAAGATGTGGGGTGTAGCAATCAAGACTCAATTGATGGCCTTAAACAAAAAGAAGACATTGACATCAGTGGATAAATCGTCAAACATAAAGGTGATCGGAACCAAGTGGGTTTTTGCAAATAAACGCAATGAACGTGGTGATATCGAGCGGTTCAAAGCTCGACTTATGGCGTTGTGTTATCGTCAAACCCATGGAGTTGATTACCACGAGACGTACTCACCAGTCGCGAACATTAATTCAATTCGCATCTTTCTGGGGGTATGTTGTCACTACGGATGACAATCCACCAGTATGATGTTGATACTGCGTTGATCAATGCTTTTTTGGATGAAGACCTGTATATTCACACACATCAAGGCGTCGACATGGAACCGAATTAATTTTTGAAATTGAAATAAAGCTTGTATGGACTAAAACAAGCTGCTGCGACGTGGTTCAAGACGATTTTAAACCTTTTTAAGAAGAGATGGGTTTTGTGGTGTGTGTTTCTGATCCGTTTGTTTTCGTTCGTCACGACAAAAATTTATCGTTGGTTCGCGTGACTTTGTATGTCGATGACATGCTTATTGGTGGTGATTCGGTGGACTCAATCACCCGAGTTGCGGATAAGTTATCGAGTCATTTTCAGCTCAAGACATTGGGCAAAGTGCGATTTATTCTCGGTATCGAATTGGAATACGAGATGGGTATGAAACAGCTCAAGATAAGCCAGAGTGCATGTATCACCAAAATGGCTGAAAAATGTTACCAAGTTGGAGCAAAAACGGTGTACAACATAAGTGTGGAAGGCCAAACTATGGCCAAGTGCGTGGATTTGGAGCCAAAATTGGAAAATCGACCACATCGGTCTCTGGTCGGGTCACTCTTATACGTGGCGACCGGAACAAGACCTGATATTGCGTTCGCAGCGTGCCAAATAAGTCAACATTTAGAGAAACCAAGTGAAGAACACTGGAATGCAGCTATTCGTATATTGCTCTACCTAAAGTCGACTCTACCCAGTGGAATTTGCTATCGTGGAAAGTCTAGTGAGCTGAAGGTAAGTGCATACAGCGATGCTGACTGGGACAGTAACAAAGACAATTGGCGTTCGACATCAGGTGTGATGGTAATGATAAACGACTCTCCGGTCATTTTCAAATAAAGAGTGCAAAATAGTATATCAGCACTGCTGAAGCTGAATATGTGGCCCTTTTATTGTGCACTCAAGTAGTTCTGTGGATGAAGAGCCTATTGCTGGAGATGAAGACCAAGATTGACATCCCTGCCATTGTGTACGAAGACAACCAGAGTGCTATTACTTATGCGAAAAACAAAGGATATCAGAGTCGTGTCAAGCACATTAAAAACGCTATGTTATGAAGGTGAACAAGTCAAGAACAAGGTTATTCAAATAAAGTATATTGAAACCAAGTTACAGCTTGCTAACTTTCTAACCAAGGCGATATCGATGAAGAAGTTCAAATTTCTTGTGGCTAAGTCAAGCATTGGAAACTTTCCGTCGAGGGAGAGTATTGGAGATGGAAGCTCAGTAGACGATCACCCGATGTGCTGAAGTGACCGTCACTGTTTTGAGTAGACGGCAGGTGCGTACCACTAGCAGATGTTGTGACAGGAGAAAGAAATAGGCCTCCTAGAAGGATGTTCAATGTTGATTCCTTTTAGCTTAAATCGGTTCGCTAATTTGTATGTGTAGGGTTTTATCAGAGCAAATGTACTTTTCCATTTACTTCCTCGTTAATTGTTCCTCTCTGCTTACTGTAATCCAAACAGTTTTGTATTCAACCGAATAAAGTGATGTCTACGATCAATCATTTACACTTAAGTTCTTCTGCTCCACTTCCTATCTTACTT